CGCTCGGCCCACGTTTGGCTCCGCGTTTGCTTTGGCCGTAGGCCCGGGAGCCGTTGCCGGTCTCCGCTATCTCCTCCGTCGTATCGACTCCGGGAAGGAAGGCGCGGTATCGCGAACCGTCGTCGTCGTCATCGTCATCATCCCCGTGGAAATATTCCCCCGTTTGTTATTTTGTTATCTTTGTGCTCGGCCCCTTGGGGCGATTTCTTATTTTTTTAAGTGCCTTGGTTTCGTCGCGCAAGGACGCGGCGAGTCGCCTGCCCCATCGTCCGGGGATCCGTCGGCGTTGTTCCATTCCATCGGCGCCAGCCGCTGGCTCGGCCGTCTCATCCTCTCTCGCTCGGCCCCCGGTTCCCGGCTGGCTCCCGGTTTCTCCCCGTCGTTGTTTTCGTTTGTGTTCAGCAGCGTCTCCGTGTCTCTCTCTCTCTGTCTCTCTGTCGCTGTGCAACAGTCTGTGTACCTCTCCCTGCCCCTCTCTATCTCTGTCTCTGTCTTGTACATCTCTCGCTCGCGATATCTTTCTCCCTCACCGTCACGCATCTCTCTCGTCCCTCCCGGTCTCCGTGTGCGTGCGCGTGTGTCCCTCACTCACTCGCGCTATCGCTCCCTCTTCCCCCGTCCCGCGCTCTGTCTCTCCGCGCGGCGCTCCCCACGTGCGCCCGTCTCCTCGCCGAACGCTCCGAGGGGGGGGGAGGAAAAGGGAAAATGAAAAGAGACTTGTGGGAAAATCTTTCTTTTTTTTAATCCGGCGTCACCGCCGGAAAAAAAAAACGCACAACCCCAGCGCCGTCGCCGTGCCTGCGTCATTTGGGGGGCCCCCAGCCCCCCCCCACCGCCAGGATCGGGAGGGTTGCGCTGCAAAATCGTCGGGGAGTTCTCCGCGCGGCTTCGCGATCTCGAAGGGACGCGTTATTACCTCCCGGCGCCGGGTTGGAACTCTCCTCCGCCAAACGTAACCCCCGGAGAAATCCTCGCGAGGCTCCTCCCTCGGCACCGAGGTTCCCCGGAGGGATCCCGCTCGGGATGTTGGGCCAAGTCTTTATCGCCCTTAACAGCAGCAGCAACAACAACAACAAGGACGATGTAAAGTTAAAGCCCCGTTGTCACTCCACCGCTGGACGCGAAGGAAGGCGGTGGGGCCTTCCCACACCCCCCCCCTCCCCCAGGTGTCCCCGCAGCTTCACCTGTGCCCGGTCAGTGCCGGTTGGTGGTTTTTGGCCGAGTCCAAGGTCTCGCCCGTCGGTCGCCGCCGATGTTCCCCGCGGCGGGGATCGAACTCGGGTCGCTGGGTTCGTGGCCGCGGTGCGCTAGCTGCCCCGCCACGACGGGTGGGGGTCGTGGGTTCAATCTCCCGGTGAGGCAGGTCAAGCAAGCAGTGGTGCAAGATTCTTACACCCCCCCCCCTCCCCCCACCGCCAGCCACCTGTACGTGCATGGGGGTGGCACCACAGCCATGTGGGCCAGCAGGTCACGCTCGCGGTGGGGCAAAGTGAGGATTCCGACTTCTCCCCAAGACGTCTGGCCCAGCGTGCGGACCGCCATGCGCCCCCCACCCCCCCCCCCCCCCCCCCCACTGCTCTGCTCGCTGTGGCACGAGCGAGCAGTTGCAGGCCTGCGCCTTTACCTTCAGCGGCTCTCTCAAGGTTCACTTTCACGGAAGGTGTCTGTGAGGTCAAAGGGGGCGGGGTGGGGGTTGTGGGCGGAGCCAGCCTTGCCCCCTGCCCCGCCCCGCCTCCCACAGGTCGCCGGCACGTGCCAGGGGTCGCGGGGTCACAGGAGGGAGAGTGAGGGGAGGGGTGGGAGAGTGAGGGGAGGGGTGGGAGAGTGAGGGGAGGGGTGGGAGAGTGAGGGGAGGGGTGGGAGAGTGAGGGGTGGGAGAGTGAGGGGAGGGGTTGGAGAGTGAGGGGAGGGGTGGGGGAGTGGGGGAGGGGTGGGAGAGTGAGGGGAGGGGTGGGAGAGTGAGGGGAGGGGTGGGAGAGTGAGGGGAGGGGTGAGTGAGGGGAGGGGTGGGAGAGTGAGGGGAGGGGCGAGAGAGTGAGGGGAGGGGTGGGAGAGTGAGGGGAGGGGTGGGTGAGTGAGGGGAGGAGTGGGAGAGTGAGGGGAGGGGTGGGAGAGTGAGGGGAGGGGTGGGAGTGTGAGGGGAGGGGTGGGAGAGTGAGGGGAGGGGTGGGTGAGTGAGGGGAGGGGTGGGAGGGGGAGGGGTGGGAGAGTGAGGGGTGGGGTGGGAGAGTGAGGGGTGGGAGAGTGAGGGGAGGGGTGGGAGAGTGAGGGGTGGGAGAGTGAGGGGAGGGGTGGGAGAGTGAGGGGAGGGGTGGGAGAGTGAGGGGTGGGGTGGGAGAGTGAGGGGAGGGGTTGGAGAGTGAGGGGAGGGGTGGGAGGGGTGGGAGAGTGAGGGGTGGGGTGGGAGAGTGAGGGGAGGGGTGGGAGAGTGAGGGGAGGGGCGGGAGCCGGCGTGCGTTGGGGTCACGGTGTCCCGCTCGCCGGTGCCAGGTAGGGCCACCTGGACTTGGGAGACCAGAGACGGGGGGGGGGGGGGGGAGGGGGGAACGCTTGCGCCGGCCCGGTGAGCGCCGGGTTTGCCGGGGGGGTCGGTCGCCACGGCGACGTGGACCGCGCGGCGGGGTCACGGCCGCCGTTGCTGGCCGCCGGCGGCGGAGTCGAGGGGGGGAAGTGCGCGGCGACTCCCTCAACGCGCTGTGGAGACACCGGACCGGGGGGAAGGATGCCGGGATTGTTTGGCGGCGTGCGCCCCCGGATGCGTTGTGCGCCGGGGGGGCGGGGGCGAGCGAGGTAGCGATCGAGAGGTCGGCCAGCGAGCCAGCGAGCCAGCGAGCGAACCAGCGAGCGAGCCAGCGAGCGAACCAGCGAGCCAGCGAACCGCGTGGCCACGTCGCTCGCGAGGCGAACGCGGGGGGCAGGAACGAGACGAAACGGAGCGGGATGCTTCCACCGAATCGAGGGTCATGGGGCCTGGCCGAAGCCTGGGGTGTGAACGACCGTGGCCGTGACCCCTGACTCCCTGACCCCCTGGCCCCCGACCACGCACCAGTCGCTAGAAGAGACCGAGGGACGGCCAGCGGTCGAGACCAACGACAGAGGCGGCAGCCACAGGAAGGGAGCGGGCGGGCGGGAGGGAGGGAGGGAGGGAGGGAGGGAGGGAGGGAGGGAGGGAGGGAGCGTCCCCTCCGCGGAGACGGAGCGGGGAAACCCGCTCGTGCGCCGGAGCGGAGCGGTGGATTGCCGCGTCGTGGACCCACGCGGGATGCCGACGGCTTGCGGAGGCCTCGGGCCAGCGGCGGTCAGACCGCGGGCCGCTCGGGCCCCGCGGCCCGCAATCTGCCCCCACCGCCCCCCCAGAGACGGCGGGGTTGGGGCGCGTGGGAACGGGGGGGGGGGGCGGTGGTGGGGGAAGCGGTGGCGGCCAGGGATGTCGGTCGTGGCGTTTGCTCCGCCGCCCTTCAAAGGGGGGGGGGGGGGGTGGCGGCCTGTTCGACGTTATCGGTGACTCGGCGCGTGGCTGCGATCTGCGATGGACAGATTTGATTATCGCTCTCAGAAACGAAACGCAGCCGCGGCGCTAATGCCCAGATGGAGCGAATTGCCCCGAATTATCGCCTCGCTCCTGCGAACGATGAGGTGGGGATGGTGGTGGGGTGGGTGGGGGGGGGTGCTGGGCTCGAGTTGAGCGGAGCTGTGCTCGCGGTCGCGCGGGTTCCGTGTCCGGTCGGAGCGACGCGGGGGACATGGGGGCAAAAAAAAAAAATTAATTTGACGGCGCTCGTCAAAACAGGTTTTTTTTTTGCGTTCGACTTCTCCGCGGAGGTGCCAAGTTGCTTCTTAATGTTTATCCCGCACCGGACCGCGGGCGGGCGGGCAGTCACCTCCGTATCATCCTCCGTATCATCCTCCGTATCATTCGTCAACGGCTCCTACTACCGTGGTTATGGTTACTGTTCCCGTGAACTTCCCGCGGTCCGATTCCTCCAGACAACCGTCCGTTTCGTCTCAACCACCACCACGCTGCATTCAGAATCGGCATCTTTGTTTCGACTGCAGGAGAAATCCGATGAGCTGTGAAGCTCTTTTTCGCAGATGTCCAGTAGGGGCTGGTCAGAATGTTACAACAGCAAACAGTACAAAGAAAACACGATAGGAATGCAAAGTATAGGGAAGGTAAAGAAATCACTTTTTAAAAAATGCAAATTAAACTACGGTATTTTTATCTTATCGGATAAATGCCACTGAGCTAGTCACTTTATTTTTCAGAAGTGACCTGGCCACCAATGATGGCTCAACAGAAGCGGCTTATCATCACGTGCAAAATTATAGCAGCCACATACCCTAAACACGACCACAGGGAGAGGCAGACACAAACTCCAAATATACAGCAGCAGCAGGCATCGTCAGGGTCAGGATCAAACCCACGACCTCCTGTACACCAGGCGAGGGAGTTAACATCTCCTAGCCACCGTGGCGAGATGCGTTTGAAATGCAGGCGAGAGGGATGGCAGAGAGAGGGGGGTGGGGGGCAATTAATAGCAGCGAAATAATCTAATGAATAGCGCATCGTTTGACACCGCATGTCACAACAACGCACTCGCTCGCCCAACACGGGAGAGGGGGCGGGGGGGGGGGTCGGCTTCCGCCAGCGGCGAGCAAATCCGCCTTCAACGCGGAACGGGGGCCTCAACCGAACGACGGCTAGCGCCTTTCCTTAAGATTGTTTGAGTGTTTTTTTTTTTAATATGCCTTCGGTAGAAATGTACTAGAATGCAATTTTGGTGTGAAAGAAATGAAGGCTTTCTTGATTGATGCTCTTGCCCCTTCAGGCTCGCCGGCTACTGCCTCCGACGTCACGTTGGGGGGTCGGGGGGGCGGTTGCGGGTCGCGATGAACCTTGTTGTTTGTGTCCTCGCGAGCGCGGCGAGTCGTTGACTTTGCCTCGCGTTCTTCACCCCCCCCCCATTTGTCGTTTCTCTCTCCCCCCCCCCGCTCTATAGCGCCGATGAGCTGCTGCTCACCGAGATGCTCTTCAACGGCGTCTTCAACGACCTCACGCCGCAGCAGTGTGCCGCCCTGCTCAGCTGCTTCGTGTTCCAGGAGAAGGTGAGAGGTCGCGACCCGCCGCCCCCCCCACCTCCAATCGACTTCCTGTCTAGCCGGTCGCCCGGGGTCAGGGGTCGTGCCGGCTCTTCCTGCGGCCTGCTGGTTGGGCTGGCGGCCGCCACCGCCGTTGCTACGCACGCACGCGCGTGCGCACGCACACACACACACACTACACACACACGCACACACACACGTGCACACGCACACACACACGCACACACACACGCACGCACACACACACACGCACGCACACACACACGCACACACGCACACACGCACACACACATACACGCACGCACACACACACTACACACACGCACACACACACTACACACACACACACTACACACACACACGCACGTGCACACGCACACACGCGCACGCGCCGCGCCGTGTTTGTTTACGCGACCTTTGCCGATCGTTTAGCGCCGCGGAGCGATTAGCTCGGCGCTACTGGGCGGCGTGTCCAGGTGTGAGAGGGACGTGCGTGTCTTAGCGTGTGTTAGCGTGTGCGCGCGTGTGCGCGTGTTAGCGTGCGTGCGCGCGCGTGTGTACGTGTTAGTGTGTGCGTGTGTGCGTATGTGCGTGGCAGCGTGTTTGCGTGTGTGTGTACGTGTTTGTGTGTTTGCGTGTGTGTGTACGTGTGTGCGTGTGTGTGTACGTGTTTGCGTGTGTGGGGAGCGGTGGTTAGCGTGCTGCGACACGAACCCGGTGACCAACCGAGTTCAACATCGGTGATGGATATCTGAACCCGGGCCATAGGCCCTGCACTAGGCCGACTCGGCCTTAAACGAGTATCTGGTGTGGTATGTAAAACATCTGCAATGGGGAGACAAAGGCGGTCGGGCGTGTTGCTCGTCACACACGCGCTGTACCAGCCTGCAAACGACCCTCGCTAACAGCACCTCGCTAACAGCACCTCGCTAACAGCACCACGCTAACAGCACCACGCTAACAGCACCTCGCTAACAGCACCTCGCTAACAGCACCTCGCTAACAGCACCTCGCTAACAGCACCACGCTAACAGCACCACGCTAACAGCACCACGCTAACAGCACCACGCTAACAGCACCTCGCTAACAGCACCACCCTAACAGCACCACGCTAACAGCACCTCGCTAACAGCACCTCGCTAACAGCACCTCACTAACAGCACCACGCTAACAACACCTCGCTAACAGCACCTCGCTAACAGCACCACGCTAACAGCACCTCACTAACAACACCACACTAACAGCACCTCGCTAACAGCACCTCGCTAACAGCACCTCGCTAACAGCACCTCGCTAACAACACCACGCTAACAACACCACGCTAACAACACCTCGCTAACAACACCACGCTAACAACACCACGCTAACAGCACCTCGCTAACAGCACCTCGCTCACAGCACCTCGCTAACAGCACCTCGCTAACAGCACCTCGCCCCAACACTGCCTGGTGGCAGCACGGGCGACGTTGCCCCTGTGGAATCGAGACGATGTCACCGGGCGTTGCGAGAGAGCACAGGCCTCCCTCCTCCTCGCCGCCCCCCTCTCCTTCCCCTTCTCTCCCCCTCGTCGTCCTGCTCCCTCCTGCCTGGACGACGATGCGCTGCTGCTGCTGCTGCTGCTAGGTGTGGCCGGCTAACCTGCCACGCTCTCAGATCCCAGGCCCGCGCTTGCTGAGCGACGGTGAATGCGGCGGTTCCGCTTCGCGGCTGCGCCCGGCTGTGTGTGGCGCGGCGCTGCGGACCGGGACGAGAGGCCCGAGTTCGATTCCCCCGCTCACGCGAGGCTGGGCGCAGGATCTTTGTCTACGCAGGCGGTTCCAGGCCGATGAGATTCGATTCGCGGCTCGCGCTCACGGCCAGCGACGCCGGCGACGATTATCCGGGCGTCCCTCTAAGTCGACTCGGCGAGTGCGGTGCGTCGTAAACATCGCCCCTGGGGAGACAAAGGCGGCCGGGCGCAGTTCTGGCCGCCCACCCCCTTTGTGTGCCGGGCCGGCCTTCATAGGCGCCGCTCGCTGAAAGCGCTTTCCCCAGCAGCCTGTTGAGGCTATACGGGTCGTCTTTGTGCGAGTGAGTGAGTGCGTGAATGTGAACTCGTGGATTTGTGTTGTCAGTTGTGTTTATTTGCGTGTTGAGTGCGTGCGAGCGTGCATGTGTGTGTGCGCGTGCGTGCGTGCGTGAGCTTGGGAAATGTGGGGAGCGGTGGTGCAGCGGTTAGCGCGCTGCGCTATGAACCTGGCGACCCGGGTTTGCTTCCCGCTCATGGCCAACACCAGTGACGATTATCTGAACCGGTCCCGGGCCTCCTCTCGGTCAACTCAGCCTCAAGTGAGTTCCTGGTGCAGTGTGTAAACATCGCCACTGGGGAGACAAAGGCGGTCGGGCGTGGTGCTGGCCACCCACCCCCTCGTGTACCGTTCCGGCCTTCATAGGTGCTCGCTAACAGCACTTGCCCCCACAGTCTGTTACAGGCTACACGGGGGATCTTTTGTGAGCTTGGGAAATGTGTGAGGAGTACGTGAGTTCGTGAGTGTGTTTGTGTGCGCACGAGCGCGAGCTTGGGGAATGTGCGAGTGCGTGCGCGTGGGGGAATGCGCGCGTGCGTGCGCGTGCACGTGCGCGAGCGTGCGACCGTGTGCATGAGCGCGCGTGTCTGCATGTGTGTTTTTGTGTCAACGGGGAGCGTTAGTGTAGGGGTTAGCTCGCCGCGCTAGGCGCTAGGAACCCGGCGACCCGACTTTGAATCCAGCTCACGGTTAACACCACAGTGACGATTTTTTGAATCGGCCCCGGGCTTCCTCTACGTCGACTCAGCCTCAAACGAGCACCTGGTGCGGTGTGTAGTAAACATCGCCACTGGGGAGACGAAGGCTGCCGGCCTTCGTAGCTGCTCGCTAATGGCACTTCCCCCCCCCCCCAACAGTCTGTTACAGGCTACACGGGGGATCTTTGCCTCGTGTGTGAATGTGCTGAGCTCGTGAGCGTGTGCGCGTTTGCGTGCGTGTTTATTATATTTAAGCAGATCTTGTGAACTCGTCGCTGTGGCGGCGGCTGTGTGAAGCTGGCCCCGGGGGCGGCCCCAGCTGCATGGGCCCCGGGTGCCGAGGTGGGGTGGGGGGGGGCGGGATGGGGTGGGGGTCAGTTGGGGGGGTCCGGTGTGGGGGGTGCCGCTCGCATTCCGTGCCGTGGTTTACTCTGCCGGGCGCGATGAGTGAGCCCGAGCGCTAACGATGCCGCTAATTAGCCGAAATCCGTGGCGTGTTTTACACCGCGCGCGATTGCGTGTGCGCGTGCGTACGTGTGTGTGCGTACGTGTGTGTGCGTACATGTGTGTGCGTACGTGTGTACGTGTCTCCGTGCGTGCGTGTGTACATGTGTCCGTGCGTGTGTGTCCGTGCGTGTACGTGTGTGTGTGTGTGAGCGCGCGTGCGAACGTGCTTGAGTGACTTACCTAATGTTAGTTTTGGCCGTGAGATTTCGTGTGGCTTTTGTTTTTTGTTTTTACTTGCGTCCCGAGGCGCGGAGGGGACAGCTGTGGCGTTAGAGCCGGTGTGGCGGCCGCGCTGCACGGCACGGCACGGCACCGCACAGGCACGGCACCGCACGGCACCACAATGCACCGCACGGCACCGCACGGCACCACAATGCACCGCACGGCACGGCACGGCACCACAATGCACCGCACCACACGGCACGGCACGGCACCGCGCCACGCCGCGGCCTCCCTCGCCCTTGGCCTGCCGGCGCCGCCCCCGCCCCCCCCCCCCCCCCCCCCCGCGTGCGTCGCTGGCGGCCATCACTCTCCGTCGAAACTTTTCGCGCGCCTCCGGATTCTGTCGCCGGTCGGCGATGTCCGCGGGCAACAATGCGTCTCCCTCCGCGTGCAAAAGTACCGCTCGCAAAGCCCGTCGGCGCAACGGCATGGTCGGCGGCTCTAGACCCTGGCTTCCACCCGCGGCGTCTCGTCGACGGTCGTCAGGCCCGCTTGAGGCAACGCTGCCGAACCCGCCGGCCTTCGTAGGTGCTGCTCGCTAACAGCGGTCTGTGTGGGCTGCACGGGGGATCGGGAGTGTGTGCGCGTGAGTGTCCGTGCGTGTCTGTGTGTCCGTGTGTGTGCGCTCGTGTTGGACTTGTATGGCTTTGCCGCCACACGTGATATTGACACAAGCGCATTTTGTGCGTGCGTGCGTGTGTGGCCGTGTGTGCTTGTGTGTCTGTATGTGCGTGTCCACGTCTGCGCGCGTCTGCGTGCTCGTGTACGCATATAAGGTGGTGTAGCGGTTGAGCGCTACGCTGCGTTACGAACCCGGCGACCCGAGTTTGATTCCCGCTCACGGCCAACACCGCTGACGATTATCCGAACCGGTCGTGGGCCTCCCTCAAATGAGTCACCCGGTGCGGTGTGTGAACATCGCCACTGGGGAGACAAAGGCGGCCGGGCGTGGTGCAGGCCACCCCCACCCCCTCGTGTGCCGTGCCGGCCTTCATAGGCGCTCGCTAACAGCACTTGCCCCAGCGGTCTGTCAAGGCTACAAGGGGAATGGTCTTTGTCTTTGTGTGCGTGCGTGTGTAGGGAATGGAGATGTCTCGACTCACGGAGGAACTCGCGGGCCCACTCAGGCAGCTCCAGGTGGGGATTCGTCACGTGGCAACGCAGATTGCTCTCGTCAAGATGTTATTTTTTTCGCTTCATCTTACCCTGTGTTGATTTAATTGGTTTCAGGTCTCGCCAAATTTTTTCTGGCTTCGGCCAGCTCACACGTGCATTTTGAATTCGTAGTTGTTTTTCCGCATCTAAACTCTTTCTTTTATTCTACCAGGTAAGGCCCACTGAGCTACGTAGCTCTGTGTGTCAGATGCGACCTGGCCATCACAAACGATAGCTCGACCAAGTGTGCGCTTATCACGTGGATATTTACAGCAGCCAAATGCTATAAACGCGCGGTGATGCTCATTCTGAATGTGGAGGGAAAAACTCGGAGGACTCGGAGAATAATCCACGTGACCACGGGCAGAGAGAGAGGGAGAGAGAAAGACGCAAACTCCAAAATATACGGCAGGCGAAATGGGAACTTTTTTCTAGTATCAAAGTGTGAACACATAAGATTCGGTTTTGCTCTTTCTGGCAATTAAACAGGAGGTGTTAAGATGTCCAGACACAAAATAGAAACATTTTGTTGCACGGAATCAAGGCTGCATTAACCACGCACCACAGTACTCGTCGTGCACGTGCAAACGAACACGTGGCTCTGATAATATACGAGCATTGTCTTTGAGGCTGACTGGCCTCCTCCTGGAGACGGCAGCCGTCTTTTGGTGCCTCGTCTCGCCAGTGACAAGGCGAGCAGCACAAGGACAATGCCACTATCGGAGCGTATGCAGCTCGCGCTGAGCAGCTGCAAAACGGGACCTTTTTGGCACTATCACCTAGTCTCGTCTTATCATACATGAGCCGTACGAATGAAGATTGTCGTCGTCGCCACTGCAGGAGTGCGCACGCCGGATCGCCAAGGTGGCGGCCGAGGCGAAGCTGGGCTTGGAGGAGGACGACTATGTCTCCTCCTTCCGGCCGGACCTCATGGACGTCGTCCACACCTGGGCCAACGGAGCCTCCTTTGCCCAGATCTGCAAGATGACGGACGTGTTCGAAGGTGGGCGGGCGGGCGGGCGGGCGAGCGGGGCACGTGGGTGGGTGGGTGGAGTGGCTGGGTGGGCGAGCGTGGCGCGTGGATGGGTGGTTGGGTGGGCGAGTGTGGCGCGTGGGACAAGTGGGTGGCTGAGTAGGCGACCGAGCGGATGTGTGAGTGAGTAAGTTGAGTGGCGATTTTCTTGAATCGGTCCTGGGCTTTTCCCCTAGGTCGGCTCGAAGCCGGCTGTGACCCGATGGGTTGGGATTCGCGGCTCGCGGCCAGCACCGACATCAGCCGACGATGATCTAGGCCGGTCGCTGCGGCGTGCGGTGAACATCGCCGCCGGGGAGACGAGGGCAGCCTCGGGGCGCGGTGGCTTGGCCACGCCACGCCCGGCCTCCGTAGGCCCTACGGCGCTTGCAGCTCTTTGCCCCCCCCCCCTGCTAAAGGCTATCGGGGGGATGCAGCGCGCACGTGGGAGTGGGCCAGGCAGGGCCCACGCCGTTGCCGCTCGTGGTGATTGCTCCGAGCTCGCGGGGGTCACGGCTTAATTACGTTTTGATTCCGTGGCACGCCCCCCCGCCCCCCCCCCCCCCCCCCCCCCCCCGCACGCACGCAGTGTTTATTTATTTATTTTAGCAATGCCGTCGTGGTGCCGGATCGCATTCCCTGTTTACTCCGTGGCCGTGGCGACGATTCTGCTCGGTCTCTCTCCCGCTCTCCCGCCCCTCCCCGATGTCGTCTTGGTCTCTCGCTCTCCTGCCCCTCCGCTCTCTCTCCCGCTCCCGCTGTCCCTCTCCTCTCCTCTCCCGCTCGCTCGCTCTCTCGCTCGCGTGCAGATGTTTCGCCGCTCGCTCGAGCGACCGCGCGGTGGATGACGCGATGACGACGATGGGGAGCGGTGGGGAGGGGGGGGGAGGGGGGGTGGGGGGGTGGGGGGGGGGGCTTTAATAGCTCACCGTCATCGAAACGGCCACGATACATCTCTCGTCGCCGTGGCGACGTCGCCGTGTGTGCGCGTGTGTGCGTGTGTGCGCGTGTGTGCGTGTGTGCGCGTGTGCGTGTGTGCGCATGCCTTTGGAGCGGTGGTGCAGCGGTTGGCGCACTGCGCCACGAACCCAGAGACCCCGAGTTCGATTCTCGTTCACGGGCAACACTGGTGACGATTATCTGAAACGGGCCTGGGCCTCCCGGCCTCAAATAAATACCCTGGGCGCGGTGCGTATGAAGCATCGCCACTGGGGAGACAAAGGCGGTCGGGCGTGGTTATTGGCCACCCACCGCCCACCTCGTGTGCCGTTGTCGGCCTTCATTGGCGCAGCTACTCGCTCACGGCACATGTGTGTGTGTGTGTGTGCGTGCGTGCGTGCGTGTGTGCATGCGTGTGTGTGTGTGCGTGCAGGCACCGTGATCCGTTGCATGCGCAGGCTTGAGGAGCTGCTCAGGCAAATGTGTCAGGCCGCCAAGGCCATCGGAAACGTGGAGCTGGAGAACAAGTTCTCTGACGGTACGCACGCACGCTCGCTCGCTCGTCCGCTACGGGCGTTATAACTATCATACGAAACATTTTATTTTTTTATCATACACCAGGTAAGGGCTCCCCCCACCGAGCTGTGTGTAGCTTTTTTTGTTTTTCAGAAGCGACCTGGCCGGCGCTGAACGATAGCCCAACGAAGTGCATTTTTATCTTCTGACTTTCGTGACTGCAGGAATTCATATTCTACGTGACTTTACCGAAAGAACCATAGAATACGCATTATTATCGTTCGCGTGGACATGTGCAGCTGCAGCAGCAGCAGCTGCAGCAGCTGCAGCAGCCAGATGCATTTAAACGCTGCGATGAAATGGGGAGGGGGGACCCGGAGGAAAAATCCACGCACGACCACGGGGAGAGAGAAAGAGGGAGACACGCACACTCCCAATATACAGCAGACGTCAGGGTCGGGAACGAACCCACGACCTCCTGTGTACCAGGCGAGGGAGTTAACATCAACTCCTGGCCAACGTGGCGACTAGTTGGGCCAAACATCACGATATGGGACCAACAATTTTACTAGATCGATCGTTATCCCCCTCCCCACTTTCCTCTTTCACACGTGGAGTTTTCTAGGGTTTGCTCCTCCGTGTATAATCACTCATTTAGTCGTGGAGATTGGCCAATTAATCCGAAATAGGCCCACAGAGCTGGGGCAGTTCTTGGCGCTAGTTCTGGCTGCCTTTTTCCCGTGCCTCTGAATTATTCTCTCTCTCTCTGTCTGTCTCTCTCTGCCTGTGTCTGTCTCTCTGCCTGTCTCTGTCTCTGAGAGTTGAACCGGAACTGCGCATGTGCTTCAGTTTTTGAATTGTTGTGGTGAGGGTCACCGTGGGAGTTCAGCGAAGGCAGCTGGAACCGGTTCGGGGATCGTTCACCGTTGATGGCAGCCACGTCCGGGAATCGAACTCGGTCGTAGTTAGGAGCGAAATTCCGTTTTTACTTTTCTCGGACCGCAGAGCCCGCGTGCCCCCTGCCTGACCCCGCGTGCCCCCTGCCTGACCCCGCGTGCCCCCTGCCTGACCCCGCGTGCCCCCTGCCTGACCCCGCGTGCCCCCTGCCTGACCCCGCGTGCCCCCTGCCTGACCCCGCGTGCCCCCTGCCTGACCCCGCGTGCCCCCTGCCTGACCCCGCGTGCCCCATGCCTGACCCCGCGTGCCCCTGCCTGACCCCGCGTGCCCCATGCCTGACCCCGCGTGCCCCCTGCCTGACCCCGCGTGCCCCCTGCCTGACCCCGCGTGCCCCCTGCCTGACCCCGCGTGCCCCCTGCCTGACCCCGCGTGCCCCCTGCCTGACCCCGCGTGCCCCCTGCCTGACCCCGCGTGCCCCCTGCCTGACCCCGCGTGCCCCCTGCCTGACCCCGCGTGCCCCCTGCCTGACCCCGCGTGCCCCCCTGCCTGACCCCGCGTGCCCCCTGCCTGACCCCGCGTGCCCCCCTGCCTGACCCCGCGTGCCCCCCTGCCTGACCCCGCGTGCCCTTCCCTGCCTTCCAGCAATCATGCGGATCAAGAGGGACATCGTGTTCGCCGCCAGCCTCTACCTGTGACGACGACGACGACAACAACTTCGAGAACAACTACGACCACGACGGCGATCGTCATCGCCGCCGCCTCTTCCACGTCGTTCGTCGCGCGTCGTCCTGGAAACGGTGGCGATGAGAAACGGCAACCACCGCCCCCCCACCGCGACGAGGACGACGACGATGACGATGAGGACAGGGAGACACGTCCGCGATCCAATTGATCGGGAGACCCGGGGTTGGTGGATCATAGCGGGAGCCGGTAGCTGCGACTAGCGACGGACGACGAAGACTACGCACGTCACCACCACCGATGGTGGTGCGGGGGGTTTTCAACGCGCGTAGTTTTTCGTTCGCTCTCGGCAGAAGGAGAGCGCGAAGGACAGGGAGAGAAAATTATTCCGGGGAGGTGCCGGGAAAACCTCTCGGCCCAGGCGGGCAACGGCGGGCCAGAGGCCTGCTCTCCCCAACAATTGCCCAAGCTCTGTGCTCCTACATTGCGATGTTTCGCCAACTGCGTGAGTGAGTGAGTGAATGGATACAGTGGTAAAAGGCCGGCCGGTTTCTCCGACAGCGCCGCGTTTTTATTTCGTTAAGCGGCAGCGAATCTACCGTTGCCTTTTTTTTTTATCATCATCAATCGTCAGTGCCGTCGCGATCTCTCCTCCCGTGTCGACGGCGTGACCCCCGACCCCCCTGTCCCCCCCACCTCCACCGGGCTGCCCCTCCCCCCCCCCCACGCAGAGCCGTCGGAAGACCGCGAACCGGCGCATCGCTGCGGTAGTCACGAGGAGAGCCGCCGCGTGCTGTTTGGCTGTGTTGGTGGCCCGGATTTTTTGCGTCTCCTTTTCACTCGGCTAGGCGCGGGGCGGGGGGGGGGTGGGGGGGGTGGCTTGGCGATTTCTCAACCGCGCGCGTTCCGGGTCGGCGCTTCGGCGTTTAAAGAGCGGCGCCGGTTCTGTTTTATTTCCACGGTTTTCAAACCGTGCCGCCGGTTACAGTTCACGATCTTTCATTAAAAACCGGCGCATTTATCAACCGGAGCTTTGCCGTGACAGCGTGTGTCCGCGCGTGCGTCCGCGCGTGTCCCGCGTGCGGGATTAGCTGCCTCCGTAGGCCGATATCTGCGTGTGTGTCTGTGTGTCTGTGTGCGGGGGGGGCGGCAGTGTAGCAGTTAGCGCTACGCTGCGCTACGAACCCGATTCCCGCTCACGGCCGCCAACGTCGGTGGCGAAAATCTGAACCGGTCCTGGGTCTCCTCTTCGTCGACTAGGCCTTTAATGAGTTACCTGGGGGGGGGGGCGGCGTGTGAACATTCAGCACTGGGTGGGTGGGGTGGGCGCGGAGGGGGGACGCAGTCCGTGAGTGAACCCTTGTGAGTGAACTCTGCCGCGAGTGAACTCTGCCGTGAGTGAGCTCTGGCTTCCTCCCCCCGTCGTCATTGTCGTCACCATCTCTCCCCCACAAGCTTCTTGCTCAATTCAAAGCGAACGCACCAACGACCCCTGGATCCCGTGGCCCAACTTTTGACCGTCGCCACCGTGCCATTTGTCGCTGGCTGCCCACCGTTCTTTTTCCCCGTGATGAAGATTTTATTTTATTACCTGCGAACGACGCTCAAACCACAACCCCCCCTGGGGCGCGCCACCTCCTCTCCACCTCCTCGCCGCCTCCTCTCCACCTCCGCGCGCGGGAAAAACAAAATCCACACCGGGCAGCGGACGAGGTAGCTTTAAAATATTTATTTTTTTAGTTTTGCGTATAAATAATATCTGGCGTAGAAAATAACAAATTTCAAAGTTGGTTTCTCACCCCGTCGGAGGCGAACGGCGCCGTGTCAACACCACCACCACCACCGCCGCAGCAGCAGCAGCAGCGAGAAGACCTCGTCTACACCACCCCCCGCCCGAGCACATCTTCCCGTGCTCCTCGCCCGCTATCGGCCGCACACGGCCGAGCGCCCGCCGCTGCCTCCTACGACGTAAAGGAGCACCGAACCCCTGCGAGCGGCGACTCTCTGGCACAGCGGAGAGAGGCGTCGATGGGCGCCGCTCGCAAAGCGGCGGCGGCGGCGGTGGGGGTGGGGGGGGACGGAAGATGGAGCGACGGAGGGAAACCAACGCGGGTGAGAACACCGACTCCGAGATAGCGTTTACACCATTTAAAATACACAGTAAATGTTAATCTATTTTTTTTTTATTTTAGCAAAGATAGTGGTGTCACCGTCGAGGGCAGCGGGGGGGGGGGGGGGGGGGGGCATGGGAATTGGCCACCCCGGGGGGGGGTTTGGGTGGGGGGGGCCCCCCCTCTTCGCTCCTTTTCACAGACGCGGAGCGCCCGCCCTCAATCGTCGCGATCGCTGAATGCAACACGGCTCGCTCTTGCTCACTATATAGCTCACTATATAGCTCACTATGTAGCTCACTAGATAGCTCACTATATAGCTCACTAGATAGCTCACTATATAGCTCACTATATAGCTCACTATGTAGCTCACTAGATAGCTCACTATATAGCTCACTATATAGCTCACTAGATAGCTCACTAGATAGCTCACTATATAGCTCACTAGATAGCTCACTAGATAGCTCACTAGATAGCTCACTATATAGCTCACTAGATAGCTCACTATATAGCTCACTAGATAGCTCACTAGATAGCTCACTATATAGCTCACTCACGCTCACCCTCTCACTATGTAGCTCACTATATAGGTCACTATATAGCTCACTAGATAGCTCACTCACGCTCACTCTCTCTCACTATGTAGCTCACTATATAGGTCACTATATAGCTCACTATATAGCTCACTCACGCTCACTCTCTCTCACTATGTAGCTCACTATATAGGTCACTATATAGCTCACTGTATAGCTCACTCACGCTCACTCTCTCTCACTATGTAGCTCACTAGATAGCTCACTCTCACTATATAGCTCACTTACTCTCTCACTTTCTCTCTCACTATGTAGCTCACTCACGCTCACTCACTCTCACTATATAGCTCACTCTCACTCACTCTCACTAGATAGCTCACTAGATAGCTCACTCTATAGCTCACTCTCACTATATAGCTCACTCACTCTCTCTCACTGTCCTGTTTCTTACAGTCACCATTATAATGTCATTAGAAGGTAAACAAGCAAGGAAACCCACCCACGGCCCCCCGCGGTAAACGTACGTGGGGGGGGTGGGGGGGGGGAGAGCGAAGGCAGCAGCATGGAGGCAGCAAGTTGGCAAAGCGCGGCCCGGCGCAAGCGCGGCGACGGCGCCCTCTCAAAGCCGCCAGCTGCTCCGATTTTGACGCCGGCTTCTCTCCGCGTTTCGGCGCGAAAGAGTCCCCCATGCCACGTACGCCCTCGCGGAGGGAATTTCATTTGTTTGCGGTGGGGGGGGGGGGGCGGTGGGGGAGGGGTGGTGGTGGGGGGGGCGGTGAGGGAAACTAACAAATTGCCCCGCGAGTGGGACTCAAAAGTTGCTGCCGTGAATCGGGAGCGGAGACTTTGGGTTGGTGAAGTTGGTGGTGGCAGCTGCCACCCTAGGTGGGGGGGGGGGGGGGGGCCCATTAGGGTCACCCACCCCCCCACTCCTCCCAGCACCACCCCCACCCTCTGGCTCCCACCCTGCCGCTGCCCCCCCCCCCCCACAGTTCACATTCGCTCAGAAGCATTCGCCACGCGCACACGCGCGACAACATTCGTTAGTTCACATTGGTCACGGTGACGTGATAACTACATCAACCCCAACAACCCGGGGGGGGCCCACATGGGGGGGGGGGGGGTAATAAGGACGCGAGGAAACGCGACCGCCACGACGTGCGGGGCGGGGGGGGGGAGCGAAAAACAAAAAATCAATCGAGCGGCGTCCGAGAAGCTTTCACAGTTACGCGCCGCTTATTCGGCTTCTACAGCTTGGCAGCGCGTCGCGAGGTCCGCCGGGACGGGAGGAGGAGGGGGAGGGGAGGGATGACCACGACGATGGTTCCCTACACTCTGCTCGTCAACACATTCAGCAGCAAAAACTCGCTCGCTCGCGTCGTGTGTGTGTGTGCGCTTGTGTATCGCTCCTGATTGGTACCCACCCCTGCCACTCATCTCTACCGACCCACCCACCCATCACTACCCCACCCATCGCTAACCCACCCATCACTACTCACCCATCACTACTCACCCATCACTAACTCACCCATCACTACCCCACCCATCACTACTCACCTGTCCCCACCCACCCATCACTACCCCACCCATCACTACTCACCTGTCCCCACCCACCCATCACTACCCCACCCATCACTACTCACCTGTCCCCACCCATCACTACTCACCCATCACTACTCACCCATCACTAACTCACCCATCACTACCCCACCCATCACTACTCACCTGTCCCCACCCACCCATCACTACCCCACCCATCACTACTCACCTGTCCCCACCCACCCATCACTACTCACCTGTCCCCACCCACCCATCACTTCCTACCCTATCAACCCAACCCATCCCTCTACCCACCCAACGCTCTCTGCTGGCGTTGATGAAAAAAGCCTCGCGCGGAGACACCACAGAGACACCACAGACACCGCGGAGACACCACAGACACCGCGGAGACACTGCGGAGACACCGCAGACACCACAGAGACACCGCAGAGACACTGCGGAGACACTGCGGAGACACCACAGAGACACCGCAGACACACCACAGAGACACCACAGACACCGCGGAGACACCGCAGAGACACCGCGGAGACACCGCAGAGACACTACGGAGACACTGCGGAGACACCACAGAGACACCGCAGACACACCACAGAGACACTGCGGAGACACCAGACACCGCAGAGACACTACGGAGGCACCACGGAGACACTGCAGAGACACCACAGAGACACCGCAGAGACACCGCAGACACACCACAGAGACACTGCGGAGACACCACAGACACCGCGGAGACACCGCGGAGACACCGCAGAGGACACCGCGCAGACACTGCGGAGGCAATTGGCGGCGAAAGTTCACACAGGGTGGCGGCGGTGCGAGCGGCCACGCGGGGACCCCCACGGCCCCCCCCCCCACCACGCCCCCCCCGGCCCCCCCCACCACGCCCACCCCCCCCACCTCGCTCCCTTCGTTGCTGGGAGCGGGCAAATCCAGCGAGCAGCGACGCCAACAGAGCCTCTGTCACGGCCGGAATATAATGAAGCTCTACAACTATTTTTTTTTTTTACTTCACCGGGTAAAGGCCCCACTGAGCCGCCGTATACAGCGCCTGCCTATCGCAAATGATATCTCGGCCAAGGTGGCTCGGCATCGTCATTGTCGTCAAGTGGGAATTGTTTCGCGGCTGCCGAATGACTCTTAACCGCGCGATGTTGAATCGAAATGTGGAATTGAAAAAAACGGGGGACCCGGAAGACAAATCCGCGCGCCCACGGGGCGAAAGAGAGAGAGAGAGAGACACCGCAAACTCCAAATATGCAGCAGGCGTCGGGGTCGTGATCGAACTCGCGACCTCCTGCATACCAGGCGAGGTAGTCAACATCTCCCAGCCAACCGTGGTGACGATGAGAGAGAGACACGCAAACTCCAAATATGCAGCAGGCGTCGGGGCCGTGATCGAACTCGCGACCTCCTGCATACCAGGCGAGGTAGTCAACATCTCCTAGCCAGCCGAGATGTAGCACCACTCCCGCCTCCTTTAGTCTCTCTCTCAAAGAGGCAACGGGGGGCCAGAGCATCGCCCGGTATACCCAGCTCAGGTTCGCGAAGCCTTTTACAGCGAGCACGCCCGGGCCTATTCACACGGCCGGCCGGGGGGCCCAGCCACTTGGGGCTCGCCCCACCACCGCCAGGTCGTCCTCGCTCCCTTTGGGGTGAGCGGTCCCCCATCCCCCCTCCACCTCATCGAGCCGGGCGTTTGGGGAAAAAAATAATACATTCAGTCGCGAATCGCCGAGCACGGGACACGTACAAAGTTACTTTGGGGGGGGGGCGAGGGGGGGGTGGTGATTGGGATACAATTGACAAGAAGGCAGACACCGGCAGTGGAATTTCCCGGCGAGGTGTCACGGGTTCCGTTCTGCCAAGCAGAGCGAGCACTGGAAACCCTCGGTCCACGGTACCGGACTCGGTTACACAGGGGAACATCTCTCCTACCACCACCGCGGCCTTGGTAGCAACCCCCCATGTTGGTATGGGGGACCCCTGTAGTACGAGACCACAGAACAATGGCCCCGGAGAGAGGGGGGGGGGGGCGTTGTGTGTCTGTGTGTGATGGTGAGTGAGTGATGGTGAGTGAGTGATGGTGAGTGATGGTGAGTGAGTGTGATGGTGAGTGTGTGTGATGATGAGTGTGTGTGATGGTGAGTGTGTGTGATGGTGAGTGTGTGGGATGGTCAGTTAGAGTGATGGTGAGTAATAGTGAGTGTGTGATGGTGAGTGTCATGGTGAGTGTGATGGTGAGCGTGATGGTGAGAGTGATGGTGAGTGCGATTAATGGTGAGTAATAGTGTGTGATGGTGAGTGTGTGATGGTGAGCGTGATGGTGAGAGTGATGGTGAGTGCGAGTAATGGTGAGTAATAGTGTGTGATGGTGAGTGTGTGATGGTGAGCGTCATGGTGAGTGTGTGATGGTGACTGTCATGGTGAGTGTGTGATGGTGAGCGTGATGGTGAGTGTGACAGTGTAACATGGCACGTGTCAGCGGTGTGCTCGTGCGTGTGTTGGCGCACGCACGTCACCTTGTGTGCACGCATGCCTACACACGCGTGTGTGTGTGCACGCGTGTGTGTGTGCGCGCGTGTGTGTGTGCACGCGTGTGTGTGTGCACACGTGTGTGTGTGCGCACGTGTGTGTGTGCGCACGTGTGTGTGTGCGCACGTGTGTGTGTGTGCGCCCGTGCCATAGGTAGTTTTCCCCCAGCCGCCCCCACCCATGCTCCCCCACTCCACCCCCCGGCCCCCCCCGCTCCACCCTCACGCGTTGTTGCTGATCCTCTGCAGGTTCGTGTCGGACTTGAGGCCGTCTGGTGACGCGGAGGTCGCGACCCCGTGCCTCCTGAACAGGCCGGACACGTAGAACACCTGCACGCACGCGCACAGCCCGTGTCGTCAGCGCCATCGCCAATCATCGTCAGCGCCAGCCGTGGTCTGTCCACTGCTGGATGAAGGCCTCCCCCCCAAGCCGGCTGCTGCCAGATGATCACGATCATGCGATGTGACTGTCGTCATCATCGCCCTCGTCAAAATCGTCGTCGTCGTCGTCACCGTCGGCCGTGGTCTAGCCCCTCGGCCGCCGTTCTGTGCGCCCTCTTTGAGTGTTTCTTCTCCGTTTCGTCGTTAATAACCGCGCAGCGATCCACGTCGTAGCATTGACAACGTGCGTCATAGCATTGGGCTAAGTGAAAGGGCCAATGAGTGAGTGGGCCAGTGAGTGGTTGAGTGGCTGATGGTGCGAGTGAGTGACCGATCGAGTGAGCGGGTCGGTGACCGATTGATTGACCGGTCGAACGAACCAGTGGTCGATTGAGCACGTGGCTGGGCGAGCGAGTGAGTGACCGATCGATCTAGCGAGCGGCGTAACAAGCGAGCAGTGGAGCAGGCGGAGAGTGAGCGAGTGGTGAAGGCGAGGAGCGAGCGAGTGAGCGAGCGGTGGAGCAGGCGAAGAGTGAGCGAGTGGTGGAGCGAGCGGGCGAGTGGGTGGTGGAGCGAGCGGGCAAGTGGGTGGTGGAGCGAGCGGGCGAGTGGGTGGTGGAGCGGGCGAATCGGTGGTGGAGTGAGCGGGCGAGTGGGTGGTGGAGCGAGTGGGTGGTGTAGCGAGCGGGCGAGTGGGTGGTGGAGCGAGCGAGTGGGTGGTGGAGCGAGCGGGCGAGTGGGTGGTGGAGCGAGCGGGCGAGTGGGTGGTGGAGCGAGTGGGTGGTGGAGCGAGCGGGCGAGTGGGTGGTGGAGCGAGCGGGCGAGTCGGTGGTGGAGTGAGCGGGCAAGTGGGTGGTGTAGCGAGCGGTGGAGCAGGCGGGTGAGCGGTGTAGCGAGCGGTGTAGCGAGCGGGCGAGCGAGCGAGCGAGCGTCCTCACCACGAAGGCGGCGACGGCGGCGCCCTGCAGGAAGCCGACGAGCACGTCGCCCCAGTGGTGCATGTTGTCGGCCACGCGCGACAGCCCCACGTAGACGGCGCACAACAGCAGCGCCGCCTGCAGCAGCGGGCGCAGCAGGCGGGCCGTGCGCCAGCGCAGGCGGGCGTGCACGTACAGCTGGGGGGGGGGGGGGCAGGAGAATCGTTAAGGGGGGGGGGGGTGATGGAGAGAGACACGGCGACATTGGGATGTGGAGAGAGGGAGGGAGAGGGATGTGATGGGAAGGCAGTGGTGGAGAGAGGTGTGTGGGGGGGGGGGTTGGAGATCAGAGATGGGGGGGGGGGGGGCGAAGGGAAACATCGAAGTGGAGAGAGAGTGAGAGATGGCGCGGAGAGGGAACGAGACGCAACGGGGGAGGAGTGAGGGACGTGACGAGGAGGAGTGAAGAGGTGGAGCGAGACCGAAGTCCGAGGTTGGTCGGTGAGCAGCATGGGAGAGGGGCGAACGGAAGCGATGACGAGGTGGGTGGGTGGGGGGGGTGTGAAGAGGAGGAGATGGACCATGGAGAGAGAGGGAGAGAGGCCGTGTGGGATCACGGGAAGACGACACCAACACCACCACAACAACAACGCAGAATCTTCGCGGGGCTGGATTTTTTTTATGGCTTTTTTTTCTCTCTCTCTAAAGTTTTAGTTTCGTTCGGAGCGTCGCTGGGACGCGACACAGTGCCGAGCGAGCGAGCATGAGCGCCGCTTTTCACGAGCGCCGGTTTCCTGTTTTGGTCAGGGGAGCATCTGCAGCGGCGGCGGTGGCAGCACTCGCTGTGCCACAGCTGCGGCGGAGACGTCTCCTCCATCCCCCCCATCCCCTCCCTCCATCCCCTCCATCCCCTCCATCCCCTCCATCTCCTCCATTCCCCCATTCCCTCCATCTCCTCCATCCCCTCCATCTCCTCCATCCCCTCCATCCCCTCCATCTCCTCCATTCCCATCTCCTCCATCCCCCCATTCCCTCCATCTCCTCTCCTCCATCCCCCCATTCCCATCTCCTCCATCTCCTCCATCTCCTCCATCACCTCCATCCCCTCTCCTCCATCTCCATCCCCTCCATCTCCATCCCCTCCATCTCTTCCATCCCCTCCATCTCCTCCATCCCCTCTCCTCCATCTCCATCCCCTCCATCTCCTCCATCTTCATCCCCTCTCCTCCATCCCCTCCATCCCCTCCATTTCCTCGATCCCCTCCATCTCCATCATCTCCATCTCCTCCATCTCCTCCATCCCCTCCATCCCCTCCATCCCCTCTCCTCCATCCCCTCCATCCATTCCCATCCCCTCCATCTCCATCTCCTCCATCTTCATCCCCTTTCCTCCATCCCCTCCATCCCCTCCATCCCCTCTCCATCCCCTCCATCCATCCCCTCCATCCATCCCCTCCATCCCCTCTCCATCCCCTCCATCCATCCCCTCCATCCCCTCTCCTCCATCCCCCCATACCCATCTCCTCCATCCCCTCCATCTCCTCCATCCCCTCGCCAACACCACCGCCTCGGAATAGCCTCGGCATGCGCTCTCGCAAAATATATATACACGCAGCAACTTCTACTCAAAAACTGAAGCAGCTGCTGCTGCTGCAGGATGAGAGCCATCAACTCGACAAATGAGCAACTGAGCAAGCCCGAGAGAGCAATCGGACGTAGCGTAGCGTCGCAACGCAAGAGCGGGAGAACGAGAGAGAGAGAGAGAGCGCGAGAGGGAGAGCGACATGGAGTAGGGAGAGAGGGGGGTAGAGAGAGAGGGAAGGGGTAAGGAGAGCAGAACGTGAAATCTTTCGTCAAATCTTTCATTTTCAAGGGGGGGGGGGGGGGGGGGGGGGGGGTTTACATAAAGCAAAGCATTAAAAACAAAACTAAATGATGAACGAAGCAAAGTGCCGACTACACCGAGCATCTTCTTGTTTCCTCTGATCGAAAAAAAAGCTGCTCGCTCACACTCTCGTAATCTCTCGCACTCCTGGGTGAGAGGGCGGCGGGGTGGGGGAGAGAGAGAGCGTGTCCCGGAGCGTCTCGCCGCAGCACAAGATGATTACCCCGGTGCGGTGCTTCGCGTGCGGGAAGGTTGGGTCGGCAATAAGTGGGGAAGCCTACTTGGGGTCTGTTGCGGGCCGAATACGCAGGAGGAGATGGACTGGATGCCCTGGGACTGAAGAGATGCCCGCTGTCGCCGTGTGCTGCTCTCTCACGTCGTCCTCATTGAAAAGCTACTCAACTACGCACCTTTGGAGAAACAACTTTGCTACACGTTCCTACACAAAGGCCTGACAAGGAAATGATAAAAGATTGGGCATATATTCGGCCGCATTCTCATTTTTTCATTACAATCCTCAATCGGCTGAAATATTTACATGAGCGAAAATGGCAACAGCAATCATTTTGCATTACAGAATACAAAATCATGTTTTTGTTTGTTTGTTTTCAGTGAGAGCGAGAGCGGGAGAGCGAGCAAGAGGGCACGGCGCACGAGGCGCCCCCTGTAGAGGAAACGCGGCGCTAACGCCATACACATTGCGGCTGATTAAGTGTCAGCCGCTATCTGTAAACGAGGACCCACGCCTCCCGCATCACCGGGCGCTCCTTGCTCGCACGGCGGCCGCTAGCGTCAGCCCGCTCGGTATACATCGATGCAATGGCCCGGTATAATTGACAACAATGACACTACTACTACTGCTACCTGTTCAATTTTGACTTGGAACTTTCGTGACCGCAGGAATTCGTATTCTTGGTTCTTTCGGTAAAGTCACGTAGATAGAAAATAAAAATAAAATTTAAAATAAATGCAACAAACCCCCCCCCCCACGACTTTTCGATCGCAACACAAGCGTGACAATCCCGTTGGGTGGCGGAGGGCTATCCACCGGCCTAACCCAGAAACCAATGCGGATCAGCCGAGCCAGTGAGCCTTAAGAAGATGGCCATCATCAGCGCCTGCTGTGTGTGTGTGGCACGTGGTTCCGGAACGCGGCCACGGACTAAAAATGTGGAACAAAAACTTAAGACCACGCGCGCAGAGATGGAGAGCGAGAGGGAGAGATGGAGAGTGAGAGAGATGGAGAGGGAGAGATGGAGAGGGAGAGAGATGGAGCGCGAGAGAGATGGAGAGGGAGAGAGATGGAGAGTAGGAGAGAGATGGAGAGGGAGAGAGATGGAGAAGGAGATGGAAAGTGAGATGGAGAGTGAGAGATGGAGCGCGAGAGAGATGGAGAGTGAGAGAGATGGAGAGGGAGAGAGATGGAGCGCGAGAGAGATGGAGAGTGAGAGCGATGGAGAGGGAGAGAGATGGAGAGGGAGAGAGATGGAGAGTGAGAGATATGGAGAGGGAGAGAGATGGAGAGGGAGAGAGATGGAGAGTGAGAGAGATGGAGAGGGAGAGAGATGGAGAGGGAGAGAGATGGAGAGGTAGAGAGATGGAGAGCGAGAGAGATGGAGAGTTAGAGAGATGGAGAGGGAGAGAGATGGAGAGGGAGAGAGATGGAGAGCGAGAGAGATGGAGAGTTAGAGAGAGGGAGAGAGATGGAGAGGGAGAGAGATGGAGAGTGAGAGAGATGGAGAGGGAGAGAGATGGAGAGTTAGAGAGTGGGAGAGAGATGGAGAGGGAGAGAGATGGAGAGTGAGAGATATGGAGAGGGAGAGAGATGGAGAGGGAGAGAGATGGAGAGTGAGAGAGATGGAGAGAGATGGAGAGGGAGAGAGATGGAGAGGGAGAGAGATGGAGAGCGAGAGAGATGGAGAGTTAGAAAGAGGGAGAGAGATGGAGAGGGAGAGAGATGGAGAGGGAGAGAGATGGAGAGCGAGAGAGATGGAGAGTTAGAGAGAGCGAGAGAGATGGAGAGGGAGAGAGATGGAGAGGGAGAGAGATGGAGAGTGAGAGAGATGGAGAGGGAGAGAGATGGAGAGTTAGAGAGAGGGAGAGAGATGGAGAGGGAGAGAGATGGAGAGGGAGAGAGATGGAGAGTGAGAGAGAGGGAGAGAGATGGAGAGGGAGAGAGATGGAGAGGGAGAGAGGGAGAGAGATGGAGAGGGAGAGAGATGGAGAGGGAGAGAGATGGAGAGTGAGAGAGATGGAGAGGGAGAGAGATGGAAAGTGAGATGGAGAGTGAGAGATGGAGCGCGAGAGAGATGGAGAGTGAGAGAGATGGAGAGGGAGAGAGATGGAGAGTGAGAGATATGGAGAGGGAGAGAGAGGGAGAGAGATGGAGAGTGAGAGAGATGGAGCGGGAGAGAGATGGAGAGGGAGAGAGATAGATAGGGAGAGAGATGGAGAGCGAGAGAGATGGAGAGTTAGAGAGAGGGAGAGAGATGGAGAGGGAGAGAGATGGAGAGGGAGAGAGATGGAGAGCGAGAGAGATGGAGAGTTAGAGAGAGGGAGAGAGATGGAGAGGGAGAGAGATGGAGCGGGAGAGAGATGGAGAGGGAGAGAGATAGATAGGGAGAGAGATGGAGAGCGAGAGAGATGGAGAGTTAGAGAGAGGGAGAGAGATGGAGAGGGAGAGAGATGGAGAGGGAGAGAGATGGAGAGCGAGAGAGATGGAGAGTTAGAGAGAGGGAGAGAGATGGAGAGGGAGAGAGATGGAGAGGGAGAGAGATGGAGAGTGAGAGAGATGGAGAGGGAGAGAGATGGAGAGTTAGAGAGAGGGAGAGAGATGGAGAGGGAGAGAGATGGAGAGGGAGAGAGATGGAGAGTGAGAGAGAGGGAGAGAGATGGAGAGGGAGAGAGATGGAGAGGGAGAGAGAGGGAGAGAGATGGAGAGGGAGAGAGATGGAGAGGGAGAGAGATGGAGAGTGAGAGAGATGGAGAGGGAGAGAGATGGAAAGTGAGATGGAGAGTGAGAGATGGAGCGCGAGAGAGATGGAGAGTGAGAGAGATGGAGAGGGAGAGAGATGGAGAGGGAGAGATGGAGTGGGAGAGAGATGGAGAGGGAGAGAGATAGAGAGTGAGAGATGGAGAGGGAGAGAGATGGAGAGGGAGAGAGATGGAGAGGAAGAGAGATGGAGAGGGAGAGAGATATAGAGAGTGAGGGAGAGAGATTGAGAGAGATGGAGAGTGAGAGAGATGGAGAGTGAGAGAGATGGAGAGAAAGATTGAGAGAGATATAGAAAGCGAGGGAGAGATGGAGAGGCACACGGTCTTCATCCAGCAGTGGCTCGACCATGACGACGACGATAAGAGCATGGGGAGAGGAGCCACGTGGGTGAGAGATCGCACACAGGTTCGTTTGTACAGATGCACTTTGAACTTCGTCCGCACCGTACGTAGCCAGCCGTGCTCATCGGGGAAGGACAACAAACTTGACGCACAAAGGAGTTCTAAGGAAATGAGTTTTCAATCTGGATGATGTACGAGTGGGGTTAATCTACGGGTAGACCAACTTGGCCCTGTCATGGCAATGTGGAATGTCCACACCACTTCCCCCCCCCCCCCCCCCCCCCCCCCCCCCCCCCCCCCCCGAGGCGAGACGGAGCCCCAAGACGCTCCGTCTCGCGTATTGCTGCTCGTACCACAACGGCTTCTCACCTACAAAGTGGTACTCCATTTTAACAACCCTTAAAGCAATGTGACGACGATGATGATGATGATGGGCTGAGTTGACCTGTGGCTCGGATTAGAACCCCCTCCCACGTGACCCCGCGCAGTGTCGCCCGGGCAACCGCTCTCTAACAGAATATTTATTTATACTGGAGGAATCTGATGAGCTACGAAGCTCTTTTCAACAGATGTGTGTGTGTGTGTGATGGTTAGCGCGCTGTGCTACGAACCCGGCGCACCGGTGACGATTATTTGAACCGGTCGTGGGCCTCCCCTAGGTCGACTCAGCCTCAAATGAGTACCTGGTGGCGGTGTGTAAATATCGCCACTGGGGAGACAAAGGCGGCCGGGCGCGGTGCTGGCCACCCACCCCCTCGTGTGCCGTGCCGGCCTTCATAGGTGCAGCTCGCTAAGAGCACTTGCCCCTACAGTCTGTTACAGGCTACACGGGGGGTGTTTGTGTGGTCCCAAGGTGCACCTCGCCTGGCACAAGTGCCATAGTGACGTCACCGCCACTTTCTGGTTATTGTTGATGATGTGGTTAATGTTGTGGTTGTTGTTGATGTTGTGCTTGATGTTGGTGTTGTGGTTGATGTGGTTGTTGTTGTGGTTGTTGTGCGGGTTCTCACGGCGAGGAAGATCATCGTGTACATGGAGAAGGAGGCATGGCCCGAGTAGAACGACTTCCTGTGGGAGAGGGGAGGGGAGGGAGAGGGGGAGGGAGAGAGGAGGGAGAGGGGAGGGAGAGGGGAGGGGAGGGAGAGGGGAGGGAGAGGGGAGGGAGAGGGGAGGGAGAGGGGGAGGGGAGGGAGAGGGGGAGGGGAGGGAGAGGGGAGGGAGAGGGGAGGGGAGGGAGAGGGGAGGGGAGGGAGAGGGGAGGGAGAGGGGAGGGGGAGGGAGAGGGGAGGGAGAGGGGAGGGAGAGGAGAGGGGAAGGGGAGGGGAGGGAGAGGGGAGGGAGAGGGGAGGGGGAGGGGAGGGAGAGGGGAGGGGGAGGGGAGGGAGAGGGGAGGGAGAGGGGAGGGGGAGGGGAGGGAGAGGGGAGGGGAGGGAGAGGGGAGGGAGAGGGGAGGGTGAGGGGAGGGAGAGGGGGGGGGGGAGAGGGGAGGGGAGGGAGAGGGGAGGGGAGGGAGAGGGGAGGGAGACGAGAGGGGAGGGGAGAGGGGAGGGAGAGGGGAGGGAGAGGGGAGGGGAGGGAGAGGGGAGGGGAGGGGAGGGAGAGGGGAGGGAGAGGGGAGGGGAGGGGAGGGAGAGGGGAGGGAGAGGGGAGGGAGAGGGGAGGGGGAGGGGAGGGGAGGGAGAGGGGAGGGGAGGGAGAGGGGGAGGAGAGAGGGGAGGGAGAGGGGAGGGAGAGGGGAGGGAGAGGTGAGGGAGAGGGGAGGGGGAGGGAGAGGGGAGGGAGAGGAGAGGGGGAGGGGAGGGAGAGGTGAGGGAGAGGGGAGGGGGAGGGGAGGGAGAGGGGAGGGAGAGGGGAGGGAGAGGGGAGGGGGAGGGAGAGGGGAGGGAGAGGGGAGGGGAGGGAGAGGGGAGGGGAGGGAGAGGGGAGAGGGGAGGGGAGAGGGAGGAGAGAGGGGAGGGAGAGGGGAGGGAGAGGGGAGGGAGAGGGGAGGGGAGGGAGAGGGGAGGGAGAGGGGAGGGAGAGGGGAGGGGGAGGGGAGGGGGAGGGAGAGGGGAGGGAGAGGCAAGGGGAGGGAGAGGGGGAGGGGAGGGGGAGGGAGAGGGGAGGGGAGGGGAGGGAGAGGGGAGGGAGAGAGAGAGGGGAGGGGGTCAGTGACGAGGGGACAACGACGCTGCCCTCTGTGATCACGATCTGTATCCAGTAACACACCGTGCTGCCCCCTGCAACAAACTGTGCAGCTGGTGATGTGTGTGGTGTGTGTGTGTAGTGTGTGTGGTGTGTGTGTGTGGTGTGTGTGGTGTGGTGTGTGTGTGGTATGTGTGGTGGTGGTGTGTGTGGTTTGTGTGTGGTTGTGTGTGGTGTGTGTGGTGGGTTGTGTGTGGTGTGTGTGTGTGGTGTGTGTGTGGTGGTAGTTGTGTGGGTGTGGTTGTGTGTGAGTGGTGGTGTGTGTGGTGTGTGTGTGTGGTGTGTGTGGTTGTGTGGTGGTGGTGTGTGTGGTGTGTGTGTGTGGTGTTTGTGTGTGGTTGTGTGTGGTGTGTGTGTGTGTGTAGTGGTAGTTGTGTGTGTGTGGTTGTGTGTGAGTGGTGGTGTGTGTGGTGTGTGTGTGTGGTGTGTGTGTGTGTGGTGTGTGTGGTTGTGTGTGGTGGTGGTGTGTGTGGTGGGTTGTGTGTGTGTGTGTGGTGATGGTTGTGTGTGTGTGTGGTGGTGTGTGTGTGGTGGTGGTGTGTGTGTGGTGGTAGTGTGTGGTGGTGTGTGTGTGGTGGTAGTGTGTGTGGTGTGTGTGTGGTGTGTGTGGTGTGTGTGGTTGTGTGTGTGTGGTGTGTGTGGTGGGTGGTGTGTGTGTAGTGGTAGTTGTGTGTGAGTGGTGGTGTGTGTGGTGGGTTGTGTGTGTGTGGTGATGGTTGTGTGTGTGTGGTGGTGTGTGTGTGGTGGTAGTGTGTGGTGGTGTGTGTGGTGGTGTGTGTGTGGTGGTAGTGTGTGGTGGCGTGTGTGGTGGGTTGTGAGTGGTGGTGTGTGCGGTGGTGTGTGTGTGGTGATATGTGTGAGTAGTGTATGGTGGTCCGTGTAGGGGGAGCAATCGTGTAGTGGTCAGCGCGAGACGGCTATCTAAACCATTGCTGGGGCTCCCCTAGGTCGACTCGGCCTCAAATGAGTACATGGGTTCGGTGCGTAAAAAAACACCGCCACTGGGGAGACAAAGGCGGTCGGGCGTGGTTCAGGCCACCCCACCCCCTCGTGTACCGTGCCGGCCTTCATAGGTGCTCGCTAACAGCACTTGCCCCAACAGTCCGTTAAGGCTACACTGGTGGGGTGGGGAGCTTTGTCTTGTTGTGGTGGAAGGAGGGACAAAAAATTCCGTTCACTGAGAAGGAATCTTGGTGACCACGTGACCCCCGCGCGGGCTTGGAGGGGGGGGGGGGCATTGGCACGATCGTCCAGGGATGACGCAACCAGACGGCCAGCCACGGAAGGGGGAAACCCCCCCACCCCCCCACGTCCACTCTCCTCCTCCGACTTCCCTCACCGCCTCCAGCACCATCGGCAAACCCCTCCAGCCAACAGCCAGAAGCGGCGCTCGCAATCTCTTCAAGATCGCTCAACGCAGACGGCGCCGGTGCGCTGATCGAGATTCGTGCGCCGTGCAGGGCAGCAGCAGCAGGGCAGCAGCAGCAGGGCAGCAGCAGGAGGGCAGCAGCAGCAGGGCAGCAGCAGCAGGGCAGCAGAGCAGCAGTAGCAGGGCAGCAGCAGGAGGGCAGCAGCGGCAGGAGGGCAGCAGCGGCAGGAGAGCAGCAGCAGCAGGGCAGCAGCGGCAGGAGGGCAGCAGCGGCAGAGCAGCAGTGGCAGGGCAGCAGGAGGGCAGCGGCGGCAGGGCAGCAGCAGGAGGGCAGCAGCAGGGCAGCAACGGCAGCAGCAGCAGCAGGGCAGCAGAGCAGCGGCAGAGCAGCAGTGGCAGGGCAGCGGCAGGAGGAGGGCAGCAGAGCAGCGGCAGGAGGGCAGCAGCGGCAGGAGGGCAGCAGCGGCAGGAGGGCAGCGAGCCAGAGGGATTTAGAAGCATGTGAAATGTTTTGGGTGAGTGGATGGGAGACGCGGGTGGGATTCCGCTCGGCGTGGATGTGGCTTGGAGAGGTGAATGCCATGGATGGGGGTACGGCGGTGCATGGATGGAGGGAAGGATCGATGGGAGGAGGGGAGGGATTCCGCCTCAGTCACAGACGGATTGAGAGATCAATGTACGGAGGCGTGAATATGTGGAGGGAGGGATTCATGGGTGCGAGCGAAGGGAAGGGGGAGAGGGGTGGAGGGAAAGATTCCACTTGAGTTGGAGATGGATGGAGAGATTAGTGTTACGCACGGATGAATGTTTGGAGGGAGGGATGGATGATGGATGCGAGCGAAGGAGTGGTGAAGGCAAAGATTCCACTCGAGTTACAGACGGGACGGACGGTCGAGAGACGATGGCTGGGTGGATTGTGCTCGAGATGGCGAGCTGGGACGGTGGGGTGAGGGAGGATACTCCAAGAGGGAAGGAGAAGGAGGAGGAAGGGGGGTGGGTGATGCAGAGCGGAGCGAGGCCGCTTGCCCCATCGGTCGTTATCGTTTACCCATCTGGAGGCCAGGCCAGAGTCCACTGTTTCCGACGCTCTTGAGAGGGGCCACGCAAATTTTTGGCATGGGTCCGGGAGCGCAGCCGGTGCGTCCGGCAGTCACCTCTGGTGGAGTCTGTGTCCGGTGACCTCCTGCCAGCAGCTGAGCCTTCGACGCTTCAAGCGAGCCACCCAATCCTCCCCCCGCACCCCCGCGCCCCCCACCCACCACAACAACAACAACAACCACCGTTCGCCACCGAGCGGCCGCGATGTCACCACGGCGCTTGTGCCAGGCTAGGTGCACCACAAAGTGCTGTTAGCGAGCAGCACCTGTGAAGGCCGGCACGGCACACGAGGCGGTGGGTGGCCAGCGCCGCGCCCGGCCGCCTCTGTCTCTCCCCGGTGGCGATGTTTACTACGCACCGCGCCAGCTACTCATTTGAAGCCGATTCGACCTAGGGAAGGCCCAGGACCGGTTCAGATAATCGCCACCGGTGTTGGCCGTGAGCGGAAATCGAACTCGGGTCGCCGGGTTCGAAGAACCGCTACACCACCACTCCCCCCACCAACGCACACGCACGCACACGCACGCACGCACGCGCACGCACACGCACGCGCGTGCACCTGGCTTCTCGGATGACGTGCAGCTCCCCCGTGCACACCTCCACCTGCACGTAGTTGGGGCCGCCCACGCGGGCGCCGCACTCGCCCCACAGCGCCGTCGCGTTGGGGCGGCACACATCGAGGAAGTGCGGCCGCAGGCGCCCGATGCTGAACTTGGCCGTCTCGGTCAGCGCCTGGCTCAGGGCGGCCCCCAGCAGGAAGCTGCCGATGCGTGCGTAGAGCGCGGCCGCGAGGGGGTCCCGTAGGGGGCCCCCCGCTATCGCCGGGGGGCCGGCGATGGCGGAGGCGGCGGACGAGGAGGAGGAGGAGGAGCACGGGCGATCACCTCCGTAACGGACGCTCACAAACTCTCCCCACGCAATCTGGTGTTGGGTGTGGGGGTGGTGGCAGAGGAGGAGGGGAGGGAGAGGGGAGGGATTGAGGAGAGGATGGAGATTGGGGAGAGATTGGGGAGTCGGCACGTTGCCTAGCCGGGCTACCGCTGCTCCCATGGTGTGGGTGGCGGGGGTGGTGCTGAGGGTCACAGTGGCGGTGAGGGTCACGCCGAGCAGGGCCAAGGCTGAAAGTTCACGGCCACGACAGTGCCGCTGCTCTTGGCGCCGTCCTGACAGCGTCACAGTGGCTAGGAGATGTTGACTACCTCGCCTGGTATGCAGGAGGTCGTGGGTTCCATCCCTGGACACTGATGTCTATGTAGGTGTCTGTGTGTGTGTCTCTCTCTCATCATCATCACGGTGGCTAGGAGATGTTAACTACCTCGCCTGGTGTGCCGGAGGTCGTGGGTTCTATCCCTGGACACTGATGTCTATGTAGGTGTCTGTGTGGGTCTCTCTCTTTCATCATCATCATCATCACGGTGGCTAGGAGATGTTAACTACCTCGCCTGGTATGCCGGAGGTCGTGGGTTCGAACCCGACCCTGACGCCTGCTGCTGTATATTTGGAGTTTGTGGTGTCTCTCTCATCATCATCACGGTGGCTAGGAGATGTTAACTACCTCGCGTGGCATACAGGAGGTCGTGGATGCGACCCTGACCCTGACAATGCCTGCTGCTGCTGTATATTTGGAGTTTGCATCTCTCATCATCTTCATCATCACGGTGGCTAGGAGATGTTAACTACCTCGCCTGGTATACCGGAGGTCGTGGGTTCGAACCCGACCCTGACGCCTGCTGCTGCTGTATATTTGGAGTTTGCGGTGTCTCTCTCCTCGTGGTCGTGTGGATTTTTCTCCGGGTCCGTCGGTTTTTCCCTCCGCGTTATGAAAACAACGTCACGCGTCTGGAGCATTTGGATGTTTTACATTTCCACGTGATAAGCCACTTCGTCGAGCTATCATTTGTGGCCAGGTTGCTTCTGATAAAGAGCTGTACAGCGGAGTGGGACGGTCACCGCACCGCGCGCTTTCAAATGCGCCTCTGCGACCGTCTGGAACGTTCTTCCTTCCGATATGAGCAAGTCACTTTTAAATCATCTCGATTGAAAACTCATTTCCTTAGAACTGCTTGTTGTGTTTAGTTGTCATTCCCCCCCCCCCCACGACCGATTAGCACGGTTGGCTACGTACGGTTGCGAAAGAAGTTCAACGTGGACACAACCTCGGGCCGGCCTCGAACGCCGGCGCCAGAGATAGCGCCAGCGCTCGGGGGCTTGCGCTCCGTTGGTGGGGCAGGGCAGGGCGAAGGTCGCTGCGGGTCCAACTCACGCTGAGCAGGGCGAGGCTGAACCCCACGGCCATGAGCGTGCCGCTGCTGATGGTGCTGTCGCGGTACGGGTACGCGATGGTGGCGTCGTCGCAGAAGAAGCCGCGTTGGAACGGCGCCGCGCCCGACAGGTAGAGCACGGCCACCGGCAGGAACGCTGGCGGAGGGGGAGGACGGGGAGGAGGAGGGGGGGGAGGAGGAGGAAGAGGAGGGGGAGGAGGAAGAGGAGGAGGGGGAGGAGGAGGAGGAGGAGGAGGACGGGGAGGAGGAAGGAGGAGGGGGAGGAGGAGGAGGAGGGGGAGGAGGAAGAGGAGGAGGAGGGGGAGGAGAAAGAGGAGGAGGAGGAGGGGGAGGAGGAGGGGGAGGAGGAAGAGGAGGAGGAGGAGGGGGGGGAGGAGGAGGAGGAGGAGGAGGAAGAGGAGGAGGAGGGGGAGGAGGAAGAGGAGGAGGAAGGAGGAGAAGAAGGAAGAGGAGGAGGAGGGGGAGGAGGAGGAGGGGAGGTGGAGGAAGGAGGGGGCGAGGAGACATCGTGGTCGTCATTTTTGTTGTGCGATCAAAAAATAAAAACATTTCGCTCCGCTAAACAAACAAAAAAAATCGCTCGACCGGGATGATTACACGGCGCCAATTGTCGAGTTTCGAGTCGACTGTTGCTGTTGTTTGTTGTTATTTTTGTGTACGTGGGAACCACGGCGCCAGGGGGAACTCGGCGGAACGGGCACGGAAGCGTTCCCTCGTTTGCGAGAGTCGCTCAGCGAGATGGCAAGAAGCAAGTAAAGTTCCAGCGACGAATAGCGACGATGATGATGATGCACATCACGGGACCTCCCTTGCCGCTTTCAAAATATCAGAAAAGGTTTTTACCCTCTCTGGCAATAAAACAGTTCGTGTTAAGGTGTTAACACACCAAACTGAAACGTTGTGCAAGGAATCCTGTCGCTTGCATCGACCACACAGACTCGTGTTGAGCATGCAAACAAGCTACAATGCTCTGGTAGTATATGATGATGGCTTTGTCTTTGAAACGTATTGGTCCCCACCAGAGACGGCTTTTTTTAGAGCCTCGTCTCAAACGGTGTGAGACCAGAGGACAACGCCATCATATCCTACCCAAGCATGTGTTTTTTTATGTTTGCATGTTCACCAAGAGTCTGTGTGGTCAATGCCAGCGAAAGGATTCCTCGCGAAATGTTTCATTTCGGCTTGTTAACATCTTAACACAAACTGTTTTATTGCCAGGAAGGGTAAAAACCTTTTCTTACACAGTGATTGAAATGTAAACTCACAATGCGGCATTCCATCCTAGGATTTCCCCCCCCCCCCAAATGTGCAATGCATGAAACAAAAACAGAACCGGGGGGGGGGGGTGTGGAAGTTCAAAGCAGACTTGAATCTATCTGTGAATTCAAATCGAGAATAAAAGCAGCGGCGTTATCGCCCCCCCTACTGAACTGGATCGCGTCCATTGCCAGGCCAGGTGCTGAGTCGCCTTTGTCCGCACGGGGGACAGCTCCCGCTGGGAGTGCCCCATCACCAGGCAGCCAGCCGTCACTGGGGGATGATGATACATCCATCCATCTAGCTATCATCAGCTCCACATGACTCCCCAGGGTACCTGCGGGAAAAGGCGACTGCGGTTGCCCGAATGGTTATTCTGAGAACATGGCCATGAGCACGTGGGATTTCCACCACTGGTCCGTGGCCTCGAATGTCCCCAAGCTCACGTGGCAATTGTGAGCACAGGGACCCTTCGGCTTGGAGTGCTCGCCGGATCGTGAATGTGTGCGAGTGGGCCTTCGTAAGTGCTCGCTAGCAGCACTTGTCCCAACTGTCCGTTCAGGCTATACGGGGGATCTTTCTGTGTGCGGCAGGGTGCGGTTTACGGTTAAACCAACATTTTGTCATTCTCAGAGCTGGAATGTTGCCAAATTTATGTGAAATCACGAATTTAGTGCGAAGGGGTTGTCTGTTGGTAGTGTTGGTGGTGTTGGTGGTGGTAGTGTTGGTGGTGTTGGTAGTGTCGGTGTTGGTGGTGGTAGTGTTGGTGGTGGTGGTAGTGTTGGTGGTAGCGTTGGTGGTGGTAGTGTTGGTGGTAGTGTTGGTGGTGGTTGTGTTGGTGGTAGTGTTGGTGGTGATGGTGTTGGTAGTGGTGGTGTTGGTGGTGGTAGTGTCGGTGGTAGTGGGGGTGGTAGTGTTGGTGGTGGTGGTAGTGGTGGTGGTAGTGTTGGTGGTAGTGTTGATGGTGGTGGTAGTGTTGGTGGTGGTGGTAGTGTTGGTGGTGTAGTGTAGGAATTGTTTTGTTTTTTACCTACGTGACTTTACCGAATAGAACCAAAGAGTATGGATCCTTGCAGTCACGAAAGCTTCAAATCTAGAAAGGTGGTGGTAGTGTTGGTGGTGGTGGTGGTAGTGTTGGTGGTGGTGGTAGTGTTGATGGTAGTAGTGTTGGTGGTGATGGTGGTGGTGGTAGTATTGGTGATGTTGCTGTAGTGCAGTCCATTGGTGACAGGGCCGAGAATCCATCACTCCACTGAAGAACCCAGTCTACTAAAAAAAAAATCACTCAATGTGGGATCCACGCATAGCAAACAATGCCTCCTACTGCGAAAAACCTAGCAGGGCCTCTCCTGACAAAGATTCATGCCTGAGGCTTTCCAGTGGTCAATAAACTCGGTGGTTACAATAACAGCAGTTCATCGCACACAGTGGCTGTAACCCGGTCGCGAACCCAGCTCAAGGTCTTTGACCCCTGACCCGCTTGGCCCTTCTCTACGAGTCCGTGGGCCAGAGGGGGCAGGACATCACTGTGGCGGGTAAACTCAATGACTCGCGTGGCCGATGCGAGTGAATTGGCAAGCCGCCACCTCCCCTTTTCAAGTGGCTCTTCCACAAAGCCACCGTTGTGGTGATTGGTCCCGCACGGAGGAACAAAGGCAAGGGCAGTGATTGGCCCGCACGGAGGAACGGGAGCAAGGGCAGTGATTGGCCCGCACGGAGGAACGGGAGCAAGGGCAGTGATTGGCCCGCACAGAGGAACGGGAGCCAGGGGCAGTGATTGTCACCTCTGGGTAGAGGAACGGGAGCCAGGGGCAGTGATTGTGACCTCTGGGTGGAGGAACGGGAGCCAGGGGCAGTGATTGTGACCTCTGGGTGGAGGAACGGGAGCCAGGGGCAGTGATTGTCACCTCTGGGTGGAGGAACGCGAGCCAGGGGCAGTGATTGTGACCTCTGGGTGGAGGAACGGGAGCCAGGGGCAGTGATTGTGACCTCTGGGTGGAGGAACGGGAGCCAGAGGCAGTGATTGTCACCTCTGGGTGGAGGCACTAAACAGCAGTGAGCTACACTGCGGGTGCGGCCTTGGCAGTAGGCGACGTTCCGCCCATTCTTCGCAGGAAGTAGAGAGGGCGGAGAGGTTTCGAAATTTTAATTTTTTCGGAACGGTGAAGTATCCCTGGACGATCCACGCTACTCTGTTTGCTCATAGTAGAGGAGGGGGTATTTGGGGAATATCGCGTCAATATATAAATGTGTCGTGAAACCCGCCACCACCCGACACAGCCAATTAGTGAGGTCTGTCATCATGCTGTCGTCTGTCGTGGTAATTCCTGGCCGAACTTCGTAGTAGACGTGCCAATGCTGCAGTGGGTTTCACTCTCCAACACGCAGCCCGTGTGGTGCTCTACTAGTAACGAATTTGGCCACGTTATTTTGTTTACGTGACAAACCCCTTACTAAATTGGGTGGTGGTGGGTTGAACGACACATTTATATACGTACGTGATCTAACCCAACAAACCACACCGCACCCCCCCCCCCCCTAATATGGGTAATATTGGTCGCGAAAGCCCCCTCCTAAGTGCTGCTCTGTTTGCGTTGGCACGAGACGTCGCATAAACTCGAATGGTCATCGTCGTTGTTGTTGTTGCCACTGTTGTTGTTATAATGACGCATGGCCGACAGAGGCCCCCTAACCTCTCACCCCGGTATCGAGCACGGCTTCCCATCACCGCCTCCCTAATTTGAGCCTCACTCCAGTTAGCTGCGTAGAACTCGACCTACAACTACGTAGAACTCGACCTACAACTACGTAGAACTCGACCTACAACTACGTAGAACTCGACCTACAACTACGTAGACTCGACCTACAACTACGTAGAACTCGACCTACAACTACGTAGAACTCGACCTACACCTACGTAGAACTCGACCTACAACTACGTAGAACTCGACCTACAACTACGTAGACTCGACCTACAACTACGTAGAACTCGACCTACAACTACGTAGAACTCGACCTACACCTACGTAGACTCGACCTACAACTACGTAGAACTCGACCTACAACTACGTAGACTCGACCTACAACTACGTAGAACTCGACCTTCAGCTACGTAGAACTCGACCTACAACTACGTAGAACTCGACCTACAACTACGTAGAACTCGACCTACAACTACGTAGAACTCGACCTACAACTACGTAGAACTCGACCTTCAACTACGTAGAACTCGACCTACAACTACGTAGAACTCGACCTACAACTACGTAGAACTCGACCTACAACTACGTAGAACTCGACCTCCAACTACGTAGAACTCGACCTACAACTACGTAGAACTCGACCTACAACTACGTAGAACTCGACCTTCAACTACGTAGAACTCGACCTTCAGCTACGTAGAACTCGACCTACAACTACGTAGAACTCGACCTACAACTACGTAGACTCCACCTACAACCACGCCAACTCCCGTCACAGGAGCGTGGAGTTTCCACCACCGGCACCAGCGTGAATTGTCAGCAGGCGATGAGCACAGCGGCGTACAGCGGCGACGATATCAGCTCAAAGTGGGTGGGGGGGGGCGGCAATTCGGCATCAAGTGGAGCCCCCCCAACGTTCCATTTGTCTACTTTGGCACGGTCGCATCTCGAGGCTATTCTGCATCGCGACGCCTCCTGGCCTCATCACCTCGTTCAGCTCACGGGTCTCGAACGTCTGACGCCGGCAGTGGCGCGCTCCGTCTGAACAAAACGCAGGCAGCAACAGCTCCGTCGTGGTTTTCGCCTCTTTGCGATGCAGCTGATGGCGCATCCAGTCAAATAAATATCCCGGAAACGGAGTTCCATGCGAAAGCATCCTCGTAAATATTTGCCCTTTTACACCGCTGTTGTTGAATACAAATATCCTGGGGGGGGGGGGGGGGAGGGGGGGCAACTCGTAGCTTTGGCCACCCGGGGGGGCCGAGGCACCCCCCCCTGCCTGCCCCCCCCCCTGCCTGTCCCCCCCCTCAACTCGTCACGCCACTACTGGATGAGCTCCAATGCCCTCAATGCATCCTTTGAGCGTGCAGGAAATCACTTTGACCTTTGACTTGCAACATTCTCCCGACTAAAGAGAGAGAGACGCTCCAGTTAAAGTTACAAAGACGAAGGACCCCCGTGTAGCCTTTAACGGGCCACTGGGGCAAGTGCTGTTCGCGAGCAGCAGCACCCCATTGAGGCCAACGCCGCGCCCGGCCGCCTTTGTCTCCCCAGTGGCGATGCTTACATACGCACGCCACCAGCTACTTAATTGAGACCGAGTCGACCTAGGGGAAGGCCTAACAGGACCGGTTCACGTAATGGTCACCCGTGTTCGCCGTGAGCGGGACTCGAACTCGGGTCGCCGGGTTCGTCTCGCACAGGGAGAGTTCGTCTGAGAATGCGGGAGGTCGGCGATTGGGCTTCAGGAACTCGAGACAACTCCTAAGAGTTGGGGAAGTCAGAGTGTCGCCCGAATCCGGTGCCAGTGGTGGAGACTTCACAGTTCCTGTGGCAGGGGCTATTGCTTTGGACATCATCTGTGAAGAAAAGAGCTTCATAGCTCATCAGATTTCTCCTGCAGTCTAAACAAAGATTCTGATTGTGCATCGTTAATTTGTGACGGGAGTTCGCAGGGCCATGAATGCAAGTGAGCATTTCTCATCTTTTGCCTGCATCTCCCTCCCTTCTCTCATCTCACGACATCGCTTATCTCCCGTCTACATCTCTCATCTCGTCTCACTCGGATGGGGGGGGGTTTTAAACATTTAAGGGGGGGGGCCTGGGGGAGGCGAGAGGGGGGGGGCCTGGGGGGGGCCCTCCCCCCAATGCATCAGGACCACGACCGCCGCCAGCGATTGGCCCGTGGCTCTGTTTATCCGAGGGGGTAATTAATTCGCGTGTCACGTGTAATTGGCGGTGTGTTTATTTGTGTGAGATCATGCAATTATCTTGGGAGCCGAAACCCCTCCTCCCCATCACCCCCCCCACCACCACCACCCATCACCCCCCACCACCACCACCACCACCGCCCCCACCACCCCCACCATCACCCCCCCACCACCACCCACCACCCCCACCATCACCCCCGCACCACCACCACCCCCTCCACCCCCTCCACCACCACCACCCCCACCACCCCCACCATCACCCCCCCACCACCACCCATCACCCCCACCACCACCATCCCCACCACCACCCCCACCCCCACCACCACCCCCTCCACCACCACCCCCACCACCCCCACCACCTCCACCACCACCTCCACCACCACCGCCCCCACCACCCCCACCATCACCCCCCCACCACCACCCATCACCCCCACCACCACCATCCCCACCACCACCCCCCACCCCCACCACCACCCCCACCACCCCCACCACTACCCCCACTACCCCCACCACCACCACCCCCACCACCCCCACCCCCTCCACCACCACCACCCCCACCACCACCACCACCCCCTCCACCACCACCACTACCACCACCACCCCCACCACCCCCGCCACAGTCACAGTAAGTGGAGGACGATGTGCGAATTGGGTGAAAAGCACGAAGACAAAGATAAAATCCCCCCCCACACACCCCGTATAGCCTTCAACGGAATCGGGGGCAAGTGCGGTTGGCATTTATTGCCGCTGGGAGGCACGGCTCACGAGGGATCGGTGGCCATGAGCAACCACGCCCGACCGCCTTTGTCTCCCCCTGATTGTATTGCATCGTTTGTGGCTGAGTCGACCCAGGGCAGGCCCAGGACCGGTTCAAAAGACAGCCAGCGCACCGATGCTGGCTTCGTGGGTGGGAATCGAACTCGGACCGCCGGGTTATGCGGCGCAGCGCGCTAACTGCTGCGCCACCGCTCCCCACGCGTGCGCGTTGGCATTCGCACGGTGACACACGTGGAACACACGTGGGACACACGCGGGACACACGTGGACATATAAAGCTCCACCGTATAGACTTAACCAGGCTCTGTTTGGCCGAGTTCTGTGAGCGAGGAGCAGGGCACGCGATGGGGTGGGTGGCTGTGACCAGCACCACGCCCCACACACGCGCACAAAAGACAAAGATCCCCCGTGTAGCCTGTAACAGACTGTATGGGCAAGTGCTGTTAGCGAGCGCCTATGCAGGCCAGCACGGCACACGAGGGGGTGGGTGGCCAACACCACGCCCGGCCGCCTTTGTCTCCCCAGTGGCGATGTTTACTACACACCGCACCAGGTACTCATTTGAGGCTGAGTCGACCTAGGAGAGGCCCAGCACCGGTTCAGATTAATCGTCACTGTGGTGTTGGCCGTGAGCGGGAATCGAACGCTCGTCGCCGGGTTCGTAGCGCAGCGTAGCGCTAACCGCTACCCCACCGCTCCCCACACAGACACAAAGACACACACATACACATACACACAGACACACACACAGACACACGCAGACACACACAGACACACACAGACACACATACAAACACAGACACACAGACACAAAAAAGACAAAGATCCCCCATATGGCCTTAACAGACTGTTGGGGCAAGTGCTGTTAGCGAGCACCTATGAAGGCCGGAACGGTACACGAGGGGGTGGGTGGCCAGCACCACGCCCGACCGCCTTTGTCTCCCCAGTGGCGATGTTTACACACCACACACTCATTTGAGGCTGAGTCGACCTAGGGGAGGCCCGGGACCGGTTCAGATAATCGTCACTGGTGTTGGCCGTGAGCGGGAATCGAACCCGGGTCGCCAGGTTCATAGCGCAGCGCACTAATCGCTACACTACCGCTCCCCTTCACAGGCACACACACATACACACAGACACACACAGACACACACACAGACACACACACATACAGACACACACATACACACTTGCACAAACGTTGACATTCACAGATTGGCACACGTGCAACACACATGTGGACGTAATACTGTGCACAGTTACACATTCACACGTGCACACACACACATACTGGCGTGTACACAATTGCGCACGTGTACAAAGACAAAGATCCCCCGTGTAGCCTGTAACAGACTGTTGGGGCAAGTGCTGTTAGCGAGCACCTATGACGGCTGGAACGGCACACGAGGGGGTGGGTGGCCAGCACCACGCCCGGCCGCCTTTATCTCCCCAGTGGCGATGTTAACACACCGTTCCGGGTACTCGTTTGAGGCTGAGTCGACCTAGGGGAGGGCTCAGGAAGGTTCCGATATAATTCTATCCGCGAATCGAATGCATTTACATGTTGCATAGGTTCGCAGGGAGTACGCTAATCACTGCGCCACCGCTCCTCGCACACACACACACACCTCACACTATACATACGTACACACACACACATCTACCGGATTATAAGACGCATCTTCAACCTTTGCTTAAATATCGAGGGAGCTGCGTGCGTCTTATGAGCAGGGTGAGACGACACGCATTGCTTCATCGGGATGTTGTGGCCATGGATTCCATGGGTAGTGGGAGTTTGGCCTCATGGGTGCGGGGCTGACAAGTTCCGCACAGATAGATTCAGGAAAACACTGTCACCTCCTGGCCAGCTCGCAGGCCTCGCCGCCGACACCAGCTGCTGTGCCGGGGCAGTCGGCCAATCCGAGCGTTAACCCGAATCGACGTTTGCTTAGCTTCCGAGACACGAGTTTCAGAGTGATTTGGTTGTACACCTGCAACACCACCACCATAATGTGTACAACATTACACGGACATGTTTTTTTGTTGTGTTTGTTTACAATCTACCGCGAGCCCGAAGTGCCCTCCCCACGCCGTGTTCGGGTGTCGTTTGACCATACTTCACCGCAAGGCCGTAGCCATGGAGTCAACATTGGGGGGGGGGACCAAATCTTCCAGGGAGTCTGGGGGTCACCCCCACCCCCCCCCCCCCCAGAAAAAAATCTAAATTTTAAAACAAATTTCCTGCCATTTTCTGCCTAAAATATATATTTAAAAAAATCACTAGCACATAGGATGGACTTTATATTTATGTTTAACAATAATGTCTAATAGTGTATTGTATTACATTGCTCTGTTTTTTATTTTTTTACTTTTCTTGTTTCATTGTATGTAATGGCAGAGATTAGGGATTAATAAAGTACAACCGTAACCACAATCATATAAACAGAAATCTATTCTATACCAATATATTGGGGGGGAGGGGTGTGTGTCCCCCAATATATATCATAATTACGGCCTTGAGCCGGTCAATACATTTGCCGCCGTGTGCACGTCGCGTTCTGGACACTCATCCGAAGCCCAAGTCGACATTGGGGAGAGCCCCAAGGCGCTGTTCAAAGATATTCGCCCACGACGTTCACAAATTCAGGTCGCCGGGTTCAAAGCCGCAGTGCGCTGACCGCTGCGCCACCGCTCCCCGCGCGCACACACGTGCACGCGCACACACGTGCACGCGCACACGCCTGTGTGTATGCGTGTGTGAAGACTGTTTGCACTCACCCAGGAAGATGCAGAACACGTCCGCGCAGATGGTGGCAGCAGTTCTGGCCAAAGTCATCTTGCTCACCATTTAAATCTCCCGAACGGATCAGAGACAACTCCCAGCACACACGGCAGCTGCTCACGCTGCTACCAGCACTAGCAGCAGACACTAACACTGCCACCAGCACTAGCAGCATATACTAACACTGCCACCAGCACTAGCAGCATATACTAACACTACCACCAGCACTAACAGCAGATTCTAACACGACTACCAGCACTAGCAGCAGACACTAACACTGCCACCAGCACTAGCAGCATATACTAACACTGCCACCAGCACTAGCAGCATATACTAACACTACCACCAGCAATAACAGCAGATTCTAACACGACTACCAGCACTAACATCAGATTCTAACACTACTACCAGCACTAACAGCAGATACTAACACTACTACCAGCACTAACAGCAGATACTAACACTACTACTGTACCAGCACTATCAGCAGATACTAACACTACTACCAGCACTAACAGCAGATACTAACACTACTACTTAACCAGCACCAGCTACTAATACTACGACCAACAGGCGCATCAACAGATACTAACACTACTACTGTACCAGCACTATCAGCAGATACTAACACCACTACCAGCACTAACAGCAGATACTAACACTACCACCAGCGCTATCAGCAGATACTAACACTACTACCAGCACTAACAGCAGATACTAACACTACCACCAGCGCTATCAGCAAATACTAACACTGCCACCAGCACTAACAGCAGACACTGACACTTCTACCAGCACTAGCAGCATATACTAACACTGCCACCAGCACTAACAGCAGATTTTAACACTACCACCAGCGCTAACAGCAAATACTAACAATACTACCAGCACTAACAGCAGATACTAACACTACTACTAGCAGCGCAATATGCTAGCATTAGCAACAGCGGTAGACTCGCCACCAGCAGAAGTGATGGTTCACTTTGGTGTTCAAAGCTGTTGGTATTGCCCTTGCTGCTGCTGCTGCCGGTTATTGACAGCAAATTCTCAAGTCGAGAAGAGCCAGAGTGGCTCCGCGTGGCTCCGCAACACGAAAGTTCGCATGCGATGATGATTGCTGGCGTCGACAACACGGTGATAACGAAGAGCTACGAGCCGATGTGAAGCTCCCCTCCTCGTCGACCCTCGTCACCGCGAGCTGTCGGACAAGTGTTGAGTGGCTATGGTGGCAAGAAGAGGAGGAGGGAGAGTAGAAACGCCACCGCTAAGGACTTGACCACGAGCCGCTATGTTGGATGGAGGTGATGCCGCCCGCTATATTGAGGCCATCTCGCGCTCGCCTCTGGTGTGTGTCACTCCGTGTGGGCCGGTCGTGCACATGAAGGAAAAGGGGGTGGGTTGGAGACGGGTGAGAGGGATTGGATTGTGTTTGGCTGGTTCGGGATGGTGGGTGGGATGGTGGGTTGGGTTGGGTTCGTGGCGAGTGGCGGAGAGAGGAAGGGGAGGGAAGTGAGGGAGGGATAAAAGTTTCCAAGATCTTCGTGGCGGTGTCCGCTGCAGTCGGGAATGCATGCATTATCACACATGCAGGGAGATGCACTCGTACACACACACACAAAGATAAGACAAAGACACCGTATAGCCTTCAGGGACTGTTGGGGCAATGTATTTCACATATACATACTGTACACTACTTCTGCCAAACACACACATACACTGTATAGGCACAAGACGAAGAGACGCAGATCCCCCGTGTAGCCTTATCAGACTATTGGGGCAAGTTCTGTTAGCGAGCATCTATGAAGGCCGGAACGGCACACAAGGGTGACCAGCATCACGCCCGACCGCCTTCGTCTCCCCAACGCTGATGTTCACAAACCGCACCAAATACTAATTTTAGACCGAATCGACCGATATTCTCCATGGCCGGGAATCTATTCACAGACACCGTGAACCATCCACCCACTTGTAGTAAATGGAGTTCCGTTTTTGAATGAGTGGCGTTTAAGATAGGGTTTGCGTAGCAAGGGTCAAACATAGACCGAGAAACCGGGTAAGCATCATCGATGAGGTGTGTTGTTAGGGCTCGAGTTGCTTAAGACTCGGGTAAAGTGCCAGGTTTAGGCAAGTTATGAATAGGGTTAGTGGTAGGGTTCGAGTTACGACTGATTAAGGCTATTGGATAGGAATCGGGGTTAATGTTCGGGCTGGAATTAGAACAGCAAGTGTTAGGGTTTAGATGTGGGGCTGGTGCTAGGAATAGGGTTCGTGCTGGGATTAGTATTAGGACTGGTGTTTGGGATATTATTCGTAAGAGGACGAGTGTTCATAGTAGTGTTAGGAAGCGTTAGTGTTGAGCATAGGGCTAGTTAGTGTGTGTGTTGGGATTTGACGTTTTAAATCGCCGAATCGGATAGTTTTATGAATAGGGTCAGGGCTAGAGCTATGATAAAGACGATGGAAAACGTTGTGTTGTCACGTACAATATCCCGTTCTTCACGAGAACACAAAGAGGTGTTGTCCTATTGTGTGTGCGTGTGTGTTTATGTGCAGTGGTTAGCGCACTGCGCTACGAACCCAGCAAATCAAGTTCGATGCCCGGTCACGGCTAACATCGGCGGCGAGTACGATCTAAAACCGACCCTAGGTCTCCCCAAGGTCGACTCAGCCTTAAATGCATACCTTGTTACGGCGTGCGCACAAAACGTCAGCACTGGGAGGAGACAGGCGTGGTCCTGGGCACACGACGCTGCGTGCGGCCTTCACGTGCTCGCTAGCAGCGCTTGCCCCAACAGTCTATGCAGGCTATAAGGGGGATCTGTTGCGTCGTTATGCATGCATGTGCTTGTTTAAGTGTGAGTATACGTGCGTGCATGTTCCAGGCATTGAGGTGTGCGCGAATGTATGCACGTGTGAAAATACCCATGCGTGTGCATATGCATACGTGTACAATATACATCAATCTTGATTTGAAGCTTTCGTGACTGCAGGAATCCATACTCTTTGGTTCTTTCGGTAAAGTCACGTGGTAGGTAGTAGAAAAATAAAATAGATCACGTGACGTTTCGATCGCAACACAAGCAATCGTCATCAGGAGGGACGACAGCAAGAGAAAAAACTCCATCAGCAGTTGTTTTTCTTGCTGTGGTTGTCCCACCTGATGACGATTGCTTGTGTTGCGATCGAAACGTCACGTGATCTATTTTATTTTTCTACTACCTACCACGTGACTTTACCGAAAGAACCAAAGATAATATGTATATCTGTTTACAGCAGAGTATTCGTACGTATGCATAGGTGCACAGACTCATTGTTGCGTTGGTATGTCGACCAGGGTCCCATATTTTAAATGCCGCGCTCTTGCCAATAACGTCTGGTAATGCAGCTAATATTTATTGAACAACACCTAACAACTGCCCATGAGACTCGGAAGGTATGAACCGGTCCATCGTTTTCTTTATTAAACAAAATAATGGCTCATACGATTGGCTAGTTTTTTTATTATTAGGGCAGTGTATGATACGTTTTTTTTTGCTGGATAACATTGCGCTGGAAAGCCAATAAGTTGATTGACTAATTGGTATATTCATGCGGAGAGACAAAATATTGTTGCTTTATGATACGGGTGTTAACTAACAACTCGCCCATATACGTATAAATCAATGATCTCTATGCGTGCGTGTGAACGTGGTGTTAACGTGTCTGGACGTGTATTGTGTATATAGTTGTACCGGTGCTTCAATACACGTCTATCCCGACGACTGGCCGCTTGGCAAATCCATCAAATTCACAGGCCTCTTTGTCATACGCACGAGGATCAGTCGGAATTGTTAACAGGATTAAGAGTCACTCCCATTTTGCCGGGGAAATAATAGGCGGCCGTAGTTTCGTGGAATAACAAGACGGGTAACAATGCAGTTCGTGGTAATAACAAAAACAATATACCGTGTTCTCCACATTGTAAGACGCATCCCCCCCCAAAAAAAATACGTGTGCCCGGTGTCAATGACTTCATACAAACGTGTTCACACACCGACGACTTACTACACTTATGTCAGTTCGCAAGACGCAGCCACAACTCCTGTATTAAAATGCAAGGGAAATATTGCAATTTATAATGCGGAGAATACGATAATCGTTTTGATAAAATTACCATCACTCAATTTTATAATGCAGTAAACAACTTTCTTGCGATGTTTTTTCCTCCCCCTCCCCTATTAATCCACTCCACTGTCGATACCATCGCATCTGATAAAAGACTGTCGGCTTCGCCAATCGGAAAACACCCCTGACTGCCAACTCGCCCTCCGACAAAAACAGCTCTCACTTACAACAACTTTCAAACATAACGCCTTATAATAAACACCAAGAAACTCTGAACGCTCGTAACAACTGCTGCTAAATAATTATACTCAAAACAGTCAAAGTGGTTTCCTGGACGAGTGAGCATCGCCTCATTGGGCACCTCATGTTTACCCCTCTCTAGGACAGTGGTGGAAATATAATTTTGATGTGGCGGAGGGTAACCCTAACCCGACCCACACGACAACCTCCCACAGTTTTATCTATCCCGGAGAGATGATGAACTGAGTCAAGATTTGGACTCACAACCCACTCACTCACTCGACCGCTAAGACACCTACCATCGTTAACAATGGAACTGGTTCAAATTGCATTGTGACAATATAGAAACGAAAATAGTTTAGAAAGTAGCAGTAAAGCCAAAAGGATTATGATTCACGTACAGACACTCCACTGACTTCTCGTGACCCCAGTCTCGCGCAGTACGTGACTGGTTTCACCAAACATTTGAGAGTTGGATGGGTTTGCGGTGGAAATTGTGTGCCCGGTCTGACATGACCCCGTTGCATGTTCTCTTGTGAGAAAAAAGCCCCGTGTATGACCTCAGCTGACGCTTCATTGTATATTGTGAACGCATCACACCGACTATGTTGGGCAGAGTGTATCAGGACAGTGCTAAACAATTTAATACGTTGATTGAGATTGGCGAGACGCGTAAGAGGCATTGCAATCAAATTTATTAAGTTTCAACAATAACCTCCGAATAGGATGACGCGGTGGTATAATGGATAGCAAATTGAACCTGAAATCCAGAGGCCGCCGGTTCGATTACAACATGTTGCAAGTTTCTTAAAAGCACCCCGTGCATCTCTGCAACCAGCAGCATAAACGGGTACATCGCCAGTCGATTATTAATTAGGTCATGTGATCAAGTGTGGGAATTCCCACCTCTTCCGAGATGTCTAGCCAGGGTGGAAGAATAGGTCAAAAATACTCTCCAGAGGAGCTCTCGAAAACTCCATCTAGAGGAGGCCCTTCCGCCAGCAGCATTGGGCGCCATTGAGGGGCTGCGCCTTTGAATTTGATTCACCGGGGTGTCTGTAAATGGATCACGCTGTACCACGCGCAAGTCTCTCCCGCCACCTAGTGGGATTGACCTCTAACTACTAGCAATGAACAATTCAAACATGTGTAATTAACCATGAACAAAGTGATGTAATACTCGGCCCCGTCACCGCCAATAACATCGTTCTTATTTTCCCTTCAAAATACCCGTTTAACACTTGCACACCCGAGCTGCGCCAACACGGTATGGGTGGTTCTCCACTGGTATATTACCGAGCTGAGCCGGAACTGAGCCGTGCTACGCTAGCCTCGCAAGACAACAAAAAAACCGTGCTTGGCTCGACTCGGCCGTGATGAGGCAACGCGGCACGGTTCCACCACAGCTCAACGTGTGCAAGTGGAAAAGAGGTATAAACATTTATAAAAGGGCCGCCCCAGGTCCAGGCACTTGTGAGGCGCGCTGCCTTTAGACGAAGCGGCTACGCCTGAACCGTTTGTCGGGCTCGCTGTTCCTGCTGAGCTTGCTGCGAGGCTCTTCATCCTGGCTGCATGCTACGTTAAAGGTGTAGCCCTGCAAGGAGTTTCCACGCACCGTGATGAGTGAGAGCGCAATGCTTGGAATTACACCGAGACAGACAATGGAGCATATGGATTTGAAACAAAGAGATATGATCAAATAGTCAAAGTACAATGTCCTGATCGAATGAGCATTGAGGCAGTTGCTTGCCTCACTTTTTACAGCCCTGAGCTTGTGGTAGAAATTGCTCGCCCCTATGATGGGGAAGAGTATGCCGATAGGACAACCGCTACTGACGTCCCCAAGAGGTGATGATCACGCAAATCGGAGACATATTGGCTGTTAAGGAAAGTAAATAGGTCTGGACAGTTGACACATCATTGTCAAACGGGATGATGGTACATGGACGAAACTGGTAACAGAACGGAAATCCAAGGAGAAAACGTGTCCAGAAGGATGACCACCACGGCTTTGGAGCGACACTATCAGTTGCAGGAGATGGATGGTAGTAGCACTCGGCCATTAGTGATAGCGGGGAGAGGCCTTCATCCAGCAGTAGACAATGGATTATGATGATGAACGATGCACAGATTTGTTAATTAAAATCAATTCTTCTGCTCAAGGTAAGCACGTCTAATAATTATGGACGCGCAGACTGGTTACGCACGCAACACTGGCCCCTGCTGCTCGGCCTGTTAGCAAGAAGCCACTTGAGGTGCGCGCTAAAGACCACCGGCAGCAACCAATTACACTAAACGCAGCCCAATTGAGCTGATTAAATGACTCAGTTCACTCCAAGGGCAGCGGATTAATGCCTTTCTCGAAAAATGGTGGTGTGGGAATGGCATTTGAGCCATGGGACAGCCGACAATTGGTGCCAGGTATAGTGCCAAATGCTTGTGATCCAGCGCTTTGGAAGTGAGGGTTGGTGGACCACACAAATAATTATTAAACTTCCTCACCCGCCGGGTCACTGTGAGGTGGCGAGACGATGCTATTTTAGCAAGTAGGTTCGTAAATCCATCTGTGTGAACCTTTGAGTGTTATCCCATCATATGCGTGGTGAGTTTTACAATCCGGAGAATACGTTCTCTTCCAAGAGATGTGTTTTAACCTAGTTGTCAGAATCATCTTCCGAAAAGACAATAACTCCATAGCAATACATGACCACATAAGAGGTTATAAGACACCAACAGACGTTCACAATAATCACCCGGAAGACATTGCTTCCCATTGTGAAGAAAAGTATTCGTATTCAACTTCTGGGTGACGGCTGTTGAGAAAAACACCGTGTTGCCCCGATGACAAGACACGTTTTTGTTTTCTCAAAAGCGACCTCAAACTCGAGAATACGGTAACCCTGAAGCAACAAAAGGTCCAGGATCGAGTACCGAGGTAATGCTTTACTTACGCTCTCTAGCTGGAAGCATTCTCTCTTCTTAGCCGCACGTGCCGGGTTACGCCGAACACCGCCCTGGCTGCTTTCCCCGATCTCCTCCAGGATTGTTTTTTCTGGCACCGTCAGGGTCGGATTTTTCTTTTTAGTCGTCGTGGTCTGCGTGCAACACATGAGAGGGCTTTACCGAGGTTGGGAATAGCTGGGCTCTTGCAACTGTTACACGTCACACCAGCACGGTTGGCAACGTACGTGTGAAAGGAGTTCGACGTACATACATACGTAAGGATTTGCACTTATTGGGTGTTTAATGCCCCAGTATCTCAGAGCGCTTGGTATGACATATCATCCCGATAATTCCAATGCAAACCACTGCGACAACCAGTAAATGCGCTATAACTCGGCCATCTCAGAACGACCCACGTAGCCGGGCTCTAACACAAAGCTGGGCTGCAACGCAAGTGCAGGCCGTCGCGTTGAGTGAAGAGGGCAGCGGGTAATTGCCAACGGACCTCAAACGTCGTGAGGGGGGGTTCGCCATTCACAACACCTGCCAGCGGCTAACTTTGCTAATTGCTGATTGTCAAACAAAGCCCTTAATGGCACTCATGATTTGTCTTCTGGCTAAAGAAACCTAGTTAATCAGTGGTGCTGCAAGGTACAGAGGCAAGCCCTCTGTAGCGTTGACCTTGCTTACAGCGGAGCACACAATAACGAGGGTGGTGGTGGGGGGGGTCTGTGCAGGGGGTTGCGAGGTCCAATAAGATTAATGGAAGTTGATCCAAATACCTGCCCTTTGACAGGAAACTCAAGCAAACATATTCCAATTGGGTCACTCATGAGTAAAAGTCATGAAAGTTCAGAGTCTTGCTGGGTATAAAGCTCAAACGGCGGTGGATGGGAGTTTCTGTAAATGATGAGAAACCCCAACACAACGGTAAATTCAGGCTAGACGCACCTAGAACCAATACACACAAAGGTGTGTTGCGCTCACACAGCAGAGTAAAGCTCAACTCTGATCATGCATTGCATGTCACGCAATGTTGCTGAAAATAATGCTCTCAGTCTTGTCAAGACCACCAGCTCGGAAGAGCTGAATGTACGTCTGTATTATTGCGTAGACCACCAACTTAGAAAGATTTGTAAATATGGCTGTCCTGTCAGGAAGCAGTGACACAAGGCAGCAGGCATCTGGCAATGCGTGTATTCATGAAGGGGATAATGGTGACCGAATAATTTACTGTTTGGTGCAGTTCTGAGCATTTACATTGGTCTTCTGGCTCTTCTTTCGGTTGCTGAGGCTGAGTCCAGAGCGGCTCTTGCTTTCATGGCCCAGAGAGAGTGCAGCGGCTTTGGAAAGCAGTGGGTTGTCCTTCATACCACACTGGCATCCACTTACATTCCACCATTCCATACAAGTTGGATTTATATGGTGTCTACATGCAAACACATTTGAAGAGTCTATACAAAAACAGTGAGACATGTGCATCACGGAGAAAAGGAAAACTATACATGTATACTGTATTTTTTTAAAGATATCAGGAAGTCTGTCATCGGCAAACGAGAAAAGGATGGTCTTGAGCCTGGACTTAAACAGGGACATGGGAGTTGGAACCATGGATGTGTGAGGGTAGGGAGTTCCAGACTGTACGGGCAGCAGAAGAGAAATCGTGACCTCCCACTGAGTGAAAGTTGACTGGACGATGTCAAATGTTTAGTGGAGCAGACAGCCCGTGGAGGGGAGTAGTGAGAAGAGAGGTATGAGAGTGGACAGAGTAGAGTGAGATGATGAGAGGTAGGAGAGCACGTGGAGGGGAGTGGAGAGGAAGGCCCGGGGCGAGTCCATGGAGAATCTCTAAGACGGTGGTGAGTGTGATCTTGAAGTTGATCTGGGACTGGATTGAGAATAAGTGGAGGAATCTGAGGATTTTGGTGATGTGGCCTCGTTTATCAGTATGGGTGCAGAGCCTGGCAGTGGAATTTTGAATAATTTGCAGTTTGAAGGTAAAATATATTAGGGGAGTTCATAGAATCACCACTTAATTCGTACATATTTTTATCGTGTAAGCTTCTGGGAATTGACAGTTCATTTGTTTTCAATGTTGCATACAGAAAGGTGCAAAATCTGCAATACTTCGCTCTGCGTCTGTTTTCATTGTTAGTCTAGGCGCCCTACCTCATAGCGATTTTCCTCGCTCACACCATCTCTATCACGGTCCGCATTTCGAGGACCTGCCTCCACTTCGCACAGAAACGACAAGTGCACCATCAGCGCGTATTAATGTATAGCATGTGGTGCACGTGGCAGAGAAGTCTGCATAAAATAGCCCTTTCTTGGCTTCATGTCATTGAGGTATTAATGTTGGAAAATGGATTTGGACACCACGTTAAACGGTAAATAGACTAGCTGTTGTTTTGCTATCGACTGTTTAATATATTATAATTCGTAATGAGTGTTGAGTTTCTGCAAGCCTGACTCCAGCACTAACACCAGCTGGAAGCTAAGAAGTGTTGGCTGCAACACAAAAAACATATTCTATTTCAGCATGCGGCAGTATTGCACATTATTTAAATGAATAGGGCATTGTTTAAGGGTGACATTCACAACAGCCCCTCCCCCCCCCCGCTAAGAGTTAAATACTCACACGCGCAAAACTGGGAGGACTGAGTTTGGCAGCCCTGAGTTTGCACTCTGGGATACGCAAAAGCAGATGGACGATAACTCGCCATTCAAATACAATAATAGAAACATTATAAACAAGTGGAGTTCCCCTGTCGCTGACCCACACCCACAATTGTTACCCTCTGTGCCGTTATAGTTGTGAAGGCAGATGCTGCTGTATTGCACAATGCTTACTTGAACCCTGCTCCTGTGTCCAGTCAAAGGATATGCCGCTGGTAAGTTTCAGTAGCTCTGGAGTTTGTAACTCTGGGACCATCTAGCAGTGTGCAAGACCATTGTCAGAGTTTAAATTAAGTGATAATTTCATGAGGTTTTACTATCACATAGAGACTGTTGCTTTATTGAAATATATTCATGGCTTACACGTGGGAAGTGTAACTCGTATAATAAAATGTGGGAAAAGGAGGTGGCTCCTCTGAGGACCTAGGTTCGAATACAGGCATGTGATTAAACCACTTCTTCAAGCGTAATGAGTTCATGGTCTTAGTATGCTTACCAATGACCGCACAGAAAAACCCATCACATTACATTTTGTTCTACACTTAATTTGGTTAAATTCAAGCGCTGAGGAATCAAATATGAGTTTGACTATCATCTGACGAACATTACTTTTATAATCAGTGGCAAGTGCTGCCCATTAGTATATGCAAGACCGGAGGTCGCTTGAAGTTATCTCAATTGCACAACTGCTTACAACTGGCAACAGCTATCAGTTGCATGCAACAAAGTTGCACAACGGATTGTCACTGTGACGTCCTTGCGGCCGGTTCTCACCTGTATTGTGTCACTATATCCCTCTTTCATGCAGAACTGCTGCAGCAAGGCATTATCCCACCTCCTTCTTTCCACCACCGTTTCTCCCGTCTCCATCTCCGCGTTATAATTGTCCACCTGACTGCGGTCCACGGTGATGCGCAATTTCATCGAGTGGAAGGTCGAGGCCACGTGCCCCACGCGCAGAGTCGCTGGATCGCCCTGGAAATTTAAGGGGTCTGTGCTACTCGCTCTGAAACCCGGTGGTTGGTAGTCTTCTGGGGTCACTGTCAGAGAATACACGGCACAGGATAAAGCCGCTCAACATCAGTGTGCGTGCACAAGGGCTCGTTTATTGCAAACACATTCTCCTCGCTTTCCACTCATCTCACTCCGTTCCCCTCAATGCATTCTCCTAACTTTCCCATCTCGTAACACCCGGGTCTGTCCCGTGATCTACCAGTGAACCATTCGACACTTCAAGTGGCCGCAAAGTGCACCCAACCTGGCACATGTCCTCTGGAGATGTCACCATCACTTAGTGGTGCATGGCGAATTGTTATTGTGTTTTAAGGGGAGCGGTGATGCTGTTATCAGCACACTGCACTACGAACCCGGCGACCAGAGATCAATTCCTATTCACGATCAGTATTTGTGATGAATACTGGGTCTCCCCTAAGTCGACTCATTCTTAAATGAGTACCTGGTGTAGTTTGTGAACATCTTGCCGGTCTTTAGAGGTGTTTGCTAACAGCACTTGCATCAACCGCCGATTAAAAGCAACGTGGGGAATCTTTGTCTTCGCGACTGTATGCGTTCTGACGGGACTGCTCTGCTCACCTTCATCGTAATAAAATAGTTTCATTGTGAGCGACACATCCTCAGGCATTTCGTCCAGATGCTGCATGAGCACAAACAACTTGCGGATGAGCAATATCGTGGCACGCTTGGTTTCTTCAATAGAGAAGGTAATGTTGTTCTTGCTACTGTTGGCACAGAAAAAATAAAAAATCAATTACCTATGAGCATGCCTGATATCCAGCACAGTAGAAGTGAGGGTTAGTGGATCACACACATCTGTGAAACTCCGTCCCCTACCCCTGGGGGTTTAGGTCACCGTCTTCTGGCATGCCAGCATCTGGCAGTACAAGATAATTCATTTCTGTCTGTATGGGGATCGAGTGGAGTGACTCATGCAGCCAGCTATGGCTGCAAAGTTTGGTAGTACATGTTATGTATATCGTTCATTGTAAATTTTCAATCACAGTTCCGATGATCACTGTTACATTGTTTTTATAGCTTTATTTTGGTGATTTTGAAAACGTTTTGGTTTAGCCATATTTGTTTGTTGTAGTACAGCATTAGACTGATAACTTTAATCTAAATTGTCCTATGGTTGTTATTGTTTGACTTGCATCCCACTGGGATTTTTGCACACAGCATTGATATTCGGTGCTTTTTCTGGAAGACTTTGTTGTTTTTTCCTGGATTTTTTCTGTTGCGCGTAGTCACTTTAAAGTGTTTCTTGTTCATGTTTTTGTTTGTTGCGGTTGCACCCGATTCAAGAGCCGAATGGCTCACAGGGCTAAACCAAATAAATGAAACTGAAAAAAACTGAGTGTTACCCCCTTCACACATATGGGTTTTCTCTGAGTACTCTGGTTTACTCCTACATGTATAAATACTTACGAATGGAGTTGGCCAAACATCACGATATCGGACAACAGAGCTTGGGCAATTGTTGCCACTGGTTGTGGTTGCCTTGCCGCTTATCTGTATTTCCCAGCGCCTAACAATCATTCACTCTTAAATTAAACGGAAACTGTGAAAAATATTCCAAGTCATTATTATCGGACTTTAGAGGTGCCCACTTAATAAACCTGTAATAAATATAGGCATAACCACGAAGCAGTGAAATAAATTTGAGAATGGAACACACAAAGTACATAGAGATCAACATTATTATACAGAAGCTAACTTATTGAATATGGGTTGTCTTTCATCATACATATACATGTGTAGTGACATACTAGATGTCACTAGAGGGCAGCCAAAGTACCCAGTGACAAAGGGTACTGTAGGGGCATAGCCCTGGCAACGGTGAGAGAAAGAGAGAGAGAGCGTGAGGACATGGCCTTTGGGTGAACCCAGGAGGACGCGTGACCGGACAAGGTGGAAGGGGTACCCCCCAAAGGGGGCGAGAGGGACACGTGATGGGGAACCAAAACCCTCGAGAAGAATCTGGAATGGGGCGTGGCCAGGGGGGAGCCCGACCACGCCGGGGCGGATATAAGCCGGTGCGGAGAAGCCGGCGGGGTCGCCGTCGTCGTAGTGCTGTCCCAGAGAAATGGAATCCGCCAGCCAGGTCTTCGATCCTCGGTCTTCGGGCGTCGGACAAGTCGTCGAGAGCCGGGCAGCGTGTTAGCTGACCCAGCCGATTATATAGTGTTGCCGTTGAGTGTAGACTTACCTGTTGTGTTAGTGAATAAAACGTGTTGCCTCCATACTCGAGAGTACGTCCCAATAGAACCCACTACATCTGGTGCCAGAAGTGGCTAACCATACTAAGTGATAGCCCTAGACTAGATGAAAATGTTTACTTGAAGAGGACAACCCACGAAGGCATCGTTGGACAAAGAGGATGACGAGGGGATCATTCCCCAGACAGCCCACACTGTCGTAGCCACGGAGAGAGGGCGGCGAGGCGGCGCTGCTGGCGGAGCAGCGGCAAGAGCTTCACGCCGCCGCTTCGCCGCCATCGGGGAGAGACCGCAGGGCGTGCCGCGCTCGCCTCGCCGAGCTGCTGGCCGCCGCGGCAGTGCTGGTTTCTGAGTTGGACCGTGAGGAGCCACCGCTAGAGACCGAAGCGCCAAAGATGTGAGGAGTCGACGCCGCAGCCGCCATTTCCCGTACGCGGGAATCTCCGGACGTGCCATTTTGGCAGACGGGCGGGAAAATTTTCCCGCCAAATCTGAGTTTCCACAACCAGCGTCGATTGCGGTTCCACATCTCCGGCGATGACTTTCATTTGCGAAATAATTTACGGCATCGGGTGGCGACTGGGAAGCGTTCAGGAGGCGCTTCACAGTGAACTGTGAGTTGGCGGGTTGGACGGAGGTGGAAGCACTGCGTATGCTCCCCACCGCCCTAGATGACAATGCCTTGGCGGCGGTCTACACGATCCCAGCCACCGACAGGGACACACTGCCAAGGGCTTTTACGGAGATGACAGAAATTTTTGATCCACCGTCCAACGTTCGTCACAAATTTAACACGTGGACTCGAGGGCAATCTGAGACGCCTCTCGCGTTCCGCAGCGCTTTGCTGTCATTGGCACAGGCGGCGTTTCCAAAAATGGAGCAGGACGGGTTGGACTCGCTAGTGCTGGAGCGCTTGCTGGCATTGGTTCAGGATCTTCACGTCGTCCTGCCAGCTACAGAGGACATTAATTTTCTTCTCTTCAAATTGCGTGATACCTCCAAGCACATCTTACTCTGCAACGCCGAGCGGGAGTGGCTGCGTACACCAGTTCTTCCAATGCTCCTGGTGCACCCGGAGACATGGAAGATTTCCAAGTATGCACGTCGGTCAACGACGGACAATGGAGGAAGATCGACCAGCAGAGAGAGACCTTCTCTCGCCCTGGGAGCAGCCCCGTCGTCTGCTACGACTGCGGCCAAATTACCGCAACAGTATGTATTGGTGACATCCAGTTGACCAGTTTGGTACTAGTTTCAAAATCCTTGGCCGTGCCCTGCCTTCTGGGCACAGGTTTCTTAGGAAAAATGCCCCTGAAAATCTTGCTAGATCAGAGCAGCATCGAGTTGCCAACGGGCCGCCGAATGGCTTTTGTCTTCACAACTTGGTTGCGCATGGGTAACGCCACAGTCTAAGCAATGGCGAGTAGGACTGTCAAAATTCCACCCGGGGCACAGATGCTGGTGCCCTTGCGACTGCGGAAGCAGCTCGACCGGGTGGCAACCGCCGAAGGCATCCTACTGGGACCCTCAAATAAAACGAGCCGGGGGTTCACATTAGTGGGGGCACAGATTTTGGTGTCCTGTGACCAGGAACCCTTTATTCGGGTCCTCAACACCGGGTTGGTCACATCCGTTATACAGGCGGAACTGTGTTAGCCCATGCATCTGCTGCGAGTTGCGGTGCAAATGTTATTGGTGAGGTAGGGGTCGCGTCAGCTCCAGAGCAGGTTGCGCCATGTGATGAGCGGTGGATAGGCACTCTCTGCTCTGAAAATCCCAATTTATCAGACACTCAGAGAGCTGAATTGCGCTCACTTTTGAGGGAATTTTCTGACTTTTTAGTAAGGGGAAATATGACATTGGTCGCACGACTCTTCTGTGACACCACATCGATACAGGAGATGCCGCCCCCATCCGTGAGAACCCTTACAGATTGAGTCCTAATGAAAAGGACCATGTCCATCAGGCGGTCGACGAAATGTTGGCCACTGACATGATCTCACCATCGAACAGTTCATAGGGTGCTCCCATAGTACGTGTCAAGAAACATGACAGGAGTCTGCGGTTTTGCGTTGACTTTCGCAAACTGAATAAAGTCTCTGTTGCTGATGCATACCCACTCCCGCGTATAGACGATTCCTAGAAAGGCTCTGTCCGGGGCACGGTTTTTCTCTACCCTTGACTTGCTGTCAGGGTTCTGGTGGTTGTCATTAGATGAGAGTTCGAAGCCTAAAATCGCGTTTCGGACGCCGCAAGGGTTGTTTGAATTAAACCGGCTTCCGATGGGGCTCAACTCAGCTCCAGCCACATTCCAGGGGCTTATGGAGCTAGTGTTGGCAAGGCTCCAGTGGGACTCCTGTTTGATCTACCAAGACGATGTGATCGTCTTTGGCCGTACGTTCAAAGAGCATTTGCAACTTTTGCGTGCAGTTTTCCATAAAATGCGGGACGTGAACTTAAAATTTAAGCCGCAGAAATGCCACCTGCTTCAACGGTCGGTGCGATACTTGGGACACATCGTCAGTTCATCGGGTATAGCAACGGACCCGGAAAAGACGGCGTGTGTGCGCACATGGCCCACACCCAAGTCGGTGGGGGACGTGTGTAGCTTTGTTGGATTCGCTTCTTACTATCGCCATTTCTTGTCCGGGTTCGCCACTTCCGCAAAACCTCTCCACGCTCTTACGGCCAAGGAACGTCAATTTTGATGGGGGGCGAATGAGGAGGCTGCTTTCGTCGCGCTACAGGACGATCTTGTTAATGTGCCTCCCCTTCGATATCCCGATTTTTCCTTACCTTTCATTCTGGACACGGTTGCCAGAAACATTGGCATTGGTGCCGTATTGTCCCAGGTCATAGAGGGTGTGGAGAGCGTCGTGGCCTACGGGAGTAGAGCGTTGTCACCGGCCGAGCAGCGTTACTGTGTGATGCGCCGTCCGTACCTCTATGGTCAGAGCTTTGAGGTACGCACAGACCATGCGGCTCTCCAATACACGTTGCGTGTTGACCAGCCATCCAGCCAGCTCTCTCAATGGCTGGAAGTCTTCAGGACTATTTGTTCAAAGTTTAATATCGGAAGGGTCTTTGTCACGTTAATGCCGATGCTTTGTCGCGCCTGCCGCCGGATAACGGGTGGACATGTCTCACGGGCGTGGGGCGCTGTAAGCCGGCAGATGCGGGATTGCCTTCCCCTGTCGTGGTGTCGGTGAACGCTCCACCCCCTGATGGTTCCGCCGTGTCGAACGCGGGTGATACCACCATTGGGTTGACCCGTGCTGAATGGGGACGCCTCCAGGCGGAGGATGCCTCCTTGTTGAGACAGCACTAGGTCACGTTGGGACGGCGGATTGCGTCGCTACAATATTGTGGTACCCACTGTCCTGAGGGGCAGGGTAATTTGGGCGGTACACAAACGGCTAATGCACCTTGGTGTACAGAAAAAGCTCGCGACCATTAGGCTAGACTTCTTCTGACCCAGAATGTTGGGGAATGTATACAACGTGCTGAAGGGGTGTGTGCAATGCGCGCGCCGGAAACCCCCGCCGAAGGTGGGATGTCAGCCATTGCAGTCGATCCCTGTGTCCGGAATAAATGAACTCATCGCACTCGACGTCCTAGTGCCCTTCTCGACCATGCCGCGAGGAGATAAATACTTATTGGTGGGGGTTGAATATTTTTCTCGCTGGCAAATCGCCTACCCGCTTCCGAACCAGTCAGCAACGGCTATTACTGAGGCATTCTTTAACGGCTATGTGCTGCATAAGGGGGCTCCGGAGTGCCTCCTTACTGATCAGGGTGAAATATTTTCGTCAAAATTTCTGCAGGAAATGTGTGGCCTTTTGAGCACCAAAAATGTTCGAACATCGCCCTATCACCCCCAGACTGATGGAATGGTGGAACGGCTAAACAGGACCCTGACGTCTATGTTGGGTCAGCAGGTTGACGAGTCACAGTGCGACTGGGACTTGCATGTCCCAGGGGTTCTCGCAGACTATCGAATGGCCCCTCACACTTCCACCGGTTTCTCGCCATTTTCTTTTATGTATGGGAGGGAACAGGATCCCCCGATTGATGTTCAACTTAATATGGGATGGCCTAAGTCTAAGAGTAACATGCCTGACCCGATGTGCCTTAACCGTCAGCAAGTGTCGGAAGCACGGGAGGCTTCCAGGGAGAATTCGGCCTTACCACAGTCGGCCAATGAGAGGTTAAGGGGGCTCCGTGTGCAAGTGACGAAATGGACCCCGGGAGACAGAGCTTGGCTGCACTGTCCTCAGGTACCGGTGGGTACGTCCCCCAAATTATACAAACCATGGCAAGGCCCCGTCAACGTGATACAAGCTAACAGGCCACATTGTGTGCAGATTCAGTTCCGTCACCGGCGTTGGTTTGTACACCCGTCGTGACTCAAACCGTTTGTTGCGCCTCGCGCGGTCCCCTCATCTCCACTTTCCAAGGCTCGAGTGTCTGGTGTGTCCGACGGGCTGGGGCGAGGATCCGCTGAGGTTGTGCCTCAGAGAAGTTCTGTGATTCCGCCTGCAGGATCAAAGCGCCTGATGTCCTCGACGTACTCGGCTGCGCCGGCCGCGGATGGACCACCAAGTGGGGAGCAACCATCGCCCACTCGTTCTCCTGCTTTCGTCATTGATTCCGGGGAGGGGCCGCGCCCATGAGGCCATTCTCAAGTTCCCACCAGGTCCTCCAAGGAGCTCATTCCCACCTCGCTTGGGGGCCCGGCGACGAGGACTCGTTCAAAGACTACCCAGTTCACATGACTCTCCTCCACCATGCTGTTCCCCTATGCCGCCTGCTCCTTGCCACTCACGATTCAGGGGATTCATTGGCTGAACCTGCTTCTTCGTGTGCTCGTGGGTGTTGCTACACATGCGGGCGTAGGGTCGTGCCAGAGGTCGGAGGTGGGGCCAGTCCTTGTACATTGCTAACATTCCCTTGTTGATGTTTTTCTTCTTTTATTTCCTTCCCCTTTTTCTCTGGATTTGTAATTATTGTATATGCTGTGGTTATTTATTATTGTTTGCTCATCGGTTGTTCATTATTGTTGTTGGGAGGCAAACTCTTGTCTTTTTTTTGTAATTAGTAACAGCCGGTACGGCTGTATTTTACAAAGGGGAGGGGGGGGGGGTGATGTAGTGACATACTAGATGTCACTAGTGACATCTAGTGACATACTAGATGTCACTAGAGGGCAGCCACAGTACCCAGTGATGAAGGGTACTGGAGGGGCATAGCCCTGGCAACGGTGAGAGAGAGAGCGCATTAGGACATGGCCTTTGGGTGAACCCAGGAGGACACGTGACTGGACAAGGTGGAAGGGGTATCCCCCAAAGGGGGTCGAGAGGGACACGTGCTGGGGAACCAGAACCCTAGAGAAGAATCTGGAATGGGGCGTGGCCAGGGGGAAGCCCGGCCACGCCGGATGTAAGCTGGTGCGGAGAAGCCGGCGGGGTCGCCGTTGTCATAGTGCTGTCCCAGGGAAATGGAATCCGCCAGCCAGGTCTTCGATCCTCGGTCTTCGGGCGTCGAACAAGTCGTCGAGAGCCAGGCAGCGTGTTAGCTGACCCGGCCAATTACATAGTGTTCCCGTTGAATGTAGACATACCTGTTGTGTTAGTGAAAAAAACGTGTTGCCTCTATACTCGAGAGTGCGTCTCAATAGAACCCACTACACATGCACAGCGCTTTTATCAATCCACTGCAGAACGAGGGCCTCCCCACACCGTGTGGGTCATGGAGATTACATGACCGTGCGGTTGATTATGGGCCAATCGATATGTGTGCGCCCTTCTGCTTTAAAGGTTTTGCATATACTGTTAAATTGTTTACTGTTACATTTCAAGAGATAGAAAAGGTGCTACATTTACCTGCAAATGTTCATTGTTGGCCCAAGATCTGTGTATGCGAACTTAAAGGTGTAGGTCTCAAAGATCGTCTGTGGAGAGATACATTTCAATACGCTGTGATGTCTCATCAACACAGAGACCTTGGACAGTCCCCTTTAGTTCTCAAGCCAGTGGTGGCAGTAAGCGTAAGCAAACAAGAGGTCTGAGATTCATTAAAAAATAGGGGCTAACCAAAAATAATAAATTTACCATTAAAATTTTTACGAATCTTTCATTAATTGCCTGTAACTATATTACTTTTTGGTTCTTTCGGTAAAGTCACGTAGGTAGAAAAATAATAGATCAGCAGGCGGACTGCTGTATTGTTTCACCTGAGGACGATGGCTTGTATTGCTATCGAAACGTCGTGATCTATTATTTTTCTACCTACGTGACTTTACCGAAAGAACACAAGAGTATGGATTCCTGCAGTCACGAAAGCTTCAAATCAAGACTGTAACTATATTCTCAGAACTCCATTTTTCTCTCTTGTCTTCATCTCGTACTGCACTACATCTGTCTTATCTGTATTCCTAATCTTTTATCTCATTAAATTTCTAGCTCTTGTCATCCCACGCATCTGCCTTATTTCACTACATCTGCTTCATCTGTCTCTCCCTTCTGTCGTCTTGCTACATCTATATTTTTTCCATCTCTTTTGTCATGTCACTAGGCGTTTGTAATAGAAATGGGGACCCACCAAAAATGCTGTATTTTTAGGGTCCCAGATGCGCGAGCACGACCAGCACTAATTCTATGGGATCATAAGCATGCTTATACGTTCACGTAAAATAGTGTGGTTTTATGGGATGTACAAAACACGTACGTTTGGGTCTTGCGGATCAAGATATACCTGTCAAAATAAAACATATTTTAGGCTGATGAAGATGACACAACTCCTTTATGGAAAGCAAATAACTTAACACACTTAGAACAATAAGTATGTTTATCAGGAAACTACTTACAGCGATAACCATCATCCTCAGCTGTAAAAAACGAAAAAAGGTAATGAGCTTACATTCGTTATCGAGGTGAAAAACACGAAAGGGCAATTTAATTCAATATTATGCAGTTTGCAAATAGCTTCCAAGTGTGCGTGATGTGAGAAAACACTGCCATCCGGTGTTAAAAAGAGATTCACTGTGGACAGTAGCTTACGTAATTCTTTTCAAGGGCATCATAACATCCTTTCATCCTGAATGGGAAATATGCACATTGTGACAAAATGCATTAATATTTTACAAAAAGTATACATTTGTTTGCATTTTTTTAACAAGCAAAGTCAATTTTATTATTGTATATAGGTGCTAGCAATGACTTTCGGATAAAAACCAAATAGGATTTTCAGAATTTTAAGGATTTTTTTTCTCTCCATATTCTCAGACCATTTTTATTTGGTAATACGTTAATGTGCATTTGTTAAAACAAATGTCATGTCACCTGATGCCATGTGACACCAATTTCTGAGGGACGTCACCTCTTCTGATGTGTTATTCTCAGATAAATCTAAAAGTTTGTACCTCGGCCGAAATTTTCGGATGAATCAACATATGGGAACACTTGACTATACCTATGCTGTCTGTCCTGGGGTGCCTGATAAAAAAAAACACTTTCAAGTTACGGTCATTGCAGTAAAGAACTAAAGCTTGGAAGTGTCACTGTAGTTATGCACTAAAGTGATCCTGTCAAAGATAACTGCTTCTTTATTAATTCAGAGTAGTGGTGGACAGCTTATGCCAGCCTAGGTAAACTATACAATATTTTTTGGGGTATTGCGTATAACTTGAAACAATGTAGATCAACGAGCCTACCATTCCACAATCTGACAGGCGCCAGGGAGGGACGTTTGTCCACAGATGATCTTCAGGGTAAGATCTGCAGTGGATATAAAATATGCGCCATGGGAGAAGCCAAAGTATATGAGGATTAAGATTGCACGGATACACGTAAACACCTCTGTTACTTTATTGCCTTTTGTCCAGATGTCCCTCGTAAAGTAGGCTTGCTTCAATGAGCTACTGCCTGGTAAATGAAGAGGCTATTGAATTGTGAATTCACTGTCTTTAAATGTATTCATACAAATTCCCAAGGGTAGCCAATGTTCCCGTGCCTACATACCAACATATTTATATTGCTGAGTCACGTAACACTAAACTACATTCTCTATGATCACAGATTATATATCGTAGTTTCGAATATCACGATTGCTATCATAGCCTAGATTAAACTCATCATCAGCCATGATAAAATCAATGAAAGAACGCATCCCCAAGGGGCCACCATGTCTCATGATATTTTTTATGTAATAATCCAACTATCATCTGAATACGATGTAATCACTGCATCTCCTCGGTGAGCATCCTCTCAGCCAATTTCCATTCTTGATGTGGCAGCCAAGAAATGTAATGAGACCCAGAAGGTCGAATCTTATACCGAATTTGTTCATTTAAAAATATTGCTGAATAATAACTATAGAATATTTTTTTCTAGCATCAAGATATTAAATAATAAAAAAGGCTTTACCCTTTCTGGGGTAAAAATAAGTGTTAATATGTTTAAACACAAAACAGACACTAATTCGAAGGCATCATGTCTAAGTAACCACACATACGTGTGTATTTATGCCAGAAAGGGTAAATCCTCATCATCTGCTGAAAAATAATATTGGTACAGAAGACCAAATGGGTCAACGGTCCAAAACAGATGTCATGCTGACAGACAGATGAATGTCAAGAGGGAGGTGATGAGGCAATACACTTTTAATGTCAACGAATCGAAAGCCTTGTCCCATTCAGCACCGTCAATGTAGCATGTGGTGTAGGCTTTCTCTGGTAAGATGCCACGCAGGTAGGTGATGTTGGAGATGGCTACGGCTATGAGGCGCTTGATGAAAATCACAGACTGCTGCACCGTCTCTATCTTGTCAGGTATAATGCTCTGAAAACCAAACACACACATTATGGAGCGGTCTGGTGGGCAGAGCATCAGAATTCTCAAGTCTCAAATGCACACAGACACACACACACGGTTCGGATTACCATGTTTCCCTGGCAGAACTTAGGTTGGTACGAGTGGTGAAGAATGAGGTCTATGAACTTCTATACAGTACTTATCAAGCCATTTCTGGAATAAAAGGCCCTCCACACCATATCGGTCAGGGCAGTTGATTTGGACAAAACTGGATAAGTCCCAAGCACAGTTTTTTTTTTATTTTCTAATTTCATCTAGAATTATTTTCTTACCAATTATCTCAAAAACCCCATTTGTTCTGGTGCCGGTTTAATTGCAAGCGGCTGCCTGGAATCGAAACCAACACCTCAGCAGTGTCTGCTCAGTACTATGACCCCCTCGTACACGAGTTGGCAATAGACTGGCGGTGGTGGCACACGTCTGTAATCCAGCACTGTGGAGGCGAGGGTTGGTGGATTGCACAAATAATGCAAAACTCTCTTCCCTTGGGGCGTTGTAGAGCCATGCACTGGCTCGCCAGAAAGCAGGGTAGCAAGTGGACTAATCGGTATCTGTTTCCATCTGTACGGTGTAGTGTTGCCCCTTATCGAAAGGTGTGGGTCTTCTACGGGCGATCCGGTTTCCTCCCACGTGTAAACATTCATTGGTTGTCTGAAAGCATGTTAGATTAAATACCCAACACAGGACCCTCCTGCAAAGTGGCTCTCCTAGATACGTACATTATACTTATTCTTGGTTCTTTTGGTAAAGTCACGTAGAAGGGAAATAATAAAATAATACAAATAAAACAATAAAATTCTCACGACGTTTCGATTGCAACACAAGCAATCATCATTTCCCTTCTACGTGACTTTACCGAAAAAACCAAGAATATGAATCCCTGCAGTCACGAAAGCTTTAAATGGAAATTTAAATTATACTTACTTATTGACTACAACAATTGCATTAAGAAAGCACATTCGTGTTTTAATCCCCGTAACTGCAGTTTAATAGACAATGAATGTTAAGGCTGTGTGATACATGAAGTAATAATTGGCGGAGTGGGAGCCATGAACTGGACGCATCTGAGCTGACGTCCACCGATGATATGGAGCGATGAAATCAGTTCGCGTGTAGGTCAGAATCAGAATATTTATTTATACTGGAGAAATCCTATGGGCTATAAAGCTCTTTTTCACAGGAGCTGGATGGATCGTGATGTCGCAGGATCGTGAGGTGGTCGGGGGGGGGGGGCTGCATGCTTGTTGAGGCCTTCATCCAGCAGTAGACTGACCGTAGCTAATTATGACGGATCAAATGACGTGGGGGAATGTTTGATGCGAGATTGGCTAATTATCACGAGATGTTTAATTGAGGGTGGTTTGAGTAATTGACGTGGTGCGAGCTGGTTAATTTACCAACCTTTCAACCGTTACCACCTAAGGGGATTGTCGTGGCAAAAAAATTGGAAATAATAAAAATACATAAAATTGTTTCAAATTTGTGAGAATAGGTTTTTTTCCCTTTTATCTGGCAACAAAACAGGTGTTAAATTGTTTAAACACCAAACTGAAACCTTTTACAAGGAATCATGTCTGCATTAACCGCAATACTTGTGGTCAAAATGCAAACAAAAAAATACTCTGATACGATATGCATTGTCTTTGAAACTGATTGGTCCACACCAGAGACAGCTTTCTTTTGAGCCTCGTCTCAAACAGTGTCAGACCAGAGGACGCCAAAAGGCGTACAAACTTAACAAAACTATTTGGTTTTATTATACCAGGTAAGGCCCAACTGAGCTTATGTAGCTCTTTATCAGAGGCGACCTGGTCATCACAAATTATACCTCAAAGAAGTGGCTCATTGCGTGTAAATGTATCGCAGCGGGCAAATACTCTAAACACTTGGTGATGTTGATTCTAAATGTTGAGGGGAAAACCCGGAGTAAAAATCCACGCGACCATGGCGAGAGAGAAGAGACGTGCAAACTCTAAATATACAGCAGCAGGCGTCGTCAGGGTCGGGATTGAACCCACGACCTCTTGTAGACCAGGCCAGGTAGTTAACAACTCATAGCCACCGTGATGATGATGATAAACACGCAAACTCCAAATATACAGCAGCAGGCGTCGTCAGGGTCGGGATTGAATCCACGACCTCCTGTACACCCGGCGAGGTAGTTAACATCTCATAGCCACCGTGATGATGATGATGACAGAGAGAGAGAGACGCAAACTCCAAATACACAGCAGCAGGCATTGTCAGGGACGGGATTGAACCCACGACCTCCTGTACACCAGGCGAGGTAGTTAACATCTCATAGCCACCGTGATGATGATAATAAACACGCAAACTCCAAATATACAGCAGCAGCAGGCATTGTCAGGTTCGGGATCGAACCCACGACCTCCTGTACACCAGGCGAGGTAGTTAACATCTCATAGCCACCGTGAAGATGATGAGAGAGAGAGACGCAAACTCCACATACACAGCAGCAGGCATCGTCAGCGACGGGATTGAACCCACGACCTCCTGTATACCAGGCGAGGTAGTTAACATCTCATAACCACCGTGATGATGATGATGACAGAGAGAGAGACGCAAACTCCAATTACACAGCAGCAGGCATTGTCAGGTTCGGGATCGAATCCACGACCTCCTGTACACCAGGCGAGGTAGTTAACATCTCATAGCCACCGTGATGATTAAAAATTGAATGTGTTTGTTTAATGTGATTAGAAAAAAAATCAATTGTGCACCATTCGTTGCGATTGTTTCGGGCGGGTCATCTGAGTCGTGGCCATGATCCCCGAACTGCAATAATCAAAACAAAACAATAAACATTACAAGTGATTATGTTTCAATGCTAACTGCTACAAGACGCACTTTCCTCTCTCTGTATTTCAAATCAATCGTTGGGAGTGCGTCTTATAATCAAGAAAACGGTCAATATATAACGCAGCAATCTGTTAATAATTAACTCTGCTTTGCACCTTGTTTAAACAACCATATTTCCTAAATGCAAACGAAAATTACGTAAACATTGAAGTAGATTTTCCTTTGAAGTTTTTTTTAAGGTCCCCTCTGAGGGAAATTAGACAATTTAATCACCTCAGGAAAAAATGTCAACTGTTTATGAAGTAAAATATTTATTTTGGAAATGCCTATTGATACATTGCTTTCGTTAAACATTACCATGAAGAATATGTTTTAAACAGTATAACTTGTTCAACTTAATTTTAATTAAAAAAAGGTCACGCGTGACACAATTTACCACACATACATAATCGTGCAAAGTTACACATTTTCACTTACTATGTTTGAGGAAATTAATATAGAAAAATGTAAGTGGCGAAAGTAACGGTGAGAATGTCAAATCCGCTATTTAATCACGAAAAATTTAACTCTTCAAATAATCATACATCTGGGGAATCTGCGTCCAAAACGAGCCGTTCGTGCGCCGCGCTTTTCCCGCGAAGGGTGCCCGACGTGTTGACGTCACCGCGCTCCACTTCCCGAGGTGTCTGTGTGTGCGTGATGACGTCAACGCGCTCCACAACCCCCCCTCCCTCGAATTGTTGTGCGTGATAACGTCACCGCGGCTCCACACCCCGGGAAATGTTGCGTGCGTGATGGCGTCACCGCGCTCTACACCCCCCCCCCTCCCGAGGTGTTGTGTGCGTGACAACGTCACCGCGGCTCCACACCCCGGAAGGTGTTGCGTGCGTGATGGCGTCACCGCGCTCTACACCCCCCTCTCCCGAGGTGTTGTGTGCGTGATAACGTCACCGCGCTCCATACCCCGGAAAGTATTGCGTACGTGATGGCGTCACCGCGCTCTACCCCCCCTCCCGAGGTGTTGTGCGTGATAACGTCACCGCGCTCCACCCCAACCCTCCCCCCCGAGGTGTTGTGTGTGCGTAATGACGTAACGACGTTGCCGGGGCACTGGGACTGCATCACGTGGTCGTGGAAACAGATGCCACTGTACGTGCCTTGAGTTACTCAATTGGCACTGTGCTTATTGCAACCCCACTGGATTTTCATTGTAATCTGTGGGCAATCTAATGCGTGTGTACATATGTACATGTAATTGTAATCTGTGGCTAATCTAACGCATCGGAGAGGCAAACGGGAGGCGAAGGTCAGATTCGCTACCACGTGTAACAAACAAACAAAAATATTAAGTAACGCGTAGATCCGCTGCCCGGCCCGGGGTCTTGTTTTAAGTGCTTGGCTTGCTTTTGCCTGGTCTGGTCAATTTCGTTGGGCTCAGTCGACTTTAATTGGTTGTTTGACGACTTAATTTCCGGCGGCTGCTCGATCGCGCTGGGGCTAAATCGCTCACGCTTTTGACAGATCGTCTGAACCCGCCGCTTATTTTGCTCGCCTGGTTTAAAAAAAAAACAAACGCCACGTTTTGACCGCGTTTGAACGGCTTCTATTGCTTTGCCCACCCCACAATGCCACAAGGCAACCCACAATAGTTTGTGTCGTTTCCAATGATACATAGACGATGAGCACGCCAGCCAGTCACGGTGACTTGGCAAAAAAAAACCCACCGCCACTCCACTTCGGTTTACCTTCGCAATCAACCCACGGCAATTACGTAACGCCTCATTGCCGTACGTTCCTCATCACAGGACGCAATCCTAACCCACCCCACCCAGATCACCCAGATCACAGGACGAAATCCTAACCCACCCCACCCAGATCACCCAGATCACAGGACGAAATCCTAACCCACCTCTCTGTATAGTACACTACAGTACTGTACAGTATGTAAAATAATGGGGTTTTCGTGGTGCGTCTTAAGAATGCGATAGGCGTGGGTTGTCGCCAGCTTCTGATTTATTTGTCACCGGGACACACACACACACACACGGTGGTTGTTGTTGTTGTTGTTTTAGGAGGTGGGGAGGTGTCTTGTCAATCGGGAGAATACGATTGCAGTGCGGCAAACAGCAACAACAACAATAATAATAAACCCCCGGAACGTGGAGGAAGAGGCGAGTCAAAGCGGCCTCGGCAAGACATCAGCGGGCAGTGCGGAACGTCGGGACCACTCCCTCCCTCCTCCATCTCCGCCTCTCTCCATCATCATCATCATCCTCCTCCCTCCTTGAACGCGCCATGCACAGCAGTCTGCTGACTCGGACTTTGGCCAGGAGGATCACGGCAACCACGAGGGCAGCAGCAGCAGCGAGGGCAGCAGCAGCAGCAACAATGACGACGCGGGCGGCAGCGGTGGTGCAGGGTGCCGTGGGGGGCCGCCACTTCGACCTGCTGGTGCTGGGAGGGGGCTCTGGGGGGCTGGCGGCTGCGAGGCGCGCGGCCGAGATGGGCGCCAGCGCGTGCCTGGTGGAGAGCGGCAGGCTGGGGGGCACTTGTGTGAGTGTGGGGGGCACCTGTGTGTGGAGGCACCTGTGTGTGGGGGGAGAGTGTCAGGAGAGAGTGTGAGTGAGTGTGGGAAGAGTGTGAGGAGAGTGTGAGTGAGTGAGGAGAGTGTGAGTGAGTGAGGAGAGTGTGAGTGAGTGAGGAGAGTGTCAGGAGAGAGAGTGTGAGTGAGGAGAGTGTGAGTGTGTGGGGGGAGAGTGTCAGGAGAGGGAGTGTGAGTGAGGAGAGTGTGAGTGAGTGAGTGAGGAGAGTGTCAGGAGAGTGTGGGGAGAGTGAGTGTGAGTGAGTGTGGGAAGAGTGTGAGGAGAGTGTGAGTGAGGAGAGTGTCAGTGAGGAGAGAGTGTCAGGAGAGAGAGTGTGAGTGAGTGAGTGAGGAGAGTGTCAGGAGAGTGTGGGGAGAGTGTCAGGAGTGAGTGTGAGTGAGTGTGGGAAGAGTGTGAGGAGAGTGTGAGTGAGTGAGGAGAGTGTGAGTGAGGAGAGAGTGTCAGGAGAGAGAGTGTAAGTGAGTGAGGAGAGAGTGTCAGGAGAGTGTGAGTGAGTGAGGAGAGTGTCAGGAGAGTGTGGGGAGAGTGTCAGGAGTGAGTGTGAGTGAGTGAGGAGAGTGTCAGGAGAGAGAGTGTGAGTGAGTGAGGAGAGTGTGAGTGAGTGAGGGGAGAGTGTCAGGAGAGAGAGTGTGAGTGAGTGAGGAGAGTGTGAGTGAGTGAGGAGAGTGTGAGTGAGGAGAGTGTGAGTGAGTGTGGGGAGAGTGTTAGGAGAGAGAGAGTGTGAGTGAGGAGAGTGTGAGTGAGTGAGGAGAGTGTGAGTGAGTGTGGGGAGAGTGTCAGGAGTGAGTGTGAGTGAGTGAGGAGAGTGTCAGGAGAGAGAGTGTGAGTGAGGAGAGTGTGAGTGAGTGAGTGAGGAGAGTGTCAGGAGAGTGTGGGGAGAGTGAGTGTGAGTGAGTGTGGGAAGAGTGTGAGGAGAGTGTGAGTGAGGAGAGTGTCAGTGAGGAGAGAGTGTCAGGAGAGAGAGTGTGAGTGAGTGAGTGAGGAGAGTGTCAGGAGAGTGTGGGGAGAGTGTCAGGAGTGAGTGTGAGTGAGTGTGGGTAGAGTGTGAGGAGAGTGTGAGTGAGTGAGGAGAGTGTGAGTGAGGAGAGAGTGTCAGGAGAGAGAGTGTAAGTGAGTGAGGAGAGAGTGTCAGGAGAGTGTGAGTGAGTGAGTGAGGAGAGTGTCAGGAGAGTGTGGGGAGAGTGTCAGGAGTGAGTGTGAGTGAGTGAGGAGAGTGTCAGGAGAGAGAGTGTGAGTGAGTGAGGAGAGTGTGAGTGAGTGAGGGGAGAGTGTCAGGAGAGAGAGTGTGAGTGAGTGAGGAGAGTGTGAGTGAGTGAGGAGAGTGTGAGTGAGTGAGGAGAGTGTGAGTGAGGAGAGTGAGTGTGGGGAGAGTGTTAGGAGAGAGAGAGTGTGAGTGAGGAGAGTGTGAGTGAGTGAGGAGAGTGTGAGTGAGTGTGGGGAGAGTGTCAGGAGTGAGTGTGAGTGAGTGAGGAGAGTGTCAGGAGAGAGAGTGTGAGTGAGGAGAGTGTGAGTGAGTGAGTGAGGAGAGTGTCAGGAGAGTGTGGGGAGAGTGAGTGTGAGTGAGTGTGGGAAGAGTGTGAGGAGAGTGTGAGTGAGGAGAGTGTCAGTGAGGAGAGAGTGTCAGGAGAGAGAGTGTGAGTGAGTGAGTGAGGAGAGTGTCAGGAGAGTGTGGGGAGAGTGTCAGGAGTGAGTGTGAGTGAGTGTGGGAAGAGTGTGAGGAGAGTGTGAGTGAGTGAGGAGAGTGTGAGTGAGGAGAGAGTGTCAGGAGAGAGAGTGTAAGTGAGTGAGGAGAGAGTGTCAGGAGAGTGTGAGTGAGTGAGTGAGGAGAGTGTCAGGAGAGTGTGGGGAGAGTGTCAGGAGTGAGTGTGAGTGAGTGAGGAGAGTGTCAGGAGAGAGAGTGTGAGTGAGTGAGGAGAGTGTGAGTGAGTGAGGGGAGAGTGTCAGGAGAGAGAGTGTGAGTGAGTGAGGAGAGTGTGAGTGAGTGAGGAGAGTGTGAGTGAGGAGAGTGTGAGTGAGTGTGGGGAGAGTGTTAGGAGAGAGAGAGTGTGAGTGAGGAGAGTGTGAGTGAGTGAGGAGAGTGTGAGTGAGTGTGGGGAGAGTGTCAGGAGTGAGTGTGAGTGAGTGAGGAGAGTGTCAGGAGAGAGAGTGTGAGTGAGGAGAGTGTGAGTGAGTGAGTGAGGAGAGTGTCAGGAGAGTGTGGGGAGAGTGTCGGGAGTGAGTGTGAGTGAGTGAGGAGAGTGTCAGGAGAGAGAGAGTGTGAGTGAGGAGAGTGTGAGTGAGTGAGGAGAGTGTCAGGAGAGAGAGTGTGAGTGAGTGAGGAGAGTGTGAGTGAGTGAGGGGAGAGTGTCAGGAGAGAGAGTGTGAGTGAGTGAGGAGAGTGTGAGTGAGTGAGGAGAGTGTGAGTGAGGAGAGTGTGAGTGAGTGTGGGGAGAGTGTTAGGAGAGAGTGTGAGTGAGGAGAGTGTGAGTGAGTGAGGAGAGTGTGAGTGAGTGTGGGGAGAGTGTCAGGAGTGAGTGTGAGTGAGTGAGGAGAGTGTCAGGAGAGAGAGTGTGAGTGAGGAGAGTGTCAGGAGAGAGAGTGTGAGTGAGTGAGGAGAGTGAGTGTGAGTGAGGAGAGTGTGAGTGAGTAGAGAGTGAGTGGGGGGAGAGTGTCAGGAGAGAGTGTGAGTGAGTGGGGGGAGAGTGTCAGGAGAGAGTGTGAGTGAGTGGTGAGTGAGTGTGGGGAGAGTATTAGGAGAGTGTGAGTGAGGAGAGAGTGAGTGGGGGGAGAGTACCAGGAGAGAGTGTGAGTGAGGAGAGTGTGAGTGAGTGAGGGGAGAGTGTCAGGAGAGAGAGTGTGAGTGAGTGAGGAGAGAGTGAGTGAGTGAGGGGAGAGTGTCAGGAGAGAGAGTGTGAGTGAGGAGAGTGTAAGTGAGTGAGGAGAGTGTGAGTGAGTGAGGAGAGTGTGAGTGAGTGAGGGGAGAGTGTCAGGAGAGAGAGTGTGAGTGAGGAGAGTGTGAGTTAGTGAGTGAGGAGAGTGTGAGTGAGTGTGGGGAGAGTGTCAGGAGAGAGATTGTGGGGAGAGTGTGAGTGAGTGTGGGGAGAGTGTCAGGAGAGAGTGTGAGTGAGGAGAGTGTGAGTGTGGGGAGAGTGTCAGGAGAGAGAGTGTGAGTGAGGAGAGTGTGAGTGAGTGAGGAGAGATTCAGGAGAGAGAGTGTGTGTGCACATGACACCCACACCTCATTGTCCGTTTTTGCTTCCGCAGGTGAATGTGGGCTGCGTTCCAAAGAAGGTGACCGATCCACCTTTTTCCGCCTTTCCTCACTCCCTCTCTTTACCTCTGGCCGGCCCTCCATCCCAAACACCAGCGATCCGCTCGCAGCAAATTCCAGAGCGGGTGTTTTGCTTTATTGTATTTACATCATCGGTCCACTGCTGGATGAAGGCCTGCCACCGCTCCTCACGCACCCTTCGATGCCACAGGCCACCGTGCACGCAAACCGATTTCATCGCTCCGTCTCCACCACGGTGGTGGAAGGGGGCGGTCGCCCTCACAGAACGCGCTCCGTCTCCCTGGCGGACGCTCCCGTTAATATTCATGGACCGTCGGACATAGCGTGACGCTTGCCTACTATACATCGGCGCGGTTCGTCACGTAATGTTTAGGCTGACGTTTTGGGCAATGGCCCTCGTGCACGGCTGAGATTGGTCTCTTGTGTTGATCCGCGTCGGGGTCTTTACGGGGATGTCTTGGAGTCTTTGGGTCCCAACGTTCGTCTGTTGGGTGGTTTATGTGATGTGTTGTGGTTTATGTGATGTGCTGTGGTTTATGTGCGTGGTTTATGTGATGTGTTGTGGTTTATGTGCGGTGGTTTAGTTGCGTGGTGTATTGTGATGTGTTGTGGTTTATGTGATGTGTTGTGGTTTATGTGATGTGTTGTGGTTTATGTGATGTGTTGTGGTTTATGTGATGTGTTGTGGTTTAGTTGCGTGGTTTACGTGATGCGTTTTGGTTTATGTGCGGTGGTTTAGTTGCGTGGTGTATGTGATGTGTTGTGGTTTATGTGATGTGTTGTGGTTTATGTGATGTGTTGTGGTTTATGTGCAGTGGTTTAGTTGCGTGGTGTATTGTGATGTGTTGTGGTTTGGATGTGGTGTGGTTTGTGACATTGTGTCGTGGTTTATGTGCTGCGGTGTTCCTGCGTTGTGGTTTAGTTGGGTGGTGTATTGTGATGTGGTTCATGCTCTGTGTTGTGGTTGATATGTTGTGGTTGTCTGGGTGTGGTGTGGTTTATGGCATTGTGTTGCGATTTACGTGCTGCGGTCAGGTGATGTACAACGCTGCTATGCACGCCGAGCTCATCCACGACCACGCCGACTACGGCTTCACCGTCGGCTCCGTCGACTTCAGCTGGAGGTCCGGGAGCACAACCACTAGTGTGCCTCTTTCTCCACCACACAACCGAGCCGCGCTCACGCTGTTCTTAGCCGACATGGGCACGTTCCCAGGAGTTTTGAGACGCGTGCCAGTTGATGTGGTGAGCCCGTGTCCTCGCCCGTGTCACTGACAGACGTCACCGCGCGCGATGGACGCCGTTAACCCCTGACCCCTAGCGCTGCTACCCCTGGCCCTGCTTGACCCTGAACCAGACTCGGGCTGTTGTTGTGAGGCTAGCGCGTCACGGTCGTGATAAAAAAAGAAAATGCAAACACGGTCCATGATTCACGCGCTGGACCTGACGGTCGCCGCTGTGAAACTTGAGGTCAGGGTTTGAGATGTTGGTTGCATTTTGTCCGCGACCTTTCATTGTAACCCAGTGTCCCCACACAAAGATAAAGATCTGCCGTATAGCCTCAACGGACTGTAGGGGAAGGTGCTGTTTGAGAGCTCCTATCAAGGCCAGCGTGCCTTTTTAAGGCCGTAGTCGACCTAGGGGAGGCCCAGGAGTCGTACAAATATCGGCCACTGTCACCGGCCACGAGTGGGAATCAAACTCGGGGTTGCAGGGATCGTATCGCAGCACGCTAACCGCTACTCCTCCGCTCCGCACGCACGCTCTGCACACCCCCCCCCCGCCGCCCCTGCTCCTCCTAGGACCATCAAGGATAAGCGGGACGCCTACATCAAGAGGCTGAACGACATCTATCAGCGAAACCTGGACAACGTGCGTACGCCTCGCGGAAACGCGACGCTCGACAGAATCCATCGCGTGCGCTGCCCTCGGGAGGAGACGACGTGCGTGCGCTGGAGAAGGGCCGTTGCCGAAACGTTGCCAAAAGTTGACCTTCGACGCGTTCGTTTACCCGTCCTCGTGGGGCCCACGGCGTTTGTTGACCGATGCGTTGAGTTTTCGTTGTTCATGCTCGCCGCACCCGGCTGCCAAGCGAAGTACCGTAACAAAAAAACCCCGCAAATACGACTCCGCTCGTTTAGCCGGGATGGCTCGAGGCTCTCTTGTTCGGGGTCCTGCCGTAGCTCCGACGTCGGTGGCGATCCCAACCGTGCAATTTGGAGATGTTGCCGTCGAATGTCCGTTCTGAAGCAGACTGGCGCGTGCTCTGTGTTGTTGCACGCTTTCATTTAACTCGCTCTGTCTGTCGTTGTTGTATCCTCAAATCTTGTAACGCAATTTTAACCCACTTCCCAATGCGGTATCGACTGCAAACTTGGCATACTTATGTCATGCTGATGACAATAACTATATTCTATCATTAAAAAATGAAAGTATATATTTATTTAAACATTCTTTTTTATATGTTATGTTTCGCCTTGGGTCTGATTGTCCACGCTCAACTGACGTTGGTTGTAAATCACCACGAACCATTACGTTGTGGCGAGCTTTGTGGCCACTTCCTGGGGTCGTGGAGTTCTGCCATTACTAGTACGGTACATTTCAATAAAGCGTGTTTTTAAAAACGTTTTTAAAAATATGACTTATTGTTCTGTACGATTGATACATCCGCAGCATTTTAAGTGATTTGTTTACCTTTCTAATACTCTTCACCCCTGTCGTATTTTTATATTGTTGGTTGTTGTAACGTTCCATCGGATTCCTCCAGTCATAAATAAATAATCTGATTTACCAGGGCTGCCGTTGGCTCGAACCGCTGCTCCTCAACATCTGAGCAGGGAAAACGCGGGACCGCTCTGGGCCTTGAATTATTCTCTCTCGGGGGGGTAAAAACCCGCGCTCGTTACAATCCTGTGCTTCGAGTAACTTCTCTCCCTCGCCCGCTCGTTTGCTCACTCGCTCGATCGCTCGCCCCCACCTCCTCCCCGTCAGTCCAAGGTGGAGGTGGTGCGCGGGCGAGGGGTGCTCACGCTGGAGCAGGGCCAGCCGGCCGTGGCGGTGGACGGCCAGGTCTACACAGCGCCGCACATCGTCATCGCCACGGGCGGGCACCCCAGCATGCCGCCCGACGGCAGCATACCCGGTGAGAGGAGGCTCGCCCGCCCGCTCGCCCGCCCGCTCGCTCGCTTCACAGTGACGCGTGTCGTGGGGGATGGCAGGTGGACTGATCTCTGTTTCTCCATCTGTATGGAGATGCAGCATTACCATCCCCCCCCACCTCCTCACACGGGTAGGTCTTTTTCGGGTGCTTCGGTCCCTCCCATATGTACATACGGTCATACCTCGGTATACGACCGCTTTGGAATACGTCGAATTTGGTACACGTCGTGTTTTGACGATAAAAAAAATGTCTTGGGATACGACGTCTTGCTTGGGATACAAAGCGCTGCTTGCAAGAACTTGTATGGGTCGGGATGAGTCACCGCGTAGACCCCGTTCACGACTGAGACAAAGCGCCGCTCCTCAGTCTGCCTGTAGATCTCGTTCAGTGCACAACCCCCTTGCTGTAACTCTCTGTGAATTTTCACGTGTTCTTTTGCGAATTCGTTCACCACCATCCTCGTAGGCTATCACTTCCTCTCAGCAAGGTAAAGTGATGTTAAATTTTATTTTTTATTTCAATTTATTTATGCTTTTATTTTAATTTATGTATGCATTTTAGTATTAAGTAGTGTCTACATTATCTGGTACAACCCCATTAATGTATAATATTCCATATAAAATATCATTTCTTATACTCTGGAACGGATTATTTTCTCATGGGAAAAATTCGTTTGGTAGACGTCATTTTCGGTATAAGTTCTCCTACCCTCTGGAACGAATTAATGACGTATACCGAGGTACCACTGTATATCTATGCGTGTTGAACTTTGCACCGCATGTAGCCAACCAACCATGCGTATCGGAGGAATTAGGGGAAGGACAACAATCTAAACACAACAAGGAGCACACGTTGCATCATCACTCGTTGGTGGAGTTGACCAGGCATCTCATTTGTAGGATCGCAGAACTTGGGCAATTGTTGACGCCGGTTCTGGCTGCCCCCCCCCCCCCCCCCCGCTGCTTGTGTGTGGTTTCCCACGCTTCTGAATCATTCGCCCCCCCCCTCCCCCTCTCTCTGACAGTGACTGAAAACTTTGCCAGGAAAAAAACGAGATATGTTATTGAAATTGTTAAAGTGGTGTGGATCTCGCATGACTCTTGCTCCACGCCTCGGAAACCAGTCCTGGCCCCTCTCCTTGGTCGACTCAGCCGTAAATTAGTACCTGGTGCAGTGTGTAAGCATCAGCACTCGGGAGCAAAAGGCGGCCGGGCGTGGTGCAGGCTGCACCACCAGCACCATCCGCCTCATGTGCCGTGCCGGCCGGCCTTCAAAGGTGCTTGCCAACAGCACGTTCTCCAACAGTCTGTTAAAGGCTATATGGGTGATCTTTGTCTTTGGTCGCGTGTGCAGGAGCCAGTCTGGGAATGACGAGCGATGGCTTCTTTGAGCTGGAGGAGCTGCCCAAGTGAGTTGTCTGTTCACGTAGCTGTCTGTTCACGCCAAGCTGTTCACGTCGCTGTTCACGTCGCCGCCTGTTCACGTCGCCACCTGTTCACGTCGCCGCCTGTTCACGTCGCTGTTCACGTCGCTGTTCACGCCGCTGCCTGTTCACGTCGCCGCCTGTTCACGCCAAGCTGTTCACGTCGCCGCCTGTTCACGCCAAGCTGTTCACGCCAAGCTGTTCACGTCGCTGTTCACGTCGCCGTTCACGTCGCCGCCTGTTCACGCCAAGCTGTTCACGCCAAGCTGTTCACGCCAAGCTGTTCACGCCAAGCTGTTCACGTTGCTGCCTGTTCATGTTGTTGTTCATGTTGTTGTTCACGTCGCTGCCTGTTCACGTCGCTGCCTGTTCACGCCAAGCTGTTCACGCCAAGCTGTTCACGTCGTTGTTCATGTCGCTGTTCACATCGTTGTCTGTTCACGTCATTGTCTGTTACGTTGTTGTCTGTTCATGTCATTGTCTGTTACGTCATTGTCTGTTACGTTGTTGTCTGTTACGTTGTTGTCTGTCACGTTGTTGTCTGTTCATGTCGTTGTCTGTTACGTTGTTGTCTGTTACGTTGTTGTCTGTCACGTTGTTGTCTGTTCACGTTGTTGTCTGTCACGTTGTTGTCTGTTACGTTGTTGTCTGTTACGTTGTTGTCTGTTCACGTTGTTGTCTGTTACGTTGTTGTCTGTCACGTTGTTGTCTGTCACGTTGTTGTCTGTTCATGTCGTTGTCTGTTACGTTGTTGTCTGTTACGTTGTTGTCTGTCACGTTGTTGTCTGTTACGTTGTTGTCTGTTACGTTGTTGTCTGTTACGTTGTTGTCTGTTACGTTGTTGTCTGTTACGTTGTTGTCCGTTCACGTCATTGTCTGTTACGTTGTTGTCTGTTACGTTGTTGTCTGTTACGTTGTTGTCTGTTCATGTCGTTGTCTGTTACGTTGTTGTCTGTTCATGTCGTTGTCTGTTACGTTGTTGTCTGTTACGTTGTTGTCTGTTACGTTGTTGTCTGTTCATGTCGTTGTCTGTCACGTTGTTGTCTGTTACGTTGTTGTCTGTTCACGTCGTTGTCTGTTACGTTGTTGTCTGTCACGTCGTTGTCTGTTACGTTGTTGTCTGTTCATGTCGTTGTCTGTTACGTTGTTGTCTGTTACGTTGTTGTCTGTTACGTTGTTGTCTGTTCATGTCGTTGTCTGTTACGTTGTTGTCTGTTACGTTGTTGTCTGTTACGTTGTTGTCTGTTCATGTCGTTGTCTGTTACGTTGTTGTCTGTTACGTTGTTGTCTGTTCATGTCGTTGTCTGTTCACGTCGTTGTCTGTTCACGTTGTTGTCTGTTCATGTCGTTGTCTGTTCACGTTGTTGTCTGTTCACGTCGTTGTCTGTTCATGTCGTTGTTCATGTCGTTGTCTGTTCATGTCGTTGTCTGTTACGTTGTTGTCTGTTCATGTTGTTGTCTGTTCACGTTGTTGTCTGTTCACGTCGTTGTCTGTTCACGTCGCTGTTCACGTCGCTGTTCACGTCATTGTTCGTGTCGCTGTTCACATCACTGTTCACGTCGTTGTCTGTTCACGTCGTTGTCTGTTCACGTCGTTCTTCGTGTCGCTGGTCGTGTCTGGTCAAGAGGTAAACGTGCAGCCCAGTTCTTTGATCAACATCAAGATTGGGGAGACAAAGACGGCTGGGCGCGCTGCTCACCGTACCACCCTCCCCCCCGTGCACCGTAATGGCCCGGCCTTCATAGGTCTTGCTACTCACTAACGGCACTTGCGCACCCACAGTGTGGCTTACAGGAGGATGATCTTTGTCGTAGTGTAGCGGTTAGCGCTACGCTGCGCTATGAACCTGGCGACCCGGGTTCGATTCCCGCTCACGGCCAACACCAGTGACGATTATCTGAACCGGTCCTGGGCCTCCCCTAGGTCGACTCAGCCTCAAATGAGTACCTGGTGCGGTGGATAAAAACATTGCCACTGGGGAGACAAAGGCGGTCGGACGTGGTGCTGGCCACCCACCCCCTCGTGTACCGTTCCGGCCTTCATAGGTGCTCGCTAACAGCACTTGCCCCTACAGTCTGTTAAGGCTATACGAGGGATCTTTGTCTTTGTTTTGGTTCAGCCGCGTGGTGCTGGTCGGTGCTGGTTACATCGCCGTGGAATTGGCCGGCATCTTCGCGGCACTGGGAGCTCAAACGTCACTGCTCATCCGGCAAAACGAGGTGAGAGGAGCGTTGTTCATGATGCCGCGCGGCCGATAAAGTCCCAGGAGATTTTAGCCGTTATAGTTGCTCTGCGTGAGAATTGGTAAATCACAGATACTACCAACTCACCCACTCATGTACTCACTCACCCACTCATCTACTCGCTCACCCACTCACTCATCCACTTACCCACCCAATCACTCACCCACTCGCTCACCAACCCACTCACCCACCCACCCACCCACCGCCATCACATGTATATTTGTGGCGGAGCGAAGTTGTGATCTCCACGGTTAAGTATTCGTAGCCGAAGTCACACACAGCAGAGAGCGAGCGTATATTACTCTCCACTTGTGCAGTGGATGTCCACCGCATCTTCCGTGGATTGTGCCGGTCCACTTTGTTTTATCCACAGCGGTACGTTGGAGGGCTGGCGAGGGGACCCGGCGTTGAATTTCGACCGGCGAATCTGACTTGCGCCGCTGTCGGCCGGCCCCCTCTGCCCAGGTCCTGCGTAACTTCGACGCGATGATCAGCGCGAACTGCACGCAGGAGCTGATCAACTCGGGCGTGGACGTGCGAAAGTACACGCAGGCGAGTGAGCGCGCCGGGCACGGGAGGGCGCGCCGCTCCTCCTCCCAACGGCGGTGCCGGCCCGTGATCGGCTTCTCGTAATAAAGTCAACTTGTGCCGCGCCGCGCCACATTCGCTCGCCCTCCAAGGGTGCGAGAGAGAGAGGCGGGGGGGGGGTGGGGTGGGGGGGGTGGTCCAGAGGCGCCGTGAGGAACCGCAGACGAGCCGGAGAGGCGGTGAGAAGCCGGCGCTGTCAACGATTTCCCCGAGCTCTGCGGGCCGCTGTTTGTAATGCTGGTGGACCCAGGTCGCCCTTGCCAATGACACTCGGGAGCTTTGAGTTCTCGGCTGCAGGTTAAACAAAATGAACTCGAGCGTAGCACTTTGACGGTCGCAGCCCGGTCACCAATGACCGCCACTTTATCCTCTTCCAGATGCCGCCCCCAAATCCGCCCCTTTCCCCCGTCCCTTCAGCGCCCCACTCCCACCCACCAACCCACGCCCGACCGCCCCCCCCGCCCCCCGCCCCACCATAATTCCGGCTTTTCCCCCCACCGTCGCCAGGTGCGCTCTGTTAGCCGCGGCTCCCCGGGAGGGCCCCTGCAGGTCGCCGTGGCGACGAACGGGCCGGGCGAGGCGGAACAGACGGAGGTGATGGTGGGCGTGGAGGCGTTGATCTGGGCCGTGGGCCGCGCGCCCAACACCGCCGACCTGGGGCTTGACAAAGTGGTGAGCGTGGGGGGAACACAGCACCACAGCGCCACCACCATGTCGCTCCTCTTATTCAACACAGACACACACACCCCGCAAGGTCGTGCGTTCGATCCCGACCCTGACGACGCCTGCTGCTGTATATTTGGAGTTTGCGGCGTCTCTCTCTCTCTCCGTGGTCGCGTGGATTTTTCTCCGGGTCCTCCGGTTTTTCCCTCCACATTCTGCATCAACGTCACGACGCGTTCGGAGTCTTTGGCTGCCCCGATTACAATTCCACGTGACGGTAAGCCACTTACTTCGGTAAAGTCACGTTGAAGGGAAGCAATAAAATAATAAAAATATATATATAAAACAATAAAATTCTCACGACGTTTCGACTGCAGCACAAGCAGTCATCATCAGGTGCTTGTGTTGCAGTCGAAACGTCTTGAGAATTTTATTGTTTTATATATATTTGTATTATTTTATTGTTTCCCTTCAACGTGACTTTACCGAAAGAACCAAGAATACGAGTCACTGCAGTCACGAAAGCTTTCAATCAAATTGGTAAGCTACTTGTTCGAGCTCTCATTTGTGGTGGGTCCCTTCGGGAAAAGCAGGGCTCGGTGGGCGCCTTACCTGGTCAAGGAAAAGTTGGTTAAGTAGCAGTAGCAGTAGGTATGGATGGCGAGCACAGCACAGACATCGACACGGTGCGGTCGCGCGTTCGCCGCTTGCTGCGCCGATTCGTGGTGACGTTTGCGCCACGCAGCAACGGGGGTCTTTGTTCGATTCCTGTCGCGAGAACTTCCTCGCGTGGAGTTTGCACGGTCCCCCTCCCTCTCTCTCCTCCTCCTGTTCTCCATGGAAGGGGGGGGGTGCGGGTGGGTTTTCTCCAGGATCTCTGGTTTCCTCCCACAGTCAAAATAAACGTTGCATCCCATCTGCGAACAGTTGACAGGACCCTCCGAGCAAAGGCTCTTGAGACTCCCTGTGATACCTCTTGAGGAAACAACCGTTAGAATTATTCCAACTATAAACGAGGTTTTGGTTTTGTTTTTTACTCTTTCTTGGATTAGATCACATAAATATTAATTTTGTAATTACCGACGAAACTCCACGGTAGTCTAATTGTAAATATTGCGGCTTTAAACTCCAACACACCGGTGTGCAGAACTAGTAAATAATTATAATTGGCACGTTATGTTCACGCGACAAACCTTACTAATTTGGTTGTGTAGGGTGGCGGCTGGTTTAACGACGCATTTGTATTCATGCGATCTAACCCACCCCAAAAAAAACAAAAAACCTCATGGATAATATTGGTCGCGAAAGCCTTCACGTTCAAACATTATTACGGTGCCCGCCTGCCTGCCACATTACACTACCAGCCTCCCAAGTTGGTTACCCTGTCCTCCTCCATCCTGCACAATGTCCCAGCCATTACAACCACCACCTCCTCCTGACTGCATCTACAACTTGACAAAGAGTGACGTCTCGAGACTAGGCGAGGCCTTCCTGGGTATAGCCTAAGGCCCCACCCCCCCCCCCCCCCCCATAGTCAGTAACAACAACAATATAAAAATAAGAATATTCGTACTGGAGGAATCCGATGAGCTATAAAGCTCTTTTCTTTTTTTTACAAATGTCGAGGAGGGGGCAGGTCAGAACGTTACAACGACAAACAATACAAAAAGTCGATGGGGGGAGTGCAGAGTATACGATAAGGTACAAAAAAAATCACGAAAATGTATACAAATAAAACTAAACTATTTTATTTCACCAGGTAAAGCCCACTGAGTTATCAACTTATTCTTCTCAGAAGCAACCCGGCCACAAATGATAGCTCGACCGAAAGTGGCTCATCACGTGGAAAAAAACCAATCTAAATAACGCACACGTTGATTCTGAACGCGGACAGGGGTGGTGGTGGGAGGGAGGGTAAAAAAAACACGTGACAGATCGCACTCCCTCCCTCCCTCTCTCCCTCTCTCTCTCTCCCTCCCTCTCTCCCTCCCTCCCTCTCTCCCTCTATCTCTCTCTCCCTCCCTCTCTCCCTCTCTCCCTCCCTCTCTCTCTCGTCTCCCGTGGCAGGGGGTCGAAACTGACGGGCAGGGCCACGTCACGGTGGACGAGTTCCAGAACACGAGCCGCGCCGGCGTGTACGCGCTGGGCGACGTGTGCGGGCGAGCGCTGCTCACCCCCGTCGCCATCATGGCCGGCAGGAAGCTGGCGGCGCGGCTGTTCGGCGGCGACGCCGGCGCCAGGATGCACTACGAGGACATCCCCTCGGTGGTGTTCGCCCACCCGCCCATCGGCGCCGTGGGCCTCACGCAGCGCGAGGCCGAAGGGCGGTTCGGACGCGGCGCGGTGCGCGCGTACACGGCCACGTTCGCGCCCATGTACCACGCGGTGACGGCGCGCAAGGGGAAGTGCGTCATGAAGATGGTGTGCGCGCACGACGACGAGCGGGTGGGTGTGCGTGCGTGCTGCGCCTGGCCTGGCCTGGCGCAAGCCGCCGTGGTGGCGACGCCGCCGCTTGAGTGGTGAATGGTGGTGGTTGTCGTTGTTGTGGTCGTCGTCGGACGAGTGACCTGGGGAGAGCGGTCGCGCAGCGGCCGGCGTGGCGCTGCGCTACGAACCCGCGCGACCCGGGTTCGATTCCCGCTCGCATGGCGCAGCCAACGCCAGTGGCTCTTACCTGAACCGGACCTGCGCCTCCCCCAGGTCGACTGCGGCCTCAAATGAGTACCTTGGTGCGATGCGTGAACATCGTCGCTCGGGGAGGCAAAGGCGGCCGGGCGTGGTGCTGGCCACACAACCCCGTCGTGTGCTGCGCCGGCCTCGGTAGGTGCCGCCCGCTCACAGCGCTTGCCCCAACGGTCTGCTAAGACTACCCGGGGCATCTTCGTCTTTGCGTGCGCAGGTGGTGGGGATACACATGCAGGGCGCCGGCTGCGACGAGATGCTGCAGGGCTTCGCCGTGGCCCTCCGCTGCGGCGCCACCAAAGCCGACTTCGACCGCACGGTCGCCATCCACCCCACCTCCTCCGAGGAGCTCGTCACCATGCGCTAGGCACGCTCCGCGGAGCTCCGCGACGGGGATGCCGCTCTGCCGCACACCTCCGCGATGGCACCGTCCCACCGTGGAGCTCCTCTGCGGAGGCGGTGGTTCTGCCGTGGAGCTCCACAATGGGGATGCGCTGCAACGCGGAGCTCCGCGATGGGGACGCCGCTTCACCGCTGGGCTCCGCGACGGGGACGCTGTTCCGACGCGGAGCTCCGCGATGGGGGCGGGGGTGGAGACACTCCGCCCTGACGTTGAGCTAAGCGACGGGGACAGTTCTGACGCGGAATTCCACGACGGGGCATCTTGGCCGACGGCATAATTGAAATACCTGAAGCGATATATTTCGTATAATGTTTAGTTTATAGTGGTTACCGTGGCGCATTAATGGAAATGTAACTCGAAATGATGTCACATGCCTCCATGTAAATGGCTCCTATACCTTGTGGCCTACGTACTTGGGCTGTGTGTCCCATGCTGCCCATCATCGCGAGCTTCAAGTTCGGTAAAATAAGAAACGAAGAAGACTTTAAAACGTCTGTCTGGGGCTCCCACCGTCACCGCGCTGCCGGGGGCCATCGCCGCGCGGGTTCGGCGCGTCGCGACGCGTCGTCGCTTCACCGACTGATCCTCGTTTCTCGCGCTCGTGAGACCCATCTTTGACGGCTCGTGCGAACTCTTTGTAAACGGACGCTCGGACAACACCCGGTATCGGTGCTTTGGCGAAGACGAGACGCAACGTAACCGATTCTCGGACTTAATGACTACCCGGAAGATCGTGACGTTACCCGAGCGGCCGGAGTGGCTCGCGAAATCGTCGATGGAAAGTCTCGCGACGGCGCCGCGTTCGAGGAATTTCCACGTCGTCTGGGTGCGGCCACGATGGCTGTGGGGCTGCAACTTTTTTTTCTCTAACGCTTTCCAACTTAAGGTTCGAAGCTTGAGAGGGTGGCATCCTCCTCGTCCTCCAGCCGCAATTCGCCATCGTGTCAGCACGTGGCCCAGCTTCGCTACGCGGGCCGTCCTGGTATCTGCGATTTTATTTTTTTTGCCCGTTACCCGCAGACCACCCTTCCCCTCTAGCCCCACCCCGGGTAGAAATCGTCCCCCGTGCTCAAAAATGTTTGACACACCTACTGTTTGTGTGTGTGTGTGAACAAGAGTGTCACTCACTCCAAGGAGCGATCTCGGATGTAGCCCTGTGATATCCGCGGGAGATCCTACGCGGATGGCCGACGCCGCAGTTTCGCTTTCGTGGAGAGAAAGCGACCGCTCGTCTCCTGACGAGCGCAGGGCGATAGCGCCGACCGGTGTTGCCCTGCGCCGTGTTTTGGAAGCACACGTTGGAACTTGTTGTCTGAAACCACATCGGGAATGCTGCTGCTGCTGCTGCTCTCCAAACCTTTGGCTGTCGGGTGTAAAAAAAAAAACGCCTTTTTTTTTGTTTTTTTTCCTCCGGCCGGATTAAATTTGGCAGTGGATTTTTTTTCGTCCCGACTCGTCAAAGTGTTTTTGTTTGTCTGTTGCGAAGCGCCCTGGGGGGAATGCTCGGCACGAGTTGGCGCGCGGTACGAAAAGCCGAACGCGCCGCGTCCGTCGTGTGCGTGTCTGCCCCGGGGTGCGCCCGACACGGCGTCACAACGGCAAGACTCGTCCCTCCGACGCGCGCATCACCGCTCGTGTCGCAGGCAACGCCTCTTGAAGTGGTGCGGTACGCCCGGTGGTGGGGTGGTGCGGTACGTGCGGTGGTGCGGTGGTGCGGTACGTGTGGTGGTGTGGTACGTGCGGTACGTGCGATTGGTGCGGTACGTGCGGTACGTGCGGTGGTGCGGTACGTGCAGTGGTGTAGTGTGTGCGGTGGTGTGGTGCGTGCAGTACGTGCGGTGATGTGGTACGTGCGGTACGTGCGGTGCGCGCTCTGCGTCCCGACTCCGGCTCTGGCGTCAGAGCCACGCGGCGTGCCGCGGCGACGAGCGGCAAGGTGAAGTTGCAGGCCCCGTTGGCCGTGGTCCTTCAAGGTGCCTTGCCCCGCAGATGAACACGGTTGGCTACGTACGGTGCGAAAGAAGTTCAACATACGTACACTACACTATGCACTACACTATAAACTACACTATACACTACACTGATATACACTTCACAAGACCTGTGATTAGCACGGTTAGCTACGTACTGTGCGAAAGAAGTTCATACATTCACTACACTATACACTACACTATATACACTACACTAATATACACTTCACAACGCCTGCGATTAGCACGCTTGGCTACGTACTGTGCGATAGAAGTTCATACATTCACTACACTATACACTACACTAATATACACTTCGCAACGCCTGCGATTTAGCACGGTTGGCTACGTACTGTGCGGAAGAAGTTCAACATACATATCCGTACACGCTGCCTTGTACGACACCCAATCGGGAGGAAGCGGCAAGAGTCCGTTTATTCAGGAAAGCCTCGCCGAGTCAGAAGGCGATTTTACTCTTTGTTTTTTTTTTATCAAGAGGGGGGACGTTTCCACCGGTCCCTCGACGAATTTTGTTTGCGGGAGGCACAACGCGAGCTTGCGGTGAAGACGCACACGCACGACGGGGCGACGGCGGCAACAACAACAACAACACGCGAAAAGCCGTACAGAAAGGCCGGCAGCCTTCCTTTGGGGGGGCCGTCCATAAATGACGCCGGGAGTGCAGCGCCACGTGAAACACGCGCTGCAAATGGTGCGTGTTTAATGTGCACCGTTCATCATGCTGAGTCCGCCAATTAAATGCAAATTTTGTATGAGAATTCCTTTGTCAAGGCGCTCTGCTTCCTTCTCACACAAGCTTCAAGGTCGCGGTCTGAGCCTGGCTGTGTTTCACTCCAGCGCTGTCCTCTAGACAGTCTCGTCCCTTCACCTGATGAAGGCCACTTGTGTTGTGGCCGAAACGTCGTGAATTTTTTTGTTGTTTGTTTTTTTTTGCACGTGACTTTACCGAATAGAACCAAAGAGAATGGGCAATCGTTTAAAGCGATTTGAAGCGTGTTTTATTTTCAAAATGGAAATATGGTTTTGTGGGGGGGAGGAGGGGGGGCAGAGCTTTATGACGTCATATTTGGGGGGGTCTGACTTTTTGTGACGCTGTGTGACGGGGGGGGGGTCAAAAATCGTCCAAAATCGCGTGACGTCATTTATGGACGGCCCCTTACCCGCAATTGATATGATCGTACCCAGCATTCTTATCATCCTCGGAACAGGTTGATGGGAACTCGGGGTACAAGAACACGTAAGGTGAGGAGCAGCGTGCCGAGTTGCCAAAGCAAATCCCGGCCTCTGTTGCTTTGAATGGGGAACTTCAGGCAACTGTTGTACTTAGGGGCACCCAGTAGGGATCTCACAACTCCAGTTTCTCAAGACTCCTCGCCACGGAGCCACCTTCTGTGGCGTTCCAACTATTCACGGGGTTTAGGAATAGGTTTTACCCTTTTAACTGGCACAAAAACTGACACCTTTATTCAAGGCATCATGTTTGCAATAACCACAACACAAGCGGTCAAAATGCAAACAAAAAAGACAACTCTGATAATGATATTGGCACTGTCCTTGAATTTGATTGGTCCACACCCAAGACGGCTTTTCTTAGAGCCTAGTCTCCACTGGTGTTGGACCAGAAGACGCCAAAAGGCGTCGGGGTTGGCGCGCGTGTTCTGTACGCGTGCGTGGTGGGGAGCGGTGGTGCAGCGGTTAGCGCAACGCGCTACGAACCCGGCGACCCGGCTTCGATTGCCGCTCGCGACCATACAACGGTGGGGGGATACTTGAACCCGACCTGGACCTCCCCTAGGTCGACTCGGCCTCGAACGAGTCACCTGGTTGCGGTTGTGTAAAAACGGGAGACAAAGGCGGCCGGGCGTGGTGCTGGCAACTCGCCCGCTCGTGTAACCGTGCCGGCCTTCGTAGGTGCTCGCAGCACTTGCCCCGGCAGTGTGTTAGAGGCTACAAGGGGGATCTTTGTCTTTTGCGTGTGAGAGCAGCTTTTGTATGAGACCTCGTTGACATCGGTGGCAAGTTAATGGCTGCCTCTTGTAAATGCGGAGGAACGGAGTACGATGGGAACGTGTGAACGTGTGAAATCAGGCCACGGCGAGTCTAAAGTGTGCGCGAGGCATGTACACGTGTGTACACGTGCACGTGTGTGTGTGTGGACGTGTGTAAGTGTGCACGCGTGCCAGTGTATTTATGGTGCGTGTATGCCCGCGCCTGAGTGTCAAGGCCGTGGCCATGGAGTGAACATTGGGGGGGGGGGGACCAAATCTTCCAGGGGGTCTGGGGGTCCCAACGCATACAAAAAAAAATCTAAATTTGAAAACTAATTTCCTGCCTATATTAAAAAAATCACTGACACGTGGGATGGACTTTATTTGTTTAAATAATGTCTAATAGTGTTATTGTATTATATTGCTCTGTTTTTTTTCTTCTTTTTTTACCTTTTATTGTTTCATTGTATGTCATGGCAGAGATTAGGGATTAATAAAGTACAACCGTAACCACAATCATATCAACAGAAATCTATGCATTGTTATATGAAGACAAGTCCTAGATATTGCGGCAAAGGTCGAGCAAATTGTTATTTTTATTTACATAGCATAGCAATTATTATTTTTTAAAATATTTTGAAAGCAATATATTGGGGGGGGGGACATTTTGAGCATATTTGATTATTGGGGGTAATTATAATATATTATAATAATTATAATATATTATAATATATTATAATAATTGTAATATATTATAATAATTATAATATATTATAATTACGGCCTTGCTAGGTGTCACCTAGCGTGTTAGTGGTGTGTGCGCACGTGTCAGGGCGCACGCATGTCAGGGGTCACGTGTGGTGTGTGTGCGCATAGATAGCAGGGTTTCATTTCTCGCTCATGTTTTCCCAGCGTGTGCGGTAAGCGTCTCGTAGCTGCTGCCATAGCGTGCGGTAAACTGGACGTTGTGTGCCGGGCACAGTACTGGTTTATTACACAGCTGGACAGACCCAACTTCAATGAATCCCTGTGTACAGTGAGGGAAAAAAGTATTTGATCCCCTGCTGATTTTGTACGTTTGCCCACTGACAAAGAAATGATCAGTCTATAATTTTAATGGTAGGTTTATTTGAACAGTGAGAGACAGAATAACAACAACAACATCCAGAAAAACGCATGTCAAAAATGTTATAAATTGATTTGCATTTTAATGGAAATAAATATTTGACCCCCTCTCAATCAGAAAGATTTCTGGCTCCCAGGTGTCTTTTATACAGGTAACGAGCTGAGATTAGGAGCACACTCTTAAAGGGAGTGCTCCTAATCTCAGCTTGTTACCTGTATAAAAGACACCTGCCCACAAAAGCAATCAATCAGATTCCAAACTCTCCACCATGGCCAAGACCAAAGAGCTCTCCAAGGATGTCAGGGACAAGATTGTAGACCTACACAAGGTTGGAATGGGCTACAAGACCATTGCCAAGCAGCTTGGTGAGAAGGTGACAACAGTTGGTGTGATTATTCGCAAATGGAAGAAACACAAGAACTGTCAATCTCCCTCGGCCTGGGGCTCCATGCAAGATCTCACCTCGTGGAGTTGCAATGATCATGAGAACGGTGAGGAATCAGTCCAGAACTACACGGGAGGATCTTGTCAATAATCTCAAGGCAGCTGGGACCATAGCCACCAAGAAAACAATTGGTAACACACTACGCCGTGAAGGACTGAAATCCTGCAGCACCCGCAAGGTCCCCCTGCTCAAGAAAGCACATATACGTGCCCGTCTGAAGTTTGCCAATAAACATCTGAATGATTCAGAGGACAACTGTGTGAAAGTGTTGTGGTCAGATGAGACCAAAATGGAGCTCTTTGGCATCAACTCAACTCGCCGTGTTTGGAGGAGGAGGAATGCTGCCTATGACCCCAAGAACACCATCCCCACCGTCAAGCATGGAGGTGTAAACATGCTTTGGGGGTGTTTTTCTGCTAAGGGGACAGGGCAACTTCACCACATCAAAGGGACGATGGACGGGGCCATGTACCGTCAAATCTTGGGTGAAAACCTTCTTCCCTCAGCCAGGGCAATGAAAATGGGTCGTGGATGGGTATTCCAGCATGACAATGACCCAAAACACACGGCCAAGGAAACAAAGGAGTGGCTCAAGAAGAAGCACATTAAGGTCCTGGAGTGGCCTAGCCAGTCTCCAGACCTTAATCCCATAGAAAATCTGTGGAGGGAGCTGAAGGTTCGAGTTGCCAAACGTCAGCCTCGAAACCTTAATGACTTGGAGAAGATCTGCAAAGAGGAGTGTGACAAAATCCCTCCTGAGATGTGTGCAAACCTGGTGGCCAACTACAAGAAACGTCTGACCTCTGTGATTGCCAACAAGGGTTTTGCCACCAAGTACTAAGTCATGTTTTGCAGAGGGGTCAAATACTTATTTCCCTCATTAAAATGCAAATCAATTTATAACATTTTTGACATGCGGTTTTTCTCGATTTTTGTTGTTGCTATTCTGTCTCTCACTGTTCAATAAACCTACCATTAAAATTATAGACTGATCAATTCTTTGTCAGTGGGCAAACGTACAAAATCAGCAGGGGATCAAATACTTTTTTCCCTCACTGTGCATCTGCAAGTTTAAACAATGCAATGCACGTGCGCGTGTGCACGTGGTGCGTGTTGAGTCTTTAGAAAGCCGTGCTGGCAGTCTCCGCTGGTCCGACGTTTTCCTCCTCGTTCTCCAGCGTCGCGTTCTCAAAAGCCTTGTGCTGCCCGACGCTGCGAACACAAACACAACGGTCCCCCGTGTAGCCTGTAACAGACTGCTGGGGCAAGTGCTGTTCGCGAGTGGCAGCATCTACGAAGGCCGGCACGGCACACGAGGGGGTGGGTGGCCAGCACCACGCCCGGCCGCCTTTCTCTCCCCAGACCAGGGGTTGGGCATGCAAAGTCGGTAAATATAAATTGTTTTATTTCAAGAGCCGTAATATATCAGAATTCGAGATGATTCTTCATAAATAACTCGCTGTACTACCCGGGACTTAGATTCACCACGCCCGGCCGCCTTTGTCTCCCCAGTGGTCGATGTTGACACACCACAGCAGTTACTCGTTTGAGACTGAGTCGACCTAGGGGAGGCCCAGGACCGGTTCAAATAATCGTCACCGGTGGTGGCCGTGGGCGGGAATCGAACTCGGGTTGCCGGGTTCGTAGCACGGCGTAGCGCTAACCGCTACACCACAATGCGTTACGCTTTCACGTGCGCGGGTCACGTGACAAATTTGACGTCACAGCTCACTTGCCGTGTAAAATAAATATACATTATTGAGCTCCCCCCCCTAAAAACAAAAGTGTATTTGTATAATGTTTGCATGGCGTACAGTCTGGAAAGTTCCCACATGGCAAATGTCAAGTTTGTTGCATGTCGGGAAGTACGCTAAACATTTTTAACAGACACACACATTCACAACTTTGCCTTTCATATATTTTTGTGGAGATGTCACCAAGCGGTTCCTTAAAGAGCCGCAGGTTTACGACCCCTGACCCCTGACCCAGACTCACGTTCCCACATCGCCGTGGGACTGTTGATTTGTGTAATGGGGGCCGTCCATAAATGACGTCACGCGATTTTGGACGATGTTTTTACCCCCCCCTCCCCCCCCGTCGTCACACGGCATCACAAAAAGCCAGACCCCCCCCCTCAAATATGACGTCACAAAGCTCTGCCCCCCCCCCAAAAAAAAACCATGCTTCAAATCTTGATTTAAAGCTTTCGTGACTGCAGGGATTCATATTCTTGGTTCTTTCGGTAGAAGGGAAACAATAAAATCATTATCAGGTGTGAAAACCACAGCAAGAACATTTTCTTGCTGTGGTTTTCACACCTGATGATGATTGCTTGTGTTGCAGTCGAAACGTCGTGAGAATTTTATTGTTTTATATTTTTATTATTTTATTGTTTCCCTTCTACGTGGTGACTTTACCGAAAGAACCAAGAATATGCTTGAAATCGCTTTAAACTATTGTCATTGTCGTGCGTATTTAATGTGGCGCTGCACTCTGATGTTGTAGGAGTGTTGTTATAACAATTCTATATTTATTTAAAGTTGCAGATTTTTATGTAACGTCACATTTACCACCCCCCCCCCCCCTTCGTCACACATCGTCACAAATGTCTGACACCCCCCCCCCCCAGGTGCGTGACGTCATTTATGGACGGCCGAATACACATTTTTAGATGTATATATATTTTTTTTAATCTGGAGAAACGGGTGTATGGAGGAGACATGTAACCCGCTTTGCCTTATTTCGTAGCTTAAACTCCCCATGGTGCCCGCTAATGATTATGTTGCATCGCAAATAACAGGTGGGACAATTATTCACCATTAATCCCGAGCCCACGCGGAATCCATCATTCATTTGTTGACTCAGCCCTCTGTCGTGATCCTGGGTTAAACATCACCCAGGTGACGGGGCTGGGGACCGACACTTAACCTTGTTGCTGTCCTGCACCGAAGGGGCCAGATGCCCTCTGTGGATGGCATTTGATCCATTTAATACAAAATGGCCGAGGCAATTGAATATTTTATTTCTGGGAAACTATTTTTTTTCCAGGGGTGCTACTTCTAACTCCGCGACTGGCGTAACCAATCAATCCGACATCGGCGCCACACTCCGCGAGGTCGAAACGCAGCGAGGATGACGATCGCGCCCGAAACCCTGAACGCTCGTGGCACGCACCGTTGCGGCGGTGCGTGCCGTGAGTACAGCTCGTCGAGATGAGTCGATTGCCGCATCGCCGACCGTCCACAGACTAAACGTGACCACATCACGGACTATGGTACCGCCATAAGGTCCATTGCCCTATAAGAGCACTGGGCCGAGCCAGCGGCACGTGCTGCTTGACGAGTCTCAGAGAAGTTGAAACTGGTTCACATTTCTGATTAAAAACACGAGCTCGATAGCTGAGATACATCATATATTTGTTTTAGTTTCTATGCAAGCCTATGGGTTTTTTAATGTAAATATGTGATCCTTTATGCAAATCAATTGGTTTCTATGTGAGCCCATGAGTTTATATGTGAGCTGGTGGACTCCTATGCAAGTCTATGGGTTTCTATGTGAGCCCATGGGTTTATATGTGAGTGAGTTGACCCCTATGCAAGTCTATGGGTTGCTATGTGAGCCCATGGGTTTATTTATGAGTTAGTGGACCCCTATGCAAGTTTATGGGTTTCAATGTGAGCCCATGAGTTTATATATGAGTTAGTTGGGTTGCTATGTGAGCCCATGGGTTTATTTATGAGTTAGTGGACCCCTATGCAAGTCTAAGGGTTTATATGTGAGCCCATGGGTTTATATGTGAGTTGGTGGACTCCTATACAAATTTACGGGTTGCTATGTGAGCCCATGGGTTTATATGCGAGTTAGTTGACCCCTATACAAGTCTATGGGTTTATATGTGAGCCCACGGGTTTATATGCGAGTTAGTGGACCCCTATGCAAGTCTATGGGTTTATCCGTGAGTCTCTGGGTTTATCCGCGAGTCCACGCGTTGCTTACTCGTTGCTGGTGCTGTTTTGCTCAGCGTGCCGGCGTGCCGTCACCTCCACCGCCACGCCCACCGCCAGATCTGCCGCCACGTCCGCGTACACATCTTCCCTGCAGCGGCAACAACAACACAAGTAATATTTTTTAAAAAACTTTTTTTTTAAAACACGCTTTTATGAAATGTAGTAGTAATGGCAGAACTCCACGACTTCAGGAAGTGGCCCTGAAGCTTGCCACAACGTAAGGGGCCCGTGGACAATTAGACCCAAGCCGAAACATAACATATAAAAAAGAATGTTTAAAAATATATATTTTATTTTTTAATGATAGAGTATAGTATTGTCATCAGTATGACATAAGCATACCAAGTTTGCAGTCGATACCACATTGGGAAGTGGGTTAAAATTGAGTTACAAGATTTGAGGATACAACAACAACAGACAGAGTGAGTTAAATGAAATCGTGTAAAAATGATAGAGGAGTTGTTAGTAAGTAAGGAGTTGTTAGTAAGGAGTTGTAAGTAAGGACTTGTCCATTGCTTTTTATTCGGCGCGTGTGCGGCGATGACGCAGACATCGATCGAGGGTCGAATTCGAACCGCGTTGTGTGATCGCCATCGCGCTCGTGTGCTGTATACGCAACTGCGCACAATTCTGTGAGTCACTTATAACCGCTTTGCCGTTACTTCTTGCCAATTATGGACTCAGACGATTGTCCGATCATCTCATAGAGTCCCTAGCACGTAATATATGCTACGCAGTGGCACGTGCCCCCCCCCCCCCCCCCGCACCGATTCCCCAGATTCGGCAATTTAATCGGCATCTCATCGGCAGAATTGTCCCGTCGCACAAGACACAATTCTCCGTAGTTAAACACGATACACTCGACTGCGGGGAAATCACGCACTCTCCTAACATGCAGGCGTCAGGGTCGGGATCGAACCCATCTCATAGCCACCGTGATGATGATGATGAAGAGAGAGACGTAAACTCCAAATATACAGCAGCAGCATTAACAGGCGTCGTCAGGGTTGGGGATGGAACCCACGACCTCCTGTAGACCAGGCGAGGTAGTTAACATCTCATAGCCACCGTGATGCTGATGAGAGAGACGCAACTCCAAATATACAGCAGGCGTCAGGGGTCGGGATCGAACCCACGAAACCTTGGGGGCTAGTGTGTGTGTGTGTGGTGCGGTGTGTAGTAAACATCGCGACGAGGGAGACAAAGGCGGTCGGGCGTGGTGCTGGCCACCCACCCCCTCGTGTTCCGTTCCGGCCTTCATAGCTGCTCGCTAACAGCACTTGCCCCTACAGTCTGTTAAGACTACATGGGGGATCTTTGTCTGTGGGGAGCGGTGGTGTAGTGGTTAGCACTACGCTGCGCTACGAACCTGGGTACCCCGGTTCGATTCCCGCTCACGGCCAACACCAGTGACGATGACCTGAACCGGTCCTGGGCCTCCCCTAGGTCGACTCAGCCTCAAACGAGTACCTGGTGCGGTGTGTAGTAAACATCGCCACCGGGGAGACAAAGGCGGCCGGGCGTGGTGCTGGCCACCCACCCCCTCGTGTGCCATTCCGGCCTTCATAGGTGCTCGCTAACAGCACTTGCACCTACAGTCTGTTACAGGCTAGGGGCCGTCCATAAATGACGTCACGCGATTTCGAACGATTTTTGACCCCCCCCCTCGTCACATGACGTCACAAAGCTCTGCCCCCCCCCTCCTCCCCCCAAAATAAAACATGCTCAAAATCGCTTTAAACTATCGTGCTTAATGTGGCGTTGCACTCTGATGTTGTAGGAGAAAGCATTTATTAAAAAAAAGTCTACTTAATAAAGTAGAACGCGTTGTCTATATTTTATCTAAAGTTGCGCATTTTCATGTGACGTCACATTTCTCAAACAACCCCTCCCCTTCCCCTTCGTCACACATCGTCACAAATGTCTGACCACCCCCCCCCCCCCAAGGTGCGTGACGTCACGTATGTCTGCGCGCCCCACTCACCCCTCGGCTGCGCACCACACTTTGTTGACGATGAAGATGACGAAGACGAGGAAGAGGAACCCAATGACCGCGACGAGGCCCTGCAGCCAAGGCGGCAGGAGGCGCCTTGACGCCTCCACCGGCTCCGTCTTCTCTGCCTCGTCTGAAGTTCACGAGGGCCGACATCCTCATTTCGTTCACGCTTCCCGCATAACTGTTTGGTTCTTAAATTTTGATTTAAAGCTTTTGTGACTGCAGTCATTCATATTCTCTTTCGGTAAAGTCACGTTGAAAAAATGCAAATCAATTTATAACATTTTTGACATGCGTTCTTCTGGATTTTGTTGTTGTTATTCTTTCTCACTGTTCACATAAACCTACCATTAAAATTATAGACTGATCATTTCTTTGTCAGTGGGCAAACGTACAAAATCAGCAGGGGATCAAGTACTTGTTTCCCTCACTGTACACAGGGATTCATTGAAGTTGGGTCTGTCCAGCTGTGTAATAAACCAGTACTGTGCCCGGCACACAACGTCCAGTGTACCGCACGCTATGGCAGCAGCTACGAGACGCTTACCGCACACGCTGGGAAAACATGAGCGAGAAATGAAACCCTGCTATCTATGCGCACACACACCACACGTGACCCCTAACATGCGTGTGCCCTGACACGTGCGCACACACCACTAACACGCTAGGTGTACACCTAGCAAGGCCGTAATTATAATATATTATAATATATTAATTATTATAATTATAATATTATAATCATAATATTATAATATTATTATTATAATATATTCTAATTACCCCCAATAATCAAATATGCTCAAAATGTCCCCCCCCCCCAATATATTGATTTCAAAATATTTAAAAAAATAAAAATTGCTATGCTATGTAAATAAAAATAACAATTTGCTCGACCTTTGCTGCAATATCTGGACTTGTCTTCATATAACAATGCATGGATTTCTGTTTATATGATTGTGGTTACGGTTGTACTTTATTAATCCCTAATCTTTGCCATTACATACAATGAAACAAGAAATGGTAAAAAAAAACTGAAAAAACAGAGCAATGTAATACAATAACACTACTAGACATTATTGTTAAACATAAAAATAAAGTCCATCCTATGTGTTAGTCAATTATTTTTTATATTTTAGGCAGGAAATTCGTTTTCAAATTCAGATATTTTTTTTAAATCTGGGGGATTAGGGGGGGACCCCCTGGAAGATTTGCCCCCCCCCCCCCCAATGTTCACTCCATGGCTACGGCCTTGATATATATACACACAGAAAATGTTTAAACAGGTAAAGGTCCACTGAGCTATGTAACTCTCTTTTTTGCAGAAGCATCACAAACGACAGCTCATCGCGTGGACATTTAAAGCAGTAGCCAAATGCACAGTTGATTCTAAATGTGCAGGTGGAAAACCGGATGGAACCGGAAAAAAAATTCCACGCGACCGCGGGGAGAACATGCATCGGGGTCGGGATCGAACCCACGGACTTCCTGCACACCAGGCGAGGTAGTTAATATCGCATAGCCACCATGATGATGATGATGAGAGAGACGCAAACTCCAAATATATAGCAGCATCGGGGTCAGGATCGAACCCACCACCTCCTGCGTACCAGGCGAGGTAGTTAACATCTCATAGCCACCGTGATGATGATGAGAGAGACAGACTAAAAATATACAGCAGGCTTCAGGGTCGGGATCGAACCCACGGACCTCCTGTACACCAGGCGAGGTCGTTAACATCTCATAGCCACCGTGATGATGATGATGAGAGAGACAGACTAAAAATATACAGCAGGCTTCAGGGTCGGGATCGAACCCACGGACCTCCTGTACACCAGGCGAGGTCGTTAACATCTCATAGCCACCGTGATGATGATGATGATGAGAGAGACAGACTAAAAATATACAGCAGACGTCAGGGTCGGGATCGAACCCACGGACTTTCTGCACACCAGGCGAGGTAGTTAACAAGACAGACTAAAAATATACAGCAGGCGTCAGGGTCGGGATCGAACCCACGGACCTCCTGCGTACCGGGCGAGGTCGTTAACATCTCATAGCCACCTTGATGATGATGATGATGAGAGAGACGCAAACTCCAAATACACAGCAGCAGCAGGGTCGGGATATAACCCACGGACCTCCTGCGTACCGGGCGAGGTCGTTAACATCTCCTAGCCAGGGCACGGCTTCTCCTTGACGCTCACGGCATGGGAGTTTCACAACGTGGCTGTGCGTGCAGTGATCCACCAACCCTAGCTGCTGCTGCTGTTGCTGACACCTCCGCACTAGGGCTGAACGATTTGGTGGAAAATATCGAATTGCGATTTTTTTTTTGACAGATATTGCGATTGCGGTTTGATTCGCGATTATTTTTTTTAAAGTTGAGCTTCAGTTCAATATTCACCGTGCAATAGATTTACAACACGTGATGGAGCATTACCACGTGATATCATCACAATATGAACTGCTCAAAACATATTTTAATGCGAAGATGAGAACTTTAAAGATATGAATTGCTTCCAACGTGTATTTATTAAAATGTTTTCATTGAAATAGAACAATCAAACGTAGAATAATTGCTAAATAAATAAAGTTATAATAATAATAACAAATAAAATAATTCCGATAAGAAATTAATAGGACTTTTCAAATGGCAAAAAAAATCGCAGCCTTTGCGAATTACTAATCGCATTGTTTCAAATTGCGATTTCGATTTGAAATCGATTCATCGTTCAGCCCTCCCCCACACCGCTGTGTTACATTACACTGCGTAACAAAAATAATATTGTTTGTGTAGTGTTATTTTTTAATTGCTTATGCCTCAAAGGTACAGAAAACGGCTGCTGCTATTATTAATATTATTCCCCACAAACTTTGCTTTTGTGACCAGAACAGTGATATTTTGAAATGTACCTATTTTCAATGACAAAACGGGCGAATTTGTGTCTTTCGTTCACGTGCAGTCCTGGCCACGAAAGCAAAGTCAGTGGGGAACAATAGCCAATTTTCCGTACTTTTGAGGCATAAGCAATTAAAAAAATATAACACTGACTACCTAGGAATAAAAATCGTGTAACGTAGTGCATTGCTATGCCACCAATTATAACGGCTTCTATGACATGCGCAGAATGCGTGACACTTGAACAGCGCGGACCGCGGAGTGTTTACCCCCAAGCTCAGTTCAGTTTCGTTTATTTGTCTTAGCCCTGTGAGCCATGCGGCTCTTGACTCGGGTGCAACCACAACAAAACAAAAAAAACATGAACAAGAATGAAACAAATTTTGATTTAAAGCTTTCGTGACTGCAGTAATTCATATTCTTAGTTTTTTTCGGTAAAGTCACGTTGAAGAGAAACAACAAAATAATAAAATATATATAAAACAATAAAAAAATTCTCACGACGTTTCGACCATAACTCAAACGGTCGTCTTCAACACACCTGAAGACGACCGTTTGAGTTATGGTCGAAACGTCGTGATATTTTTTTATTGGTTTATATATATTTTATTATTTTGTTGTTTCTCTTCAACGTGACTTTACCGAAAAAACTAAGAATAAGAATGAAACATCTTAAAGTGACTACGCGCAACAGAAAAGCCCCAGGAAAGAAAAAAAAACAGCAAAACTCTTCCAGAAAGAGCGCCGTATTTTTCAACGCTGCGTGCAAAAAAAAATCCCAGTGGGATGCAAGTCAAACAATGACAGCCATGAGACAATTTAGATTGAAGTTATCAGGCTAACTCTGTACTACAACAAGCAAATATGGCGAAACCAACACGTTTTCGAAATCACCAAAATAAAGCTAGAAGAACAATGGAACAGTGATCATAGGAACTGTGATTCAAATTTAACAATACACAACATGTACTACCAAACTTTGCGGCCATAGCTGGGCAGCATGAGTCACTCGATTGAGTTCACCCCCCCCCCTCGCTAAACTCTCCCCGTGCCCTTGCTAAACTGCGATCGTGGTCAGAGGAGGACTGTGGCGATCATTGCTTGGCCATTTGCACTAGGTGCGTGCCGAGCGCGTAGCTTGTTAACCACGTTTTCCGAATTGTAATAAGACGCTCCGGATAGCAATACGCAGCCACACCACCCAAACTTATGCCGGGTGGAATTAGAAATAAAATTAAATAGTAATAGAATGGGACGTTTAGGTTGCGACACAAGCAACCATCATCAGGTAAGAATGAATGGTAGAACACAGCCACGGGAACAGCATAAGCACCAGACACACATGCAGAGAGAGACACACACACCAAGACGTTTGTCTTGATGTGAGTCTCGCTCGGTGTGTTTTTGTGTGTGTGTGTCTCTCTCTCTACACCAAGACGCACCGAGCAAGACACACACCAAAACGTTTGTGTGTCTCTCTCTCTGCACGTGTGTCTGCTTATGCTGTTCCCGTGTTTGTGTTCTATCATTCATTCTTACCTGATGATGGTTGCTTGTTGTGCAACCGAAACGTCGTATTCTATTACTATTTGATTTCATGTTCTACGTGACTTTTACCCAAAGAACCGAAGAGAAATTCCTGCAGTCACGAAAGCTTCGAATCTGGTCATAAATCTACACGCACATACCGGATTATAAGACGCACCCTCCCTCCCACACACACATGTAGTGATACGTACACACACACACACACATGTAGTGATACGTACAGACACACACACACGTTGCTCTGAAATACGGGGGAGCGACAATTAACACAAATGGACAAAAAATATAATTAAGTATGTGTTTTTAATTTATTTCGCACCGTACGTAGCCAACCGTGTTAATCAGAGGTGCGGTGTCGTGTATACTGTAGTAGTGTGGTGTATAGTAGTGTATAGTGTAGTGTATAGTAGTGTGTAGTGTGTAGTAGTGTATAATGTAGTGTATAGTAGTGTATAGTGTATTGTATAGTGTATAGTAGTGTGTAGTGTAGTGTATAGTAGTGTGTAGTGTATAGCAGTGTATAGTAGTGTATAGTGTAGTGTATAGTAGTGTATAGTGTAGTGTATAGTAGTGTGTAGTGTATAGTAGTGTATAGTAGTGTATAGTGTAGTGTATAGTAGTGTATAGTGTAGTGTATAGCAGTGTATTGTGTAGTGTAGTGTGTAGTGTAGTGTATAGTGTAGTGTATAGCAGTGTATAGTGTAGTGTATAGTAGTGTAGTGTGTAGGTGGGGGGCATGTTAGCGAGCACCTATTAAGGCCCCGCACGATAACTTTGGGGGGCGGGGGGGCGGGGAGGGAAGGATTCGCAGGTGCGGAGCGCTGTTGCTTACCCCTCTGCAGCTCGGCCAAACACGTCCTGAAGAACAGGGCAACGCAGAAGGGCAGCAGCTGAGCCATTATCGATCTCTCCCACGGGGCAGCGATGGGGAAGGGCAGGCCAGAGTTGGGTACTTGGCTGGGCAGCAGACGCAGAGTGGAATGGGCTCAGCTCCCAGCTGCCAAACCTTCACCTCTCTCTCTCTCTCGCTCTGTTCCATGAGGATCCCTCCCCTCCCTCTCCCTGACCCCCCTCCCTGACCTCTCTCTCTCCTGCTCGGCCACTCCGAGCCCACCCAAACCCTCCCGTCCTGACAGGCGCCCATGCCATCCCTCCCCAACCCTACCTGCTACACCTCCTGCTGATAGTGGCTGTGGTTGTTGTTGCTGCTGCTGTTGTTGTTGTTGGTGATGGTGATGTTGCCTTTATGTCTGGTCACATTTAGAATTAAACGTCACGCGTTTCGAGTATTTTGGCTGCTGCTGCCAATTTCCCACGTGATGGTGATGAGCCCACTTGCTTGAGACATCATTTGCGATGGGCAGGTCGCTTCTGATGATTAAAAAAACGACGTGGTTCAGCGGGGGCCTTATTTGGTACAAGTCAAAGTTTAGTTTCCTTGTCGATGAAACATCTTGGGTGACTGCAAAGAAAGGATTTTTTAGACATTTTTTTGTCCACTATTGCAGCCATATCTCTGGGCAGCTTTCTCTCTGTGTGAGCAGCTCACAAGATATCTCTCTCTCTATTTAGGGCGGTCGGGAGATGTTATGGATGTGTGTGTATACCACAAACAACAAAGATCCCCCGTGTAGCCTGTAACAGACTGTTGGGGCAAGTGCTGTTAGCGAGCAGCACCTATGAAGGCCGGCACGGCACACGAGGGGGTGGGTGGCCAACACCACGCCCGGCCGCCTTTATCTCCCCAGTGGTCGATGTTTTACACACCGCATCAGGTACTCGTTTGAGGCCGAGTCGACCTAGGGGTGGCCCCACGACCGGTGCAGACACTCGTCGTGAGCTGAAACCGAACTCGGGTCGCCGGGTTCGTAGCGCAGCGCGCTCTGCGCTACACCTACACTGTGTGTGTCTGTACCAAGGCCGGAGACGTGGAGTTAGCATTGTGGGGGACCAAATCTTCCAGGGGGTCTGGGGTGCCCAACCCAGAAAAAAATATCAAAATTTGAAAACTCATTTCATGCCTAAAAATATAACAAAAAATTAACTAACACATAGGATGGACTTTTCTTTTTTTTACAATAATGTCTAAGAGTGTATATTGTATTTACATTGCTCTGTTTTAACTGTTTTACCATTTCTTGTTTCATTCTATGTAATGGCAGACATTAGGGATTAATAAAGTACAACTATAAACACAATCATATAAACATAAATCTATGCATTGATTTATATGAAGAAAAGTCCCAGATATTGTGGCCAAGGTTTAGAAAAATTGTTGTTTTTATTAACATAGCATAGCAATTATTTTTTAAAGCAAAATATTGGGGGGGGGGACATTTTGAGCATATTTGAATATTGGGGGATGGGTAATTACGGCTTTGGTGTGTACGCTCACGTACAAGACACAGAGTTAACGCTTGCGTGCTGGGTGTACGATGTGGTTGTTGGCAAGTCGTAGTGGTTATTTGGGGGGGGGGGGGGTGCTTAATGGTGTCTGTGGGTAGCGTTGGGGTGGATGTTGGTTGTTGGGATGGGTCGTTGTAAGGTGTTCAGAAGAGGGTGGCTAGATGTTAACTACCTCGCCTGGTCTACAGGAGGTCGTGGGTTCCATCCCGACCCTGACGATGCCTGCTGCTGTATGAGTCAGGGTCTCTCATCATCACGGTGGCTATGAAATGTTGACTACCTCGCCTGGTGCACAGGAGGTCGTGGGTTCCATCCCGACCCTAACGATGCCTGCTGCTGTATGAGTCAGGGTCTCTCATCATCACGGTGGCTATGAGATGTTGACTACCTCGCCTGGTGTACAGGAGGTCGTTGGTTCCATCCCGACCCTGACGATGCCTGCTGCTGTATGAGTCAGGGTCTCTCATCATCACGGTGGCTATGAGATGTTGACTACCTCGCCTGGTGTACAGGAGGTCGTGGGTTCCATCCCGACCCTGACGATGCCTGCTGCTGTATGAGTCAGGGTCTCTCATCATCATCACGGTGGCTAGGAGATGTTAACTACCTCGCCTGGTGTACAGGAGGTCGTGGGTTCCATCCCCACCCTGACGATTACTGCTGCTGTATAGGAGTCAGGGTCTCTCATCATCATCACGGTGGCTATGAGATGTTAACTACCTCGCCTGGTCTACAGGAGGTCGTGGGTTCCATCCCCAACCCTGACAATGCCTGCTGCTGCTGTATATATTTTGGAGTCTGCTTCTCTTTCCCCACATTGAGAATCAACATCAACCACGCGTTTGCGAGAATTTGTCCGATGTAAATGTACACTTGATGAGCCCACTTGGTTGGAGCTATCGCTCATGATGGCCAGCATCGCTTTTGAAAAAAGAGACGCCGTAGTTCAGTGGCACTTACCTGGTAAAATATAAACAAAATTTAAGTTAATTAACTGTCTTGCTGTGGTTTTCACACCTGATGATGATTGCTTGTGTTGCAGTCGAAACGTCGTGAGAATTTTATTGTTTTATATTTGTATTTTATTGTTTCCCTTCTACGTGGTGACTTTACCGAAAGAACCAAGAATATGAATCCCTGCAGTCACGACAGCTTTAAATCAAAAATTAATCAATGGTTGTTACGATTTCTGTTGCGGCGATGTGTTGTTTGCGTGTGGTTATTTTCACAGTTCGAACCATTGCAGTCGATAGTTGTGATTATTGTTTTAAAAGGTACCGTTGTTAAATGGTCATAGTTGTTGTTAATGGTTGTTGTGGTGGTGGGGTTGTGGTGGTGGTTGTGGCGATGGAATCGCTCACCCGAATAGGGCTCAAAGTCTGCGGGTGGGCGCGCGCCCCTCCCCCCTCACGCCCCTCCCCCCTCCCCCCCCGCGCCCCTCACCCCACACCCCCCGCGCCCCTCCCCCCTCGCGCCCCTCCCCCCACACCCCCCGCGCCCCTCCCCCCTCACCCCCCGCGCCCCTCACCCCCTGCGCCCCTCCCCCCTCGCCTGCCACGCGCTCCCCGCGTGACAACGCCCGGCGTCGCCATGGAGACCGCCAGGAGAGCGAGAGGCGCTGACCCGGGTAACTAGGCCCCGGCAGAAGTTAATAATCTTTTTATTATTTATACTGGAGAATAAGAGATATAAAGTTATTTTTTTGCCAAACCCACCCCCCCCCCACAGATGTTCAGTAAGGCGGCAACGGGGTCAGATCCTTTACAACACACAATACAACGATGGGAGTGCAAAGTATAGGCAAGTTAAATTACTTACTTTAAAAAAATATATATCGACAAATGAAACGTAACTATTATTTTGTTTTATCTTACCAGGTGAAGCAGCCAGGCCGGGATCGGGTAGCACCTCAATCATTTAACCATTCCCATTTATGGAAATATTTGTTAAGTCAGATAAAATTCGACCCCGAAAGTATTTTTTTGTTATTAATTAATCCAACATTATTAATTGTCCTTATTGCTAGTATAGTAAGCCACTATCGACCTTTTACTATATTATATCTCTACGCAGGGGTATCGATTATTTTTGACAATAAGATGGATTTTAACGTGCGGTTTTTGAGGGATTTCCGATATAACAGGAATATTTTTGCTGGTTTTTTTCCCCCCCCCATGGATTTTCTCTTTGCGCAGTCAACACACAGTCACTTTAAGATGTTTTTTCTTGCGCCGATTCAAGAGCCCAATCAATGGCTCACAGGGCTATACCAAAATGATTCAAACGGATATCGGCACTTCTTCACTGGGCAAGTGGCCACGGAAATCCAATCCGATTCCAATTCGCACAAATGTGAACGCGCGAAAAGTTAAGCCACCTCTGGGTAAAACGAAAAAACAAAAAACGATCAAGAATCCCTGGCCCTGGGATCCATGGACCAAGCCCAACCGGCCACCCCAAAAGATTCCCCCGTGTAACCTCGAGCCAGACTGTTGGGGGCAAATGATGAGGAAGCAATTTGCGAAGACCATCACAGCACACAAGAGGAGGTGGGTGGGTGGGTGGCCAGAACCACGGCCGGCCGCCTTTGTCTCGCCATGACGATGTTTTCACGCGCCGCTCAATTTTGACGCTGGTGTCGGCCCAGCACCAGCGTTGGGAATCGAAACTTTGGGTTATTTGACGTACCCCCCCCACCCCCCCCCCAAAACTATCGCTCAGAAATACACGGGGCGGGTGGCGGTAATAGCGCCCCATTGCGATCCGCAGGACGCGTTAAGTGACGCAAACGCACTCGGGGGGGGTGACGCATTAAACGACGAACCCGTTTTAATTCAACAATTCACAAACACACGTGCTTGTTTTGAACGCAAGAAAACTCCCATCGTTTGGGATATCAACAGATTTCCCCCCCCACCACCACCCGTGTATGTCTCCCCACACACACACACAACCCCACAACAACAACAACAAAACCGCCCCCCCCCCCCAACGCGACGCATTTCAAAACATTTCTCGGTCAAAAATCTTCGCAGGGGAAACGTCGACCCCCCCAAAAAAACCAAAACCACACACAGGTGTCGCAGCTCCCTGCGGCGGCACGGCGGTTCCAACGCGGACGGTGACGGCTCTCCGGAACTTCTTCCACCTTCTCAGGCCTCACACATCAACAAATGGGGGGCAGGAGGCAACAACAACAAACAACAACAAACAACAACAAACAACAAAAACTGGCGGGCGGAAAAAAAACAAACGGGGACGGAGTCGAGGTTTTTTGCTTGTTTGTTGGGCGAGATCTCGTCAATATAACGGTGTGGTTAAACCCCCCCGCCACCACCCGGCACGGCCAATTAGTAAGGGGTTTAACACGTAGGCTTTCGCGACCAATATTATTCATAATAAAGGTTTTTGGGCGAGATCTCGTCAATATAACGGTGTGGTTAAACCCCGCCACCACCCGGCACGGCCAATTAGTAAGGGTATGTCTTCTTTGGTTCTTTCGGTAAAGTCACCACGTAGAATGAGAATAAAATAATAAAACACGATAAAATTATCGCGACGTTTCGGCCACACAAAGTTGTGTGTAAAGTCACCACGTAGAATGAGAATAAAATAATAATAAAACAATAAAATTCTCGCGACG